TACTGCACTGAAATCACCGATAGCAGACATAACATCCTCGCATAGCAATTCCCTACAAGGGTTGATTTCTTTTACTGAGAGCTTAACAAATTGTTGAGGTTTCTCGATTCGTCGAGAAACGTAACTTGCTCGTAGAAACTTCCTCTCCATATTGTATAAAGTACCGAGTCTATATATGCGTACCGGTAGAAAGCGGTTATCGATTGCACACCCAACCCGCGTCGTATGCCCTTGTCGTATATAAATCGAAACGAAGCCCATTGCATACAGGATGTGATGAAGATTTGCTGTCGTATAAATAGCAAATCGAGTAACTGTGTTGATGTGCATTGTGACTACTTCAAATGCTTGATCTGCTCTGTAAACCAAAGTTCTGGTGAGGTTCATGTGAATGTTTACTATCCTTGAAGTATTTCCTATAGTCTGTGGCATCGATCTTAATAATAATAGTGCACTGTATATGATTTCAAATAGCAGTGATCAAAGCTGTATATGTACTAATCAAAAGCATTATATTGTGCAGCAGAAAATCTGTAAATTTAAACACTATACTATATATATATATATATACATGATGATGTAATTAGCTGCTTAACATACATTCATGTTGGGACAGGAACGATTGGCTGCGAGTGTGGAAAAATCGGTGAAACTGTAGGATTCCATCACTGCTAATTAGCTTTAAGTCATCTATAGAGTGGATGGGTAGGTCGCTCTGAATCCAGCAGTTTATTTCAGCAGTAATTGCTCCGTAGGCAACTAAATCAGACCTAATAGGATGCTCAATCAACATGCACACACTGATATAAACCTCCCAGATCCATAGGCGCTCTCTCCGAGGAAGAGAATGTTCGCTTTCTAGAGCCACATACCCTCACGATACTCCTATTCAGGTCGGTCCTGGTCTCTTTTCATAGTCACGTCCACTATTGAGTGAACATTGTCCTTGTTCCTCGTCCTGTCAAAGCAGGTCCGGGTAGTCCTGCAGGCTAACTAGTGACCCACTCTAAAAATACCCTCTACAGTCCTGCTGTCGACGCATACAAAATTTAGCGCAAACTGTTCATCTTTAACAACGAAGTTATAATCGCCATTCGATTAAGCCTGAATAATGCTCCTACCACATCATCTACTAATGAACTTAGTCCAAAAAATAACTTCGACAAAACATAAAAGTTAAAAAATATATATATAAGAGGTAAGAGGTCGGTCGTAAGCAGTGCCAGAGTGAGCAAGGGCGATTAGGATTGTTGGCTACAATCATGAGAATGTAGCCTCGCTGCGACCAATGCTAGATTGATGGCAAACGCGATCCGTGCATCCCTCTATGCGACAAGTACGTTGAACTTAATTTGACGTCTTAATTTGAAACTGAATTTAGACGTCGACGAAACTGCAGTTTGGAATAACTAAGCAAGAAGGACGTCCACGCGCATCCAAATGCGGGAATGAAGTTCGGGGAAAGGTAAAGCAACCGAGCTGGTCAACATTATGAAAGCATTGCCTCTCGACGACATTGTAGCCTGATTACATAAATTGTTGCTCGTGGTTCCCTCCTTCTCGGTGAGAAGGCGAGGATGGCACAGCAGGTCAGGGAAAAAGTAGAGGCTCATAGGGACGGAAAGCAAAGCAAAGCAGAACATAACAAGCACCCTTTAGTGCGCCTATTTGCAATAATTGTTAGTAAAAACTGGCGCTGCGGTGGCGGGTTATAGTAACCTTCTTTAAGCCGCAAGCATATGTTACCTAATTTAATGAAAATAGTATCCATCTAGCATGCCTAGTTTGCTTAATCTTCCTGTCATAGATCGTTCTTTCTCGCACAGGAGCACGGTTTATCATCTCCTTTCCTCTTTCTCGTTACCCTTGCCTATCCCGTATTTCCTCTCAAAGAGAGCCCACTGTGCCTTGACCTCGTTGTCAACACCGTTGGCCTACGATAAACTCATCTGATCAGCCTCTAACGAATGAGCGTGCTGATATAAAGCTTTAAGAAAACAAGAAGTGTCTGAAAAAATTATAGGTAGCCCTTAAAAACGCGCTCATCTTCAACACTTCTACCCATATCCATCCATATTCCATTCCTACCCCGATGCATTGTCAACAAGTGAAATATGCACCATTATATTTACATTCATTTTTTATAAAAGCGTTACTCAGACATTTATAGACGGGTCAGATTTACATTATTTTTATTCCTTTTCCAAATATATCTAAATCCTCGGCATTCATCGATGCTAAGCAGTCGGCTACGAGAATGACGCTTACAGACAACTTCGGTAGGTTGTCTTACTATTATTGCTAGAATCGAAAAGTATGTTTGGACAAGCTTTACTTTCAGTCGAAAAGATGTCGGCTCGTCGAAACCACCTCTCATTTTACTTTTCGTCCATCTCTACCTCCTGGTCCTGGAAGTGTCCACAGGCTGACAGCGTATGGGTTGCCTGTCGAGCCCCTTCTATTTTGTGTGACCGTAGTAGTCTGGGTGTGCCTGCAATGTATGTACGTGTGTTAGTATTCAAGCTGACTTTTTCGACTCATGTCTCCTCCTTGACTTTTTACCTTCTCTACGGCTTGCCTACTACCAGGCCTACTGCCAGCAGCGTGCGTTCGACTTGTCGTTTCCTCACACAGATAAAGGTATACAATGTATAGGCATAATTGCTTGGGCGGGGCCCCGTGGGAGAACGCGTACTGCTCACTGCCCATGCCCTCCGTTACGGCAAGGCGTAAGACGTGCAAAGATGTGCTAGGTTCACTCTACAGCTGCAAGCAGAAAAAAAAAGGACTACAGCAACATCACAGTTTCTATGTACGTTTCATGGCAGCAATAGCAATATAGGCCCTGTGCTGTCAGAGTGGTCGTCAGTGGAGAAATGGTGGTAACGATGCTCTACTACCCTCCCTGCGCGATGGTTACGCCCGGCAGCAGTGGAGGCTTCACTGAAGTGCGGCGCGACTACTGCTGGACCACAATGCGCACCATCGACTCTCTCAAAAGGAAGGCCGACATGTGAATATATGAGAAAGTCGAAGGGCAGCTAGTATTGGCAGATGACTGCTGGGCAGGTGGTTCGCAATCTGCTGCACTATACAGCGTTTGCGCTATTTTTGCCGCTTGCCGTTGTCTCTGTTCGTCTGCGATCACCATCAAAGATCAATAAGATAAATCAAGCCAAGGCAACGCCAGCTGCTGCAGCTGTAGCGGAGTTTGCCACTCGTAGCAGAATCATCGAGAACGGCAGTAACAGCGACAGGGTCAGCCGCTACAACGAAAAAAACCCGCATAAGGGCATAACATCTCGTCGGACCAAATTCAGCCCACACCCTCCTGACTTTTGTCTTATGAAACAAGTTGCCATTGATATATATGGCATGCGTGCTACAGGTGGCCACAGCCGGACAAATAATCATGGCCAAAAACACACCGCCCGACGCCAATACAAATCTTAGTGACAAGCTGTTGTTAGATATGAATGAGGTGAAGCTTCACGCATACTCTTTCGAATGCACCCGCATCGCGCGTGTAAGCTAGAAGGTGGGATACTTAATATGTGACCAGTTGCCCCACCACGTAGGCTTTATATTGGGACAAATGGTACTTTAGTTTGTCTATGAGAGGGTAGTACATACAAATTTGTCTTCTTAACGGTTAATAACGTAACGCGTTTTACTGCCTAATTTCGGAGCGCATACGCTGGTTCAGGTTCGGAATACGCACCAGTCTTCTAAACAAACGCCTATCTTCAGTACAGGAAAGAGAACGTACAACATTATATGTGTTATTCAGTCGGTGTAAACGATTCCATGATCTATTTGTACATATAAAGTGGATACCTATAACGAACAACTCATTTCAGCCGAATCGGAATAAAGTCCGTGTAACGGTGCTCATCTAATCTATTTAATTTCATCAGAATCATATGGAGCTAGAAACGTGTTCGGACAAAGCGATCTAAGCTATAACAGCGGTATGATATTGGGTCCGTTAAGGTGCGTCTTACAGCTTCCATCTGTATGCAAAAAAACATATAAATGTAGACATTTAATTTTTTCATGTTTTTGTCTCATGTCATTGTTTTCGTTTCAATAGTAGGTCCTACGTAATCATAACACCTGCGGGAATTTTCTCGTTTTCAAGGACCACAATGTCCGCGCACTCAACCGTCCTTCATTTTGCATCGACTCTTGTTGGTTTTTTCGGCCGGATAGGTTTTTCGCAGCAAATAGGATCACATACAAACAAATAGAAACAACAGTAGCTGGACCGACTGCAGTCACAGAACTAGTCGACTTCATTTTTAAAATCAAGTGTAGCAGTTATACTGCCTAATGGATTTCAGAGACATTTATAAACAGAGTGGTGCGCGTGGCAAGGAATCCTCTGAACGGTGAAAGGCTCCTTCATGGACAAGATGAATGATTTACGGCACGCATGCTTTCTCACAGGAACCCCTTTTGTGGAAAGAAAGGCAGAGCAATTTTAGACCGGTTTTGGCACCATTTTCTGTCAGACAACTTTAAAAACAAGAAACTTGCCCGAGATGGAGTTAGATATCCTAGGGCTACGAGATGTGTGGTAAGGATCTGTGAAAACAAGACAGGATACCAGCAGCACTGAGCAAACGACCGATGCGGCTAGCTGTAGGACCGAATTGAAGTTTAGTGCCTTCGCCTGCATAGGCATCTCAGTAAGAAAGGGATTAAAGGAGTAAACTCGTATGAAGTTTCTATTGAAAATACCACATCGAATGTTTTAATCTGTGGCATGGACATTATTAAACGGCACCGCAAAGCGCCTGTAACCCGGCGTGTTGGCATGGCAAAAATTGGTATGAGGGATTTGTATTGTTGCATTGAGATCGTCGCGCTGGCAGTTACCGTCTCGATAGGTTAGAACATCTACGTGAGGTTCATATGAAGCTTATCATACAAGCAGTTGTTTACGGTGGACGGTTTATTTACGAAATACAAGCTACTTGCTTTGTCTCGCTTTTCAGGAACGTCGCACCTGGAAAGCATCGCGTCTGTGCCGTTTCTGTCTACGACATCGGCGGAAGCTGCTCATCGCTGGAACAATGGTCGTTGTTCTTATGGCAATTTTTTTTGCCATTTGCATTATTATTGCGCAGGGTAAGAAAATATAATTAGGCCAATAAAAAATCATTCAAAAATCAAAAAGTAAAAAAAAAAATTAATCTTTACTATGACCGAGTCCTCGGTTTGGGTGGTAGAAAGAATTTACGATGTAAGAGAATATTTTACATTGCACTGACTTTATGATATAGTTAACCTTCTTATTTCGCCGGTCTAATTGGTCTAGGTCGATTTTTGAAATCATAGATTAGTGGAGTGGTTGAGAAAGACGTTATCACGAATGTAAAAACTTTAGTAATTGAATCATAAACGTCTCTTTTAACACTTGAACAGTAGAATTAGAAAACAGATTTGTAGCCGATACCATAGGCGTGCGCTTTTTTTTTCTTGCATAAATTTTATTAGCCAAACGTCGACCAGTGGAGATTGTGACTGTTAGCGGTGCAGTTCAGGAACTGTTCCAATACAGTTCAGGAACGTTCCTGTCCGCTGGCATTGGAGCGCTGTCTGGGTCGACGAACTGCGTGGCCCTGGCTGTACCGTTGTGTCATAAACACCGTGTCCCCTATTCTCACTCGGTACCAGGGCATGAAGCCCGGGCCGACGAGATCGCAAAATTCGAGCCAATGGTACAAGTCAAGGTTAGTTCTATCATGCGCAAATTTGTATATATAGTATATAGTAACTTGGTAACTATTATTGGTTAATTTGCTATAAAAACCGCTACTATATTTCTGTGCACTTTTATAAGCTACTTTACTTTCTTGTCCTCGGCCTAGCCCATTGGTTAGGCAATAACTAATGGATAAAGTATCAAAAGTGTAGTACACACGCCATAGATTAGATCGGTATGAAAATGAAGGTAGCCAGCGTAAGTACAGCCAAGTTTACAGATCAGATGAAGCTTACCTAAAACTCATGGCGTCCAACAGACACAAATATAAGGACACTGTGTGATAGAGCCAATGTTTACTTGATATAATATTTACACTGCAACTTGGGTAAACGGGATATATCTAGCAGATAGTAAAAGCAACTCAGAATGATAGTATTAATCGATCTCTTACCTTCTCAGGAACTTAACAAGCGGGTCACCGTGGCGAATACGGTCTACAAAAGCAATTAAATAATTACGCAATGAGTTACACATAGTAGTGGTCAAGGGTATACCTCATGCATTTGCCAAGCATTAAAAAGGAACGTCTAAACATTTTACATGCACTCATGTGTATAACGACAAAACAAGCAATATTTAGACAAGCCCTGTGTACACTTCTGAGCAACGTGAGATTTTATTCTAGATGTACATACATTCTTCAATCGTATCGTTTAAAGAAGCCAGAAGTCCTACATCAGTATCTCGTCAAAACGAGGTACGTTGTTACGCTTCCCTAAGCAAAGTTTCTGCCGGGAACTACTTTCATTAGTATGGGTTTACTCTGTAGCTGTTACCCCTCGAACCATATTGATTTTATTATCCACAACGACTGAGGTTGGGCTAAGGTGAAGCGGAAGAATCACTGTCGAGTGCAAACAAAAATGTCCGATTCTATATCAAAGGCCATTTAGATTTAGTGGAATAATCCTTGCTGGATTCAATACATGCGTGCTACCGTTTCTTCAATGTTTAAAACGATCTTCGAGCTCAGTCGTAGAAGTAGACCTCAGCTCTGCCCTAATTTCTCTTCTGAATTCCCGTAGCCGCCGCGAAGCGTTTTTCCTTCAGACGTTTTTTGAGTTCTGGGAGATCATAAGGACTTTAACCTAGATAATATAGATATTGAGACAACACAGATGTCAAGTTTTTTTTCCTGCAAGGGACGTGGTCTGAATAGCGATGTGTTGTGACCTTTGCCACGACAATGCCGGTGCACCTTCGTGGTGAAGAATCCAAAACTTACCCTTTCAGAATTCAGACCTATTTTGCAACCAGTATTAGGCAATATTCTTAAAACTTTCTGGCAACACTTCTTAGTAAGCGTAGAAGCACTTTGAATGGAATAGCCTGTTCGATAGGAAGCATGGTTTTTGCTCTAGACCTTGCAGCTTCTCGGGGCCTGAACTGGCTTTTTAAACGACGCCTGTACTGCGTTTGCCATAATTCCATATTCACGTCTTGTCACCTGCGATGGCGTACTGCAGTAAATTCAGCTTTTATTTTAGGATCTTCTGACATATCTGTTTGCGGGCCTGCCTTTGCTCGAAACCCAGGTCCGTGCACAAGTCTTGCTGTGGATCTTCTCGCCTCAAATGATCTGCCAAAATGGTCTAACTTGACTCGTTAAAACGTCTGACGTTTGCGAGGCTCAAATTTAATCCGGTAACCTTTTAGCATGTGTTGTTTTGCTTTTTCCGCGAGCTGATTCAACTTGCTGTCCAGCAATAATAAGGGTTTTTTTTTTAAATCTATTGTTAAGCCATTGCTACCACCTGTACACTTGGTATCAACTTATAACCCGGTGTCCGAAAGCCTGCGAAATTTTCATGATCTGTAAGTGCTTAGTTTCGTTTTTCATAAAGAACATGATACAGGCCATCCAAGTCTATAGTCTTGTATTTAAAAAAAAATTCAAACACGGCCGAAAACCATCCAAAGCGCTTAAGGGGTACCAAGCATACAAATGTTCTGGCAGGCAGACTAGATGACGCTACAAGCCTAGTCAACGTTTAACCGATAAAAACCAAGCGTTTTATCCGTATTTTTTTGACTCAGAGAATATTGGGTGCATGCACCGTGACTGCTACTACTCTAACAACTGATCTCTGAGGGAAGACTGCAGCTTCCACTGCAAGAAGAACATCCTGGTTGCTGGCGATTGGATAGAGTGTCTTCCTGCGTATCGGTCCTCGTCTGCATATATATATATATATATATATATATATATGCGCAAGTGAGCGCGTTGCTTTCAGTACATACATCGACACTCTCTCTTTATCACGGGATTTACAGAAATGGGGTCATTGTAACAACTAACAGCATCAACCCCTCAGGACGTAGAAAAAGGCTGAAGAAAACAAGATCAGAGAAGTTATACTATAGAAACCGTATCATATCACATTATTGTGATAGACTATAAGCTCGTATCCTATATAAAAACATTTTATGTCCCCTTCATATATCCGGGTTACGTATTGCAATCTAAACTCAGTAATGAATGCGCCTTGGTTTTTACTTCCCTTCTAGCAAGCTTGCTTTATGTGAATCATATTGGATAAATATAGAGAAAAATGCCTAAAAGATCGAAACATGTCACTGCTTTACATCATCTCTAATGGCTACCTCAGCCCGCACATATGAACTTTGAAAAATAGCAAAACTCTCCAAATTTAAATGAGCAACAGCTTTAGATATTCTGCCACGGTTAAAAGATGAACATAGTAATTGCCCCCGATTTATTAAACGGCAGCTCGTTTATATTCAACATCTATCACTACTTATTATAGACATATAGCGCACATAAGCGTTGCGTATATCGTAACCCCTATAGCACTATAAAAGTATTATTAAATATGTATTCTATCATTTGATATGTAAATTAGAATCCATTAGAAAAACAAAAGGCATACTAATAGTTGATCCCGTTGCCGCTATTGTGAGCCGATGTGGTTCTAAGGAGGTTCAGAGTAGCAAAAAGAGACCACTGGTCATGGGGCGATCATTGCTCTCGGAAACGGCGGCCTGGGTACCTCCCTCGCTTCCTAATAATTCGCAGCCCATTGCATCTAGTCCACGTACTTTCCGTCATTGCGAAAACGGCGAGACGGATACGGTGGCGCAGTTTGCCCAGACTTACCGCATCTGTCAGCAACAACAGATTCAGTCAGCAAAACGAGGCGGGGGGCGGAACGGGATTATGGGTAGAATTGCGGGAACATGAAGAATGAGCCGTTTGCACAGTGAAGAAGAACAGAGACGGGGCATGCTGTCTACGATAAGGCAACACAGCATAAAGCAGTTATTTCGCCTTCCGAGAACATAGCAATCGCAATGTTTACTCGCCGCTGCTACCTCCGCAATGGACTCGTCTTTCTTTGCGTCCTTCTACCGCAGGTCCTTGCTTTGTTGTCCCGCTGGGTCCATCGCAAGCATCGTTTCATCTAGCCTAGCAGCCATTATTGGCCCGGTGTTGTACAGCAACATCAGCCACCTCCATTGTCGGTGTTGCAACGGCGACCGGCCAAGTGAGAAAGCTTGACAGTTGGCAACCTACAATTGTTCCGTCGCAGAACGCTTTCGTTCCTCCTTTTGGGGGGCCCTCCATTCCCATCACCAAGCTTTGTTGTAGAGTGCACCTATCAGCAGCGGCCATTGATGACGTTGTCCACACGAGTGTTCCTCGAGTCCGTATACGAATCGTTTTTTACTGGCTTTACAGTTACCACTATTATAACGCTAAGGTTAACGAGAGACATTATGTCAGACGACTTGATAAAACGTTATTTTAGCTACGATACGAATTCAGTTATCACTGCCACTGCTACCATCAGTTCTCTTAACGACCATATTTTTACCTCGTTCTCTCTGCTATATATTATGCTGTGTTACATAGCTAGCAATATGTCTACGTACACCGTAGATTAGATTGACGAGAAAATGTAAACGGTTTCTTCACATATCGAGCGGAAATGGTCCAATTACGTACCTAGGAATATGCGACCGTTTCGTTACCTGACGCATTAATTTTTGGTTAAGTACTTGCTTGTGTGATGTACCTATGGTGAAAATTCCTAGTTACTTTCTGTTATCTAATCGTGGTGTCGCTACCCTGATACTGACAGAAATTTAATAATACTCACTAAAATACACTCGTGTCCAGTATATACGAACTTCTATTATGATTACCTTCTAACAATGAAAAAATCGACTGCATAGGATATTGAGAGAAAAACGTAGCCGCTTAATAGGGACAGATATAAGAGGGGTCCGTGTGGATTGTTGTTGATTTTACCACAGCCAAAACCTTCACAAGAGGAGAGCGAAAATGAAAACTGGGCTGAAAAATTATACTGGATGAAGAAAACAAACAGATTCGAAGATAGTAGAATGAACTATGGAAGATATGTACGAAAACAAGAGGGGCTACTTATTCTATAAGTAGCCCCTCTTGTTTTCAAAGATTTAGTTTATTCTATAAACTAAACCTTTGGAGAAATTGAATCAGTTTGCAAACCTGCACGAGTTACGCACACTTAACTGTGACAATGATCCTAATGTTTTCATGGAAATTCTAAACGTTTCGTCCCATAGAACCCAAATCCGTCCGCATATCTCTAAACTATACATGCAGTATGGCAACTTGGAAATACTAATTCAAAACCTTTCTGTGGCCTACAACGAAATGATATAGGTTTCTGCGGGTGCTGGATAACTGCTTCGGAGTGAATCTGTACAGACAACGTCAGTCCTAGACTAAATTTCCTTTTTATCACATTAGGGTCCATTTAATTATGAGGAAGCTTTTCGAAAGGGGATATTATGGGGTCCTTTTGACGTTGCCTTTGTTTACAGTTGTTTGTATTTATTTACCGAAAAAAACAATGATGGCTTTAGATTCACTAGCGTTCACACGTTGTTATTAGGATTCATGCTTGTGATACTCTATAGTAAGTATTGAGAACACTACCTCGGCGATCTCTACAAGGGAAATGGGGAAAAAATTGAAGCAAGACGTTAGGAGGCAGTTAAATACGATAGCCATTCACAGATCACATGCAATTAATAAGAGCTCGCTTGTCATTAGAACGATTCTAGGACGCAAAGCGGAATTAGGTAACGCGTGTTATGCCTGGTGTTCCTAACAATGTTAACCTGTCAATTTCGTTTGTGCCTTGTGTTTTTTTCAGTGTTCAAAATTGTTAGCATTGTTCGTGTGTACAACACTGGCCCCTGCCTGTGTTGAGCGGGGTCGCGAAGTTCCGCCGTGCAAGTCGCTCTGTGAAGAAGTCATGCGCTCATGTTCATTCTTTATGGGCGTCTTCTCACTCAAGTATGTCACTCGTGCAGTGTGACAAAAACAAACCCATCCGCATGCATCTATGAACAAAGGCGGTCTTTCTTGTCCTATTCTAATGCGGCTAACTCTGTAATGCGTAAACTACGATAATCTAGTGATGTTTGTAGGCTTCGAACCAGTAAACATCCAATTCGCCCGTTTCGCAGAAACTTGAAGAGTTCACGAAAAAGGTTGCAATAACATACAGAATATACAATATGCAGAATAACTCGTACGTAAATAACATCGCACTTACCCGATTCAATTTTAGTTCGAACGCTAGAGGTATCCAAAAACACACGTTTGCATTGACAGCAAATGGATTTTTACGTGTCTAGATGCGGTACAGCATTAGCTTCATTAGACCAGACGTATTTTCCGTGGGCTAAATATATCTACATGTAGTAGTCTAATCGATACTGACTTCCGCTATGTGCATTGCCGGTTGATTGATCAGGTGTGTTTGGTGAGATGCGGGTGCAATCAACAGACGTATGTATCTATCAAAGACCAAAGGATAAACAACGTCAGGACGAGATGTTTGTTAAGGCTTAATTTTAGGCATTGTTATTTGCCTGCATTTATGTAGATACGTTATTTTCAACCTATTATAATATGATATTACAGGTGGTCACGAATTTCCAACTGTACACATCTACCAGAGTCGAGTGACCGTAGCGTCTGCGTGGGAAAATACGAGATCGAAAAATTGCGGATGTCCAAAGAACGTAAGTGCTTATGTAGCCGGTTGTTAGCTTGGAAGAGTGCGCTATTTGTCTGTCCGATCCACTGGATAGGTTGCCGTGCCTTTAGCAGTTCTCTAACTTTGACGGCTGAGAATTGCTTTTTATGAGATATGTATGTGTAGTCTAATTGATACTGAGTCGTGTTGAAACAATCGTCAAACAGGGAATCTGATGCCGACCACTAAACGACAAGCAAAGTTAGCATTAAAAAAAATTTCATCTCTAAGGCAAAGGTCAATCACCTTTGCAGTCATTTCATCCTAATGGAACTCTGGATAATGATGATATGTCTTTTTATTCAATAGTTTGCTCCTCGTAGGCCACTGAATATAGATAAACTTTTATTTTCGGAGCATCATTATATCGAGACTGGATAAGGAACTCACAGGTACACCTGCAGATGCAGACGAACCGTCCTGCAAAATGCGTTAGCAAGCCTTTTGGCAAAAACCATATGGCCAGTCACGTCCTTTTATGAAGTCTTTCACTGCGCGCAGTCAGTAAGCACTTTGTTTCTCTGTGTATTGTAGCTTTTTCTGTTTACGTTTTGTCTGGTGTTTAGGAACTTTAGATCTCTTATACAAAAGTTTACCGTCGCATGCCGCGTTCGACGAAAAGCCTTGATTAGGGTCTTTTAGCTTTTTTGCTCCGCTTGTTCTCGCCCGACGAATCGAACGAGCATAACAGGTAGCTTTCCTTAATCCACGTGTCGATACGCGGCGCCGACGTTAGGCGTATCGAATATGCCTATACAAATGGGTTCGTTGCTATTCTTCAAGGTGCCCAGTGCAGTCCGGACGTATCTATCTAGAACGTGCCTGGACCACATCGAAAGGACACGCTGCTTTATGCGCATGTGCGAATTGAAAGCAGGCACAGGTGTCATGAACAAAGAGAAGATCGCCGGCCATGTTTCATTCAAAACTACCTCATAACCACGTAAATAATGCATCAACAATGCCGCTGTTGTTAGTAGCACCCGCGGTATTGTATATACAGCCTCTAAAGCCGTAGGATTTACCGAACGGTTATATCCGCGCGAGTATTCAATAATAAGCAAATATTCTAAGCCAGTCGTTGAGGAACTTGGCCCTAACTGGCGGACGTTTAACTAGCCATTCAAAGCTGATATTAATATTTAAACGTGATCGGTTTTCAGGTTGCGACAATGGATTCCGATGTGACAAAAGTCGTTGTATCTCGAAGAAGTGGGTGTGTGACGGTCACTACGATTGCCAGGACCGATCAGACGAGCTCAATTGCAGTGAGTTTAGCTTCGGAAGATTTTTGTAGGGGCCGTCACCGAACCGTTATCCTTTGCCCCTTGCTGACGACTAGTTTAGTCTTTAACAGTTACACTTTATCGAGCATCAGCTTATGTATCGCGTGCATTGCTCAACTTAGAAGCGTTGCACTACCGTACGAAAGATGGGGGTAGTTGATAAAGTAGGATGTTTACGTTTGTTACCTTCCGATTTTCCTCCAATCGTCTCGACGTGCTTCGTCGTTTTTCGCTTACGTATTATATGCATCCTGTTTGGTCGATGTTCGTTAGCATCAACAGCTAGTTTCGAGTTGATTTCGTATTTTGTCTCCATATAAAATATATTGTTATTATCGTTGCGTCGTGTCCTTTTCCGTCAGTCCACATCTAGAATAGTTGCACACACAAATCCTAGTTATGTGTTACTTGTTTACTGCCAGTGTATGTACCAACGAAAGGATCCGTACTGATCAGTCCCATTTTTCATTGTGAACTCATCGCAAATATCCTTTGCTTTTATTGCCATTCAAGCGTTCAGACCGAATCAATCGATTTATAATAATGTAAACAACACCGAACACGACTTCACTATGCTACTGTAGTATCGAGCAAATATCGAACTGTACATAAATTTGCGAACGTCAGTTATGGAGCTTAAGCTTGGCTTGGATTCTATAACTTGAGGGAAAGTGGTGCGGTTGACGGCCCGTAGTTCGTAGATGTAGATCTTCGGGCGCTGGGGTGCCTTTGCAGAAAGCTATTTGTTCTCTGTAACGGCTCTCAGCGCCGCCCGAATAAGTGACGGACTGATTTCGGGCTCAGATTTTTGGGTGGACTACTTAACAGGTCGGTGTCCAGGAGAGTTCCGCTGCTCGGCGTCAGCATTCACTGGGACTTCAAGTGACTGCGTAGCCAAAAGCAAAGTGTGCGACGGAACCATGGATTGTACGGATGGCTCCGACGAGAGGCAGTGCCGTAAGTTTGCCCAGCTACTCGATTTTTTATTTTCAACTATTATCAATAACTTTGGTTTTTTTCCACCCAAGTGCTGTACTAAGTGTTCTCGTCCCTCTTAACTAGAAGCTCGGCTTTGATCAACCACTTACATGTAAATTTAGTATAAAAAAACAACTTGATATTTTGTATGACATTAAAATTAAGGCGCAGCATTTTTAGGTCACTTTACACATTGTTAATATGCTAACGTTTTCATCACTGCAAACCGGAAACACATTATAGAAAAAAAAAAACTTCTGGAACATCTCATACCCTTATTTTCACTAATTTGTAACAGAATAAATTATTAGACATATTAACGATTTTATTTATTGCTTTGATATTCAAAGGTCACATAACGAGGCGGTAATACGAGTGGCCTTAAAAGATCCATTAAGCGTCTATACTGGTGTAGGTACTCGTCCTTTTAATCTATACCCTATACGACGTACCTGGAACTCGTTACACATAATATTATACGTATCAAATCTCGTAATACGGGTAACTATACGCATCTGTTCTCGAAGCACCGTGTCTAATGAAAACAATTAGATTCGACAAGATGCTATCATGTCTTTAACTCATGATGAATAACAGATTTCTGCATGCGACAAAAGGACCCTACCGGAAGAGTGTCCGAGCCCCGCGCACCCCACATTTGACTACTGGAGATAGGTCAACATGGTTGGCAAAAGTGAATGGCTCGCGGCCGAGGCGGACGCGATCGGAAGTAGTTGGAGTGGTGGCTCCCGCTCATTCAAATCTTACTTTCGCTCTGATAGAAGCTACAGTTAATATCGACATTCGTGTCCGGACAGATGCACCGGCTAGGAACCGCTAGAACACGTCAGTTTCCTTGCTTCTTGCGAAGGCTTCTTGGGTATTCATCCCATGATGGCCTGTTGATGCAGCTCAATTCCTATTCGGCGAATAGTAGTACGAGCACACGAGCAGCCAAGTTAACTCCTGACCAGTTCCCACTTGGCCTCCTCTTATGACGAGAAGAAGGAAATATCGTCGTATCGAAGGAAAGGAGCACAGTCGCGTACTTTCTCTCAAAACTTAGCTAGGGGTAATCTATCGATTACCCTGGCTAAGTTTTGAAGCGATTGGCCGTTAGGCAACCCCCTGAAGGGGAAATCTCTCAAGGAGAAGTCTCAATAGTCATCAAACGGGTTATCTCCAAAAGCTTGCTAGTCCTATACAAGTGGCTACGAAGCATGCTATGCTAACTCGGTGTTAAGAACGCCAACGCGGAAACAGTGCCAGGTTATTAGCCAGACAGAGTAACTGCCAAAACCAGTATAGCTATTCTGTATATTAAAATTGTGCTGTATAGTATAACTGTATAGCTGCAATGGTTAAAATCACCATCAAGTTTCCGAAAATTATGCCGGAAATATATGAAATTTTTGCGACCTGTTATATAGCTCCAATAAATAAGTAATTAATTATGAGATAACAAAAAACGACGTGAAATATCTAAATTATCTAAGAAGGACTTGTCGAGTCACGTTATATCTAAGACAATAACGTCTGTCTTCTTGCTGACTCTTAGAGGTGACACGAATCGTTGACACTTGAAGTTACCACTAACTTATGTCGATATTTGTGACAAAAAAAAAAAACTGATATATAAATAAATTCACTTAACTTAATTAAAGACCGACTTTATTCAATCACGGACACAAAATTAGACATTATGTCGATCAAAATGATAACAATGGAACTGCATTTTTTCTTCTGAGAGAAAGCATTTATGTTATGACGCGCCTCTCACAAATTATGGGCGAATCGGTTGACTTTATATTGTTCTTATAATCAATAGATGAGAACGACACGCGTTCGACCGAGATAAGCTGATCGGCCTGACCATACCCGTTTACATTTATGGAAAAATCATCGGCCCATATACGCATATATGTATCTAAACGCTCTTATATGCATGCATATGTTTTTGAGATATACCAATTGCGCAAATAGCTAAATCTAATTTATTACCGACGGTGCTTTTGCAACAAAGTCAAGGTTTGTTGCGTACGTTTAGACATCTATTGTTATTTGAAGAGTTTAGCTGTCTGAAGATTTTTTGGATAATTGTCTTTGTATTTCTTTACCGTTCTGCTTGATCGGACAAGGTCCCTTTCAACAGCTCAAAGCAGTCAGGTCGATCAGTGTACTTTCATAATTTTTACACAGGTAGTAGAGAACTAGACAAAATCACGAATATGTAATATTAGAAGCTTCATATTTGGCAGCCTATAGTGCCTATATATATATATATGCACTATAGGCACCTAGGCCATTCAGTAAAAAATTTTTGATTCTATAATGACCCAACGTTTGGGATACCTTTTTATACTTGAGATGCCCTTACACTCTTCTGAATCTGAGATAGCTCACTAGGATATCGTTACTCGGACTTTTAACAGGCGAGCTGTGGTGAACGACGAAAAATCCAAAAATTCTAGTGGTTTACAAGTATAAAATCTATCTCGAAATTGCAGTGACAGAGCCCTATAAACCTTGTATTCGGTGCAAATTTCACTGGGGACACCGAAAACCGCTGCTTCTAAAAATTTCGAGGAGAAAGTTTTGAGCTTTGAAAAGGAGTCAGTTACACGGAGCGCCATCACGCGACGGCTGAGGCACGACTGAAGGTTCCAGTACGGGCAGCATTTGAGAAAAAAAAGAAAAAAGTCTTGAGTTATAGCTAACCAATGCAAATGGCAGGCCGGGAAGATGAGAGGGCGGCCACCACCTCAGTATGCAGTACTGTTATACGAAGAGCTGGGTTTGAAATAATAAGAAATTATTAAGAAAGGCGTATCTTCATAGAGTTGTATCATTGTAGTTTGTTCGTTGAATAATAACTGAGTCCATGTCGACTCTGAATTCTAGTTCAGCTGAATCACCGCATGGGTTTTGTTGGTGAGGGTCGGCTGGAGTTGTTCTCCACAGCTGCTGGGGGATTCGTCCCGGTTTGCGCTGAGGAGTGGCTTTCATCAAGTGAATCAACCTCAAGCGGAAGAGGGGGCCCCCAGCAATTGGCCGAATTCGACTGGAGCCGAAACACCTGCAAACTTTTGGGGTACGACCAGGTTCAGGTAAGTTGGTCGAAAAATGACAAAAAAGCGATGTACGAAGCATACTCTTTAAATGCATTACATATGCAGGATAGGTAACTATTGATTAGGAACGATGACTACGATAGATTGCAGAAGACCCTTTCTTCGTTTAGCTCAAATTTAATATGCTGAAAATGTGTGTTCAACGACATTGGCGGCGTAACTAAATTCGTTATTCTGTAGCAGTTTTAGCTGTATGTAAATATATAACTCTGAAGTTGTAACCGTCATAGTATGTAAGGATATGTACATAAGAAGAAGAATACGACCATTTCGTTGTCAGTTATGAAGCATGGTACGATTTGTGAGGCCTTTGCTTGGTCCAATAGATATAACATGTGTCGAACTTCTCTCAGTTGGCACGTGGAAATTTGCTTTTTCCACAAATCTATGAGATTATATTTTATTATAACATGTATGAAATTATATTTAACTAGGATTGAACGAATTGTTCAGTAAACTTAAGTGCCAAATTAAACTGTAATAACAATATCACGGTGAAAGTTAGTTGTTAATAATTAAAGTAGCGCAGTTAGTGTTACGTAGCTAAAAAGTTACTTTCTCTGCAACAAATAATAATAAAATAAATATCTTATGACAGGACTAGTCTATAAAGCTCCTAAATATATTTTTGCTTCTTCTAAGAAGTGCTTCCCGTGTGAGGTTATAATGCTTTCAAGGTGGAATGAGGAAAACTTAAACTAAAGATAGCTCTCTTAGAAAATGGACATAGATACGTTGTTACATATCCAGCTATAAATAAACCAAGGAATCGTTGCATTTCGCTAGCGTATCCATATGCGAAAGGCTTGGGAGAGCGTACTATTTTTTTTAAAATAGGCCTTTGCTGTACATCGCAGAGGCAGAGTTGTTAAAGGTTTCTCATTAGATGCATACAGGGACCTATTAATTTTTCGCAAACATAAAGTACATAAGGTGAGGAGATTTTTTGCATGAATATTGCGTTTTTTTTTACAAGCTACCGTGGTCTGAAAAAAAAAATAGAAAAAGTGAGGTAGTAGATGATAATTAGCCAGTCGCGAACGCAAAGTCTTCAAAATCTATTGTGTCACGAAGAGAATAATTAGAGTATCTATTTTACTATCGATTTAAATATGGCATCTAAGGCGCTTGTAGCAAGAAGAGAAGGCAGCGCGATCTGAGCAACTTATGCGCTAGTTCTGTGAGTGTGTTATAACGTTAACCGCACAGCTTCTAGCGGCGGGGGGAGGGGGGGGGGGCAAGTCCTTGATGCCATAGCGAAGAGGTAATTCAGAAAACTTGATTACGGAGCAAAAATAATCAAAAGCGTTAACAAAACAAAAGCTGACAAACATACATGAAAATTACGCAATCCAGCCAAACTATTAATCTCATAGGAAAAAATTATTGCAACGCAAAATTGTTATTGTTCAAACGCAGCACTGTTTCTGTTGATGTTATACTAGCTAGCTGAATCTACCTTGAATGGTCTTTGTTCCTTCTGCCGCTTGAGATACCATGAAAATTAACGCCACTCGACTCAAGTATATGTTTTTTTTCGCGTTGTACCGGGGATCGTTCGGCCCGAAAAACCCTATACCGAATTGTTTAAATCACTTTGTGCAACGATCAACGTAATTACCATAAGGTGCAGGCGCATTAAGCGTTGGGTAGTAGACAACAAGATGAAGCTTATGCCACAATTTTTATAATACTGATTTATCTATTTTTTGTTGTGCTTTTTTTAATTGACAATAACGACATTATAGAGAAAAATTGACTGCTGGTAACAGTGGTTCATAAATATTTTCTGGAGATCTCCGAATTTTCTTCAATGCGTTTACCTTGACTAGGTTCTACATCCTTGCTCGCAGCGGACAGTAACTTATCTAATGGTTTATATGATTCTGTTTTTCTACAAAAGGGAAACGAGAATAATCCATACAATTGAATGAAGGTCATTTCTGTTAGCCGAAGTCCACATCAAGGTGGACAGCTTTTCTCGATCTTGTTGCCAGATAGCTGGGCACTATACACGGCCCACGGTCAAACTCTTTCTTGCTGTTGTAGTTACGCTTGAAAACACCAATGTGGGGATATAATTGTGCTTTATTATTACTGTGGTGTTTTTAATGGAAAGCCTGTTACATTTCACGCGGATGCGTGTGTATTTACTGTTGTGAAAGCTTAGTAATATCGATTCCACCAAGCTTTCCACCAAGTCAATACGTAAATACAAAAAAAAATCACTAAGTATAAAAAGTAAATTGAAAGTAAATGCTGTAACTGGACATTTGCCATGTTAATGTAGACTATCACTCGCGTACGATATGCGAGAAACGCTATGGACATCGACAACGATATGAAACTTTAATGTAATAATTTTATTTGTTCCGTTTATACGGACAGGTATCGTTGATACAGATTTGGCAACGTGACAACGATGAAATTATAATCAGATGTTTTTTCTGAACTGGGCAGTCTGATACTAAGGTACGGAACTAATTGATTCGGGTAAAGTTATAGAGAACGTTTACGAAACTCGCTAATTTGGTACTTAATTTGAAAGGAGAAAAGGCTGTGAAAGCTATATAGAACATTTCATTCGAAAAATTTAAAAACCTAAACACGACGCTGAGGTGCCATTAGGATCATATTTATTAGTATGATATCGATAGAAAGCGTCTACTTTCGGATCAATCTATCAAATCAGAAATCAGATCCATCCTTTACAATCAACTGCTTATCATAACATACTAATATAGACTATACAAGTTACGGGCATATTGCGGGCGGAACACGTAAACCACACAGTTGGCGGTAGACTGTTTTTCGAGCTCATAGCCTCGAACGATGTTAGCTAGGGGGATCAGGAAGCATAGTTCTCCGCCATGTCCTAAATAAGGACCAGCTTGCTGTTCAGCGGTAGCCTGCAACACGCTAGCTTCAAATCAAGGCCCGTTTGTCGCTAAGTGAATTGCTGGCACCATCGTGTGGGTGGCGTGTGGGAGCGAGAAAATGTTCTATATATCACTAGTTCTGTTTACTGACTGTTTTATTTCATTATGGCGCCTTTCATACCTACTGTAGAAAGATGCGACCAGCCTATCTGTCTTACGATATCGTCGGCACGATAGCTTCACTAAGCTATTTTAATGTTTCGGTAAAACGATTAGTTCGAAGTAATTTCGTCAAAACACCCTAGTTTTTACTTTAATAAAAAAGCCAAAAAAAAAAACCAACAGCAAACATAAAGTGCTGTGTATATCTAAGGGTAATAAGTATAAAAAACTAAACGACTATTCAATATAAGGCGAATGCAACGAGTACCTTTAGTCTACCACATAATGTGTGGAATTCACGATGAGTGGCCTCGCGTACAGGAAGTCCATCATTTATTCATTTGCCCTAGGTGGTTGACCTTAACTCTGTCATGTGTTGCATCCTGCATGCCCAGAACCTTGCGGCGAAACCCTTGGCCGAGCTTCCGTTTTGCGTGATTTAGACATTTTATTTGCCCAAATGGTTACAGTTGTGCGAACTCTAGTGATGATGCTGGCCTAGGACATAATCGCGGGATTAGATAAGGACGCAAATCACACTTGTGTATTAGGCGTTATTTTCCACAAGTAGAATTTAGATTAAGGCTAGATTAGTGGGGATAATGGCGTTCTACAAAGCACATGCCAAATATCAGGACGAGTCATTTAGGCAGGCTAACTAGCCAATATGCTAGACATGAACACATATGTAAACAACACAATAAGAAAAGGATTAGAAACCTACCGCCTTTCGGGCCTGAAGTACTACTTTGAGAAACGCGCGTCATACTTGTATTAGTGGCTGCAAGTACTAGCTTTAGTAAATGCCTCAGTTGTCATTGCAGTGATAACAGCAAGATTGAAGATAGAGCTGATATTCAATATCGGGATTGACACTTGTTTACTTCTGCTACTAATAGACGATAGTGCAACGGTCGAAATTAACCGTTCATTATTCGTTTTCCGTTACCTTTTTTTCTAGGAGACAAGAATCAGAGATGATTCACCCTCCATTGCGTTTATCGGGGGTGTGGGGCATCCCCCGTTAAGATTTAATCCTTCCACACGAAACGGAATACATTCTGGCCCGGCCATTCAAGACGGCTCAAACGCACAAAGCCCCCACAATTATCCTGGCTCATACAGTAGCTACAATCTCAACTCCATGGGCGGCGGCAGCAGCAGCAGCAGCAACAACAACAACAACAACAACGATTACAATAGCAATTTAAATAAGCACAACATCGCCAGACAACCTTCCGCCAACGACCTCAGGTGCGCCGTTCGTAGCAACAGGCTTTAGACTATTGGCCGAAACCAAAAGCTGCAACGTAATATTTGTAGATAAAAAATAAAATTCTAGCTAAGCCAAGCTGATAGGCCGCGCTTTTTGTTTGGCTGCATAAAGCTACTAGTTAGCCCAAAAACATACCATTTTCTATTGCATACACATTGAAACAGATGCTTTGAAAGCTTCTGAATAGCTGAATTACGATACCTAAATTCGTAATCGCTAGCTTGAATCGATTATAGGTTATGTTGCGCTATCTATCGGCTGGTTCAAGGTATAGAAGGCACAGAAACTCAAATCCCCGGTAATGCAGGGCTGGAACAATTGGCTGATCTTCGTTTGCCTGACCTGTACGCTGACTGAAGCGGGCCAACGAAATCACGACAACTCTTCTCTAGAGCATAAATTTCATTTATGCTACTCTTAACATCCATTATTAGGGGAAATAGGCATGAAATCAATCGGTAGTAAAAGCCCAATATATTTATTATTACAGAAAAACAAAAAAAAATAGAACGGTTCATTTAATCGGTCCAATTTCCAATATGGGTTTTTTGTGCATATATCGAAAAAAGTAAGTAAGTCCTCCTTCTTTAGCAGAATTTCTTGTTAACGACACTGCGTAAAGCTTTACTCGGAGATTTTTAGCAGACCAAACCGGGAGAATGCATTATTAGATCTCTGCATGAAGTTCTTCTAGGAGCAATTTAATTTAGTTGCGCTGCAATTTCCTATTATTGCTGTTTTTCTTATTATTCGTAACAAAACAGGAAGTTCCGCAAGCATCTCTTCGACCGCCAGAAGGAAACTGCCTGCGCCTCGTCGGGAGTCTCCGTCTATCTGAAGTGCACCAATTTCTGTAAGTTTCAAATAGATTTCGGTAGTGGAAATATCACTATTCTCATTAGCCTGATCTTCGGTACGGCACGCTTTCCATACAAAATTATCGGGTCATAGATAGAAATTTAGATTATGTATAACGAAGATGATATAATTAATGACTAGAAATCATGATCTATATTCGCTGCACTCTTTTTTCATTACATATAATAATCTACACTAAATGGATTCTTGTACAAAGAATATAGGATCTTTAAGTTTTGAGATGATCGCCATTAAAGAGACTTCTGTCTCTGATAGATAAAATTGTTAAGATTAAAACGTAACGCAATTAAGTTGATCGCACTTTCACGGCTAATTATGTACGTGCGTATATAATAAACCGAGACCACGGAGTAAGCTTGGTGACAGACCACGTACGATTAATTAAGTTGCCGGACGGTGACCGCGGAACAGCGAGCATCGCAGAATAGTGTGTGGACACGGGGGCTTCTGCCAACGACGATGACGAGGTGACTTAGGCCTAAAGCTTGTGGAACAACATCGTAAGGTGAAGGGCAGACAAATAACTGATTTGATTTACGCGTCGAACAGCGCGATTGGAAGATGCGTGACCGCGTGGAGACTCTTTAATAAGCCCGCTTTTTTTTACGATGTCATAATTACACACACACGCGGATACTCGATCTGGTATTACGTAGAGCCAGTATGCCAGTCTAGCCTGAATCGAGCCGGATAGAACAGATAGATCAAAAGCGGGGATGACACTTGAGCAGGACTTTGACGCAGGCCCGCTAAACCAGGCGGCTTTCAGGACATAAGTCGAAAAATTCGGCATCCGAATGAAAGGGTTGTGTAAAAAGCCAAAGACAGCTTCTTTGAGAGGGATAAACAAGCCCGTAAAAAGTAAATATTTACGTAATAAGGCAGTAAGACTTGTTTCATGTTGCGGATATAGTTTGGATCTTGAATCCGTGCAGAGATGTACCTTTTGAGACAAAAATACCTCCCTGCTTTATACCAAAGTCGGTATTTCCAGCTAATAGATAACGCCCGCAGGTACTGCTATTCGCTATCACAGAAAGGCGGAACATATTCATAGACGTAGTTATTCATGAGTATTCTGAAGGATTTAAGGCAAACGTTTGGTCGACTGCAGGTACGATTAGACACGTGCAATGTAGACGTACAGGTTTACCAATCCCCTCACGAGGCAAACTGGTCTTAGAGAAAGGAGCTGAAGAATGATCGTAATACGTAGAACGAAGTTCATGCGAGTGAACAAGAGTCCTTATTTTGCAAAAAAAAAAAAGGTATCGGTAAGGCAATGAAGAACTTTTTTTGTCCAACTCTAATTACTCTTGCTGTTCGTAATGCAGTATGTTCATGTACTAAGCAAACTCTTTTCTTCGCCTATACTGAAGACTATTCCAGGCTCCTGGCAGCTCTAACTATGCTCCGAAGCACTTCGTATCCACGGTCATCAGCGGTTTGTTTACGTCTATATGATACATGGTACGAGGTTGGCATTGTAGTATCTAAAGAAAGACTAAATTGTTGCAGGTATTTGTCTTATTCCAATAGTCAAGCTCTCCAGCTATGCAGTCCATTCATCCGCTTTAAATGTGTTGACAAAAAGAAATTCATCTGAGATAGCGAAGTTTAGTTGCTAAAAATTCAGATTTCTTTTTATTGTTGTATCCAACCGCAATATGGCGATTATTACTATTAATAGTAACGCTTGGATAACCAAAAAAAAATTGTGTGTGTGTGCGCACTTTTAAAAACACTTTTTCCAAACTATTATATAATGTGTTATTAATCGTGTGCAGTTGACACAGAGCCATTATTTTGTAATAGCTGTTTACTATACGGCGTAATCCTTTCCCTTATAGTTATCTCTGGAGTCTGTCTTCTCATTGGGGACACACTGTTTTGTTCCTAGCATGTTCTAATACTTACAACTTCTCAGATGCGGATTTTTTAACCTAAATGGCCTAAATACTCCTGCTTTCTGAGAAAAAGTGGTCAGCTGGATTTCCTCCTTCAGAGATCTCTTGAGTCTTCCAGGATCCGCTTCAAGTTAGCATCAGTACAGTACACTTTCGAACATAACACCGTACGAAGTCCGTTACCGCTACTGATAAAAGGTTGAGAGTACCTAGCATCGTTATACGTGCAAAGACAGCTGTGGCTCAGTACCATCCTGACCAGTCCTTGGGCTTAGACAGCTGTCGCCTCCCGGCCTCATTAGTTCCGTATTTTTGCCTGCTGGATGATATTTTCTCCAGCTTCATGTTAGTGCTATAGGCAGCTAAAGCACTTTTTAGGTTTTCCATAACGTCCTACATTGCTGGTTCCTGCGTATAGGTCTTCGTGCATCACTAGCATAACTGTCCTCCTATTGGATGTATGTTAGGCAATCCGCCTTCTTCGCCAGATGCTCCTCTTCCATCTGCTTCGGAAGTCTCGATTTGCATGTTTTAGTGCTACTTGCATTCGTATGAAGAAGCATGAAGTGTCGATGGGGCTGGAAAGGAGAAAGTCTTGTAATTTACAAAGTCTTGTCCCGCAAGCTGTCCTGCTAATTTGTCTCAAACGGTATATATCCCCGTGTGTGTGTTAGTGTTTGCCATGTGAACGGTTCGGCCGGATCAACAGTAAGGCGACTATATATTTTTACAGCACAAGCATCTTGCTAAATCAATTCGTTGACGATTCTCTAACGCGCCGCACACTACGAAAAAAATAGATCTATCAAGATTCAGACTTTACCTGAAGCTTTTTCCGTCTTAAACATGAAATTTGCCGTATAAAAGCTCGGATGCGCATAGACATGCGTGTAAGTATACTTCAGGGTACATGTACGGCTGATACTCTGTATTGCTGATTTACTCGTCTGAGCTTACCCGATTTCGAAATTTCAAGCCACACATGACAGGCGATCAAATATATTCTCAGTCCAATTCCCGGCTGTGAGCCATCTCTCGTTCTTCAAATTATACATTTATTGCGCCTTATATGTTCTATGGAACCGCCATCCGCGTAGTTCCACTTGTTCATTAAATGAGTGTGAAGAGCTCTTCCAGAATGGTGAAGCTTGGTCGTAAAATCGTTTGTGAGTCAGGTAAAAGAGGATACTTTAATATTTGATGCGTTTACGTATTCGATATAACGTTGTTGTGTTTTGCTTACAGCCTGTGGTCGTCGTGCGGAAGATATGCGTCTCTCAAGGCCACAGTCACGTATTGTCGGCGGCAGTGAGTCACCTCCAGGACGGTTAGTCTTACCAAAGCTGATTTTTACATTATTGATATAGCTATGTTGAACGATACTAAGCAAAGGTCCTAGTGTCCTTGTTATTTGTTAACTATGAACAGGCAGCCAATATTCGTAGCAATGCTATCGGCAAATACAATAATATTATTCATTTACCATACATCAAACACTGATTTGATTTCTCTGTTTGACACTGATTGACATCTCTGTTTATTTTTGTCTTCTTTAAAGCTGGCCGTGGCTTGTAGCTGTGCACGGCGGCAGCGATCATGTGTTCTTCTGCGGGGGCGTGCTTATCTCATCCTGGTGGGTCCTGACCGCCGCACATTGCGCCGGGAAGTAAGTGCAGTCAATCCTCCATCTCCAGATGCCTTTGACAATTAGAGGCACACATTATTGACATAGGTTAATTATGGCCTTGTGTTTTGTACCCCAATGTAATTTAGACAAACTTCAACTTACCTAGACTAGGAGGCTTTAACTTATACGTATTTGAGCAAAACTCAAAATTATATTTGAACACAACGACGCGTTAGTACATTTCTTATTTCACATACAATTAGCCGTTTTGTAACTGACCCCATGCTTATGTGCTGATTCTGAGTGACCAACTTTAGCAACATGAAATTATTACAAGATAGCCATGCTCTAGTCAATAGTGAGGCATTTTTACAGAAAGTATTATTACAATAACCGTCAGATATACCTCGCGAGTTCAAGCTTCATCGGGCAAAAAACGTAAAATTATATACCTTTGAAAATCTTATATAAAAGGCGGATGTACAAATCGATACATTACAGTTCTACTGATCCCGCTGGATGGCTTCTCCAAATGGGTATGACTCGGCGAAACTCTGCCCAACCCAGCTCGACGCAGTCGAGACACATCCAGGCCGTTGTAAAGCACCCCGACTTCAACAACGCCTCGCTGTACAACAACGATATAGGTACGCTGTCCCCAGAAGCTTCGGAACAATAGTAGCACTATCAGCTTTATAATAGAGCAGACTCACGTTTGCCTACTAAGTTTCTCTTTTTTCATTTAAAAGCAAGTTAGGCGTCGCAAACAAACGCTGTGCTATTTGTATGGGACCCACCTGAAAAATTTTACGATGAGCTGTTACAACCGCCGCGTGGCAACGACGTTAAACGTTTCTGTGATGAGTGTTCCTCGAAAATTTCTTACATTTTGTATGCCAGTCCTAGACGTTGTGCAAATGTTTGGAAAAAGCGAACGAGCGCTGGACAAAAGAAGGCAATTGGGATTGTTGTCGTTAAGCTCGTGGCGCATACGATGGTAGCGATAATGAGCGAAGGCTTTTGCTTTCGCTTTCTATACTCTAACAGGCTCAAAAAACATCGCTTTGGAGGAGGATGCATAGCGCAGGCGATCTGAAGCAGACTTGTCCAGAAAAGAAGTTTGTCATTGCTTTGGATTTAGCCTTGCGACCAAGCTATTTAAGCGCACACAAGACAGACGGTCTTAGTTACGCTCGAAACGAAACAAGGCCAAATAGAACAGAAGCTTAACAGCGGTGACTGGGGAAATGGGAAATAGGCCTTAAAGGACGGCAAGAAGAGAGACATGCGACGAAGTGCAAGGGTTCGTAAGGCCACAAAAGTTATGGGCATGTGAAACGCTACAAGTCGATTGGCTGTAGTCACCTTGACAGTCGTTTTCCCACAGTAACCTCCTCTTTATTTTCATTCAAAGTCACTAATTGGCCTTTGCATTTTCCCTTGTGCCGCCATTGTTTGCACACATGTACAGACTTACTCAAATAGGAGGCATGCACATACAAGGAGCGTGCACAGTTTGCGAAAAGTGGACGCAGCGAAGACGCGACCACCTCATAGGAAAGCGGAAGCGGGAGCGTCCCTACGTCCGCGCACTTTGTCGTCTTCGAGTAGCGTGTTTCTGTCATGAAGAGATACGCAAAGAGGTCATGAAAGAAGCCCCTCTGATGAAGCGACGATACGACCAACAGCTGCCGGCTAGTGTTGGATCTAAATATCTGGAAAGGCTGAGAGAAACGTTATGAGAGTGTGGGGAATCTGAACAAAGCTCCACTACAGGGCAAGTTGAACAAACTGGCATCTAGGAATAAGAGTTTACAAAGGAGCAAAGGGAAACACGACATTTTTTGTTATTTCCTCGAGTCAGAAAACGAAACAGAAGCAGCGTCTGCAAACCAGCGCGAAGAAGAGTAAGGTCCGGAATATATAGGACGGAAAGGGAGCACAACCAAAGCTGCAATGAGATGGCAGCGTGACGTGTGCAGGAAACTATATTAATGGCCATAGAAACGCTAGTTGGTACCTTCGTCATTCAAGCTTTCCTTTTTCCCTGCCGCAATATTCGTACAAGCAGCTGGAACAGCGGCTGGATCAGATCAAAAGAAGCAGAAAATGAGGTCGGTCCAACTCGTGAAGTCTATGCCACTGTTAATAAACCAGCTCACGTTATAACGAGTGCACATTTCATTAAGCTTCACGTATGCATGTAAATATAAGGTAGACACAAACTAGTTAGACGAAAAAAAAAGTTTTCGTTTCTACTCCGAGCTGCGATGCGCGTTCTTTGAATAAGTTGACGCTAGACGTTCGTTTGTGCTGACCCGGTCATATATTTGCTATTGTTGTTAGGCGTATAGTCGTGAATAATTGCATGCAGATTACGCCTGCATGTAGTTAGATGTAATCTGCATGCGTTTGTTCATGCAGACATGTATAAAAATAAAAGAGCACGTTTCAAGAAATTAAACGTACCTAAGTTCAAAATGTGCTTTTTAACAATAAATGACGACTGGGCTGTAGGCGACTAAGCAATGTATATATGTATATATATGTGGTCGGGCTAAAGAGTCCATACTTTCATGAAAGCAAAAAAATTAGGTAGTTGGTGAGAACTTAAAGTTCATTAACTTTGTCAGTAATTGAATTAAGTAAATTATGACGGTTTGGCGTCTTGTAGCGCTTCTATTGCTGTCGGATCCGGTGAGCTTCGACGACTTCTTGCGTCCACTGTGTCTGCCGCCGGAGGAGCCCCTCGCGCCGGGAATGACTTGCACCGTCGTTGGTTGGGGTAAATCGCACCACGCTGAAGGTAAGTGTCTATGTAAGTTCTTTGTGCGACTGTTGACACCTCGTAACAGTTACTCAAATATACATCACTGTAGCATAGTCAGCTTGAAGCAGTACGCCGATTGCATGTTAGAACGTCATGTAAAGTGAAAAGTATCGGTTACGGCTGAATTTGTGTTTGAATGTCTGGTTGTTTGGCATACTACCTAAAGCCATTACTATCCAAGATCCAAACTTAATATAGCTAAATCTTCTATCAAAATAACTTCAGTGCCAATACGTGATCAGAAGCTTCTGTTTTCTCGACCCGAATAGCCATTATTTACGGCCACAGTAGTACGTTATTGACTTTCCGTGAACCAGTCAAGTAAACACCGCAAACCTGTCAAAATGATAATCCTCTTCATACTTGTCTACATTGTCTTAGTGAAAATGCGACAATGTTTTAGCGAAATATCTAGGCTTCTATATATGGCACTGCGTCTACCTTTGGAACCTGGATTATTTGTGCGTTGTATTATAATGTGATGATAAAAAATGGTTGGTCGTAGGATCTGTACTCAAAAGGTAAGCGCGCTGATTCTTAATAATGTTTATCACATCCCACACCTCATCAACGCACGTCAGCTCACGTTTTCAAAAAACAAAATTGTGTTAATGGGAAAGGGAGCTCAGTTTTTTTGGAAGGGCATACAGCACCTTACGTATATCGCAAGCTTGAACTTCGTAAGTGAGCGGTAACTTCACTTCAATCTCACACTTATCATGAGCTTGCGTTTTTAAAGATAGACAAAGTTCTACTCTCCCCACAGATCTCTTGGCACGAGTGCGTTCGAAAATACTCTATATTATGTACACGACAATATATCATTTACCTCAGCATATTTCTGTGTTTATGTGCGACGACTCGCTTGAGCTACTATATGTGACAAGCACCGTCTACATAGTATTTGTAACGTATCGCTTGATCAAAATCTTTTCATAATGTTCGCATGTTTCTTAATAGGTGTTCGTATTAATGTTTCCAGTTACAGTCGGCATGGTACTTTCTGTCCTTTTGTAACACCTGATTGCAGAGTAACAGTAGCAGCCTTAAAGGATCAGCTAAAATCACCCTCTATATTGAATAAATCTATCAAGCTTTCAGAAAAACTTAACTAGCTTTTTTTTTTGTAGCTCTCGATCGTACTTCTGTTCATGTCATTGTCGCTGGCACTTACGAGTGAGATGAAGACGGGCTTAGATGACACGACGTCGTGAAGCCTATTCAGCTAGCGCTTAGCACACCTTTATCCGGCTCTAATGAGGTCCCTCCAACTTTCTCTTTCTCTGTTCCCTGTTGTATTGGGTAGCGATTTCAAATGAACGGATAGATATGAGGGCACTTCTCCTTGTCGCGGCGGCGTTAAAAGCGAGTGCGTCCCTTCAAAGAAAAAACAACTCTTTTTTTTTTAACGCAATTTAATTAATTTAAAGGCAAAGAGACGAATTAGGGTCTTGTAATGCGGTCTGAGACTCTGCGGGCAATTAAAAGCTGTTCCGTTAAACTCTATGATCATCTAACACTGTGTCATCGCTGTTTTCAAGGTGCCTAGACTTAGACGACTGGCTATTTTTACGTATGTCAATTACGTAGAAGCTGTGCGAATTAATTCTCAGCTCGAACCGTTAATGCACTGCGAAGCTGATCGCTGTCCGGCGACATCACTCGAATTCAATCCCATACATTTCTTTACACTTAACCGAACATAGTGTACTCTAGCTTGCATATAGAACTTTTGTTTCTGCTTCAGTTATTCAATGAAGATATATTATGGATAAAATATATCGAAATCACTTTTGTATCGCCTGTCCCAGAGATAAGGCCGTGGGATAAAAATTACCTAGAGGAACTATACAACTAAAGAATCCCGTTTTTCTCTGCAGGTACTAATGATGGCAGTGTCGAAACCTAGCCGATGTTACAAGGTTCACGAAATAAATAAAGCATATATTCATATTAAGTTAGCTAAAAAGTTCTAATTCTCAAATCAGACGTAAGTTTCAAAGCAGCGAACAAAGTAGCGCACTAATGATTTTGTCTATTTTTCCTATTCCTCTTCGGCCCGTGAGCTATCGGTGCTCACACATCACTGCACTTCCGTAACACTTTGGGCGATCCGAAATCGCTGGCAGATCACCGATATTCCCATGTCCTGCTTCCTTGCCTGGGGCTCGATTTCATCGACCCGCTTTCCCTACAACCGCACGCAACTTTCTTTATTGGGTCAACTGGTCGACCGTCTGTTGTTTTATCTGATAAAACAACAGACGGTCGACCCAAATGATGTCTCCAGTTGATAAGCCTCCTCCAGTCCCTTCAAACGCGAATCGTGGTTTTGGTCAGAAGGAGATTCGGCGTAACGCCCATTCCGGAGCCACTTATTCCTTGCTACGATTTATATTGACATTGAGGCGTCACTTTTCGTCAACTATAACACTTCTGTGCGTTACTGTTGGTCATGGCAACCTATTAAGAAGCAATAAGGAGCTACGTTTCATTCACTATTATAGAATACTTGAGCTCTCAAGTGTGTGAAGATAACTGATGAGAGTCACTGAATGCAGGTCATTTTTTATAGCTCTAGTGATTGAGTTCTGTTGAAGACGCGCTTTTGTTCACCTGGAGTTTGCACTTTCGAATCCCGAACTTCCGTTCACTATACAACAGAGTCACAATAGAGTAAAGGAGGCGCTTTCTAATCATATATAGCAACAAAAAAATAACTGGACCGTAAATGAAAAAGCGAGCATCTAAACCGAAACAGCAACCATATTCCAATTAACCTGACGTGTAATACAATACACAAAAGATAAAACGGTTTTGCCATACGGATAAGTTGGCAAAGCAACTTACCCATAACGGCGTTTGAGCGTCGAAAATGTTTTTCTTAATCGGAGTCTATTCGTAGGGAAACTGATTGATTGAACAGGTCACGAAAACGACCGCTGTGAGTTATTTTGATTAACTCATGTAGATAACCAAAGTTTCCTACTCCGATACGTTGAAGTCCAATTAACGCGCGGTACATGATGCTTCAAATACACGTATACTTATCTAGTATCGTGATACAGGATTTTAACCAGAGGATAACCGTTTTCTTCGGTTAGTCAAGCCGGCAATCGAACACAAGCATTTTCAAGCTGTAACCTGGCATATTGTAAATTACTGACTAGACCTTATGATTCTTTTTATTATATTACAGTAAATTATTCTCATATAATTACTGTTCATGCATAAGGTCGATAACTTACTAGCATTTACTACTCAATTTACAGACGCTGAATATAATATGGTCATCCACGAGGTTGACGTGCCTATTGTTGATTTTGAGACTTGCCAAGGATGGTACATGAAGGTACGTGTCAGCTGCGAAATCTGCCCTCAGATTTATTTCGAACAACAATTGTCCCATACGAAACCGTCTTAAATTTAATTATTTTAAATCTTCCGAATGATTCCAAATACTCAAGCCTAAGCTGCTACCAAAGACCTCCTGCCACAGACAACGTACTAGAATAGAAAAACATTTTTATGTGGCCAAAACAGGCCTTCTATAAGCACCGTCAAAATAGATCTTCATAGATGGACCAGTTTGTGTCAACAAAGACAGGTCTACTACGATATTTTATTTTATGAATTTAAATATGTGACTTCTAGATATGGTAATATTTGCTATTCCTTATCAGAATGCGTTTGGATTTTGGAAGTATCTTCTTTTTTTTTTTACTTTTTTACCTTTTAGTACATTTGGAAGCAATGTACCTTGGCTCTAAATTATGTAATCGCTAGTGTCAACAATTGATTTGATATTTTCAGGAAGACATACTAATATCGGATTCAATGATATGTGCGGGCTATGCTGAGGGTCAGAAGGATGCGTGCCAAGGTGACTCTGGTGGGCCGCTCGTCTGCAGGTGAGTCCTTCAGTTTCGCAGACTTTTTTAAGAATCCCCGATGGTTTGTCGATAGAAAAAAACTTAAGAGTAACGCACTGCTGTTCAGTAGCTAGGTTACTACGAAAATCACCGTCTACGGCGTCTTTTGTACATGTAAACAATTCAACAGTTACGTAAGCAGATTTCGATGAGTGAGGCATTACATAACGGTGTCTATATGTTTTTAGAGCAATTATGCTGATGCGTTGAGTTTACCATTAGAGAGAACCATCTCTGAAAGAATTAGGCATGAAAATACAGCCACGAGCCTCTCCTTGTTTTTCTCTACCAAACTTTATCTATGGACATGGCGGAACATCTTGACAATGAGCTATAGAGCTGTCTGCGTGCTGATTGAGAATTATATATAATAGCATGCATTGAGATAGGCTAACTTTCAAAAAGTTCCGCCATCATTAGCAAAGATCGGCCGGCGATCCAACAAACTTATACAAGGCTACAGAGGTACAGAAAGTTAGTTGTATCTACGGTGAACTAAAATTGATCTCATTACAGAAAAGGTCAGTACGATAGGCCACAAGGTTAACAAAATCAGGCTAGTCAAATCGCGGAAGGGCAGGTGATCACTTAGTTTCTCATATTTAAAATTTTCCGCCAACATCTAGTTAACGCGGTAAATATTCCAAGACAGAGGTTGATGTCATAATTGTGTGCTCCAGACTAAATGTAAAACTTCTGCTAGACTCAATGATGATTTTGCTGAAGTAACATACGATCGACTTCTTTAACGGATTCATCTAAATTCACCTCTACAAAGTTGTTATCAACACTTGACAACTATGAGCGCATTAAGCGCAGTCACTGAGTACGTTCGATGTGAAGACGCTAAATCGAACCACGAAACTTCGATGGTATTAACTATAAACGTTTATATTGGCCTGCTAGATATCGCTCGGCACCCGCTGATTAAATGTATATTTTCGGAAGAATCTACCGTGCATGTGTATCCAGTACCCACGAAACTACAGTGTACAGATGTATATCCGATAATTCTCACAATCTTTGTTTTCTTGTTTTATAAAGGTACACAAAGCACGCTGACACGATTACCATACCTATGTCACTGAATATGATAACGATTTATAATAATCATATCTTCTTTTGATATTTCAGAACGGGGTCTGGTGGACCGTGGTTTGTTGCCGGTATAGTATCGTGGGGCATCAAATGCGCCCAGCCGCACCTTCCCGGCATCTACACAAATGTGCCCAGATACCTTGACTGGATCCGTGAAATAACAACAGAGTTCGGCCACCCACTCGATCTCTAAAGGGAAAATCCCTGCGACAAGCTAAGCTTGAACCAGCGAAAAAATTGATCTGAACTAGAATAATATGGCGTAACAGGATACCAGTAGCCACCATTTAATATGAATATATTTTTTCCAACTCCTCATTTTGCCGTGGAGGCCAATTAGTCTTCAAGAACTCACGAGCTTTTACATAGGCATCTGGTCGAAGAATAAACGAAGATCGCTTTAGTACCTCACACCATTAGTGACGTTTATCGATTCCTAGAGCGATCAGAACTCTGTTCTGCCGAAAAAATTATTCTCCTATTGTTTTTCGCTTGCTTGCGCAATCGCCAGCCAGGTTCTGGTCCCGAGGAGACATGACAACCAGGACAAAGGGTCGCTCTGTGTAGCAGCTGCATCAAATAGCACGTCAATGTCGGAATCGTGTACAATGAATGTAGAGGATCAAACCGAACGATCCCGTCTGAAAGCCGATAGCGCTTCATACAGTATGATACAAAATAAATACTGGCGGAAACTCTGAATGGTCATCCCGTTGTTTGAATCGACTAAACTACTAACACCTACAAACGATCGCACCACTGCGAGCCCTGAATGAAATTGGCATAACTACAATGAAGCAGTAACGAAGCAAGGAGCTGTGTACAGTCATACGTGCACATGGGCTCATGCTGCAACACAGCGCTAAACTGCATTGCTATTCATTGCACGCCGTAGATTGACGCAATCACAAACGTTGAAAAAGCTCATTATTGAGTACGAAAACAGAATAGCAACTAATGCAACAATCGAATAAGTGAAGCTATAAAAAGAAGGGGAAGAGTAAAGCGAAAGAGTGGAAAACGATGTGAAGGTGCCGATGTTCAGATGTACGGGAAGCACGCCCGAACTACTGCGGGGTAGTCGTAGAAGTCAAATCACGGACTGTTAAGTTAAGAAACCACAAAGTTCATCAATCAGCTACAAGTAGACAGAATATGATTGAGAGTGCTGGCCCTGAAATGAACAAACCGAGTTCTCAGAGCAATTTGGATTGTTCGAGCCATCGACAAACGAGCGAGCCGCCATTTAGCGTCTGCTCTCGTCGGTAGATCTGCGGAGAATGTCTGAACTCTGCGTAAACAAACAGTATGAGTCACCAGGATCAGTAGAAAATCTACTGACCTCTTTAACTCCTGTCATAGAATGTGAGTAAGCGCGAAATGAGAAAGTTCTTTAACATAGAAAGAGATCTTATCACAGCAAACCTATAGTACTATGTAAGATGGCAGTTGCAACGCGGAGTCAGGAGTAAGTTACCGATTAGGGGTGCGCATACATCAGTCTGAATGATACATGAGTATGTGCATGCGTGTCTGTGTCCGATATTATGTCTCCCAAGAGAATTCGAAAGCGGTCAACGGATAATATTGATCCCAGAACGGATAGTGAGATAACAGCACTGCTGTTGTTAATAATAATAGCAGTGAGAATTGGTGCGCGCAGAGGACTGATAGTACCTCTCTGACGCTACGGTAAAAGAAAGAAACAAACCTAGTGAGATTTTTCTGCAGCTTTGTGTTTATAAACGTAAAAAAAAAGTTTCAAGTAGCAACAAGCACGAAAACGATGAATCCTTGTGTTATCACAATACAAGGAACACACTTAGCGGACGTCTAAAGCGGCATCACACGCGAGAAAGCAAAGCGATGATGAGTAAAATACGTGGAAACAGTTATAAAATCATAAAACATAAATTGTACATTGTCTTTAAAGAGGAAAATAGAAAACGATATATATGTCAATATATATCGCACAAACGGTGGGGAACTATGATGGTGATTGGAAGGGATCAAATGGAAGTATTTTTACATGTGGACCACAGCGCCTTAAATACAATAACAGATCATCAAATGAGGCGAACATCAAATGATGGGTGGCATCGTCAGTCCGGGATGGGACAATGGTTTTTTCAACCACTGATGACTGAATGAATTTAGTCTTTACCGCAAAAACGACTTTGACAAATCAACATCTCGTCCGGTCTTCGTTGTATCCGAGGGAAAATTTAGTTCGCTCGAATTGAGAGACAGAAAAGCTAAGCTCCTCCCAACATTATTCATATACATATATATATATATGTGTAAGAGACGCAAGTGAGATTTTCTAGGTGTTATTAATGTATTATTTACACTTATTACGTAGATAGATATATATATATATATATATATAAAATGCAGTATGTGTAACACAAAAAGGTTACTAACAAATGACAAGCATAGTGAAAATAACTATTATATATATAGCAGTGACTATTGCTATTAAAACAAACAGAAGGTATATGCAGCCATCTATCGACGACAACAACCAACCACAAAACGAAGCTACACAATATCTGAACGTGAATCTTTACTGGGAGAAAAAAATCTAGCGACAGTTAAAGGCCATATTAAATGACTGTGTTGTATGATATGATACGTAAAACAATAAACATCATATTTATGCTGATGAAAATGATAATAATACTATAACAGCGAATAATTAAACTTGTGAAAACAATCTCTCTTGTTGTTAATGCTGAAAATGAAATAGTTGGATGAAGACGTTGATCAATGAAAATAGTTCTCCGGGAGCGTTTTGCCCAATCGATGGAATCAAACGTTCCCAAGTAACGGTGCCGTCAGGTGAGCGATACGGATTGCTCGCTGCTCAACAATCGCCGACATTCGCGCCATCTGGTGGCCAAACTATGTTCAGCCCGTTTTATAGATAGCTAGGTACTATAATAATGCTGCTATTATTATTTCGATGGCACACAAATGAATGCTAGCTATAGGCAATGTTTAATCCAACGATGACAGTGACAATTACTGTTAATATAAAAATCGAATATTAAAAAATACTATTATTGATAGTACCAGAAACTTTAGTGTCTACCCGACGGTAGCAAGCGGATTACGAAAAAGCGGCGGGAAAATTACTGAGTGAAAAAACTACTAGCAACTAAATATTATATATATATATATATATATATAAGGCGAAAAGTCGATGCCCAATGAGAAACGCTATTACGCTGTGTATCGTAAATAAACGTTATGGTTGGTCAAGATTCGAAGGACAGACACGGTCTAGGCGATACAATAATTATTGCAACTGAGACAGACAATAAACATTGTATAAGAAGATAGACAAATAAACCAGAAATGAGAGGGAAAGCAGAACGAGAAAAGTAAAAGACAATCATATATTGGCATAAGCTACAATTTCGCGGCGACAGGGCGTCGTGTGGCAAAGCATATACGATTTACAGTTAATAACGACAAGTCAACTCCTGTTGAGGAGATTTATTGAGCCACGTATGTTCACCAGGACAAAGGACACTGCTGCCGCCGTAACCGACACCGTTATACATATATATTGAGTTGATTTTTTTTTCACTTGTAAAACGTGGAGGTAGCCAGGCCACATAGGTGGATATGATGAAAAAAGGTCTTTGACCAACGGACCCTTTGATGGCCCAGGATTCGCCAGGGTACGACGATATTAATAGCAGACACCGAGATTATTAGCCAACGAATAATTATCATCAATAGCTCTGGCATTTGCATACCAAGAAAAGAAAATGCTACGTGTGAGCTACCATTGGGATATCACTGAAATTATTTATGACCAGTTCGGTCACAATGAGAAGGCGCGCAGCATTTGTTTCTATCGATCGACAGGTGGCGCTGTCCCGACGAAGTGTATTGAAGTGATGATGATGATGATCTTGAAACCAGAATTAGATTACCCGCTTAGAAAATACGATTGCACCCTTTGTTAGAAAGCTAAATCATTTAGAAAATCGGATTCAGTAGATGAAAATGTAGACAGTGTACGTCCTAACCAATATATCGATAGAAACAACATCAATAGCTCAGTACCTTTAGAATCCATAGATGTATGCATTGCAAATTGTTACTATACCAGTTTATATACAAACCTATTCGCTTATTCTGGATGGACTGGTGTTTTGAAATCCGAAATCTGAGATCGGCCAAGTATTAACCGAAATCGAACTGCTAGGTCCCCCGAGCTGATGACTAATCTAGCTACCTTGCATAGAGTGAACCTGCACAATTTTCCCCAATAACCTGTAGAACTTAAACCAAGATTTAAAAAATTACGCATAATTATATTCGTTAAATTCTCTTTAAGCCAACTAATCGCAAAGAGGCATTGACAATTTTTTTTCGAGAAAAGTATTATCCTATAGCGCGCATCACGCAATCGTCTCTAATTGTTCCCTACAGAAAACACTTAGAAGGAGACAGAAAGTTAGTTAAACTAAATAAAATAAAAAATAACAATATATAAAAGGGTAAAACAATTTTATCTAGAAAATAAAAACTCTTGAGTATATTCGAATAAAAAAAAAACTGCGATACTCACAACAAGTCAAAGTTGCCCGCGCGACAGTTTAAAATCTCTCGCCATGAGCGTGAATCAACGAACACGATCATTTCAAATTCAAAAAGGTATTCATTGCAGGCAGGACAAATCATAATGGTGGAATATTAGGATATCGATTTGGAGAATTTTCATAGTACTGTTAATATTATTATTAATATTGTTAATACGGTCCGAACAAAACGACGTAACGTTTCTATATACGTGTCGACTAAATACGTATGAAATAAAAATTGCTGACAGGCTTAAATCTCGTCTGAAAGTTTAGCTTAAATCAACCTTAGTGTACAAACGAAGTAAGCAGCACAGGATTAATGCACAAATCTTTGGTAAATTAACGACGACGACGACGACGACCACAGATAACAGCAGTACTATGAACAGTTAAATAACAGAAGCGGTAATACGTACACACACGCACACACACACGGAAGAAGCATTTGGCACGAAGCGCATAACCATACCGAGAAAGATAGAAGTAAATAAAAAAAAAAAAACACGTGAATACGTGAGACTAACTCCAGCTACGTATGTTCGGTTCGCAAGGTCCAGGATCAATCTCAATCCGAGCTGAAATGAGCTAAATCTGCAAAGTATAGAAGATAATAATTAATAAAAAGAAACATTAAAATGAAATAAATGTCTTAAGTACAAGCGAAGCAAGAGAGCTCTAGAGTGTCGTCAAAACGAGAAACTATTAGGTACGTTTGTCAGCTCAAAAACGTTTTCACTAACGATTAATCCCTAAGCAAACGAACATGAATTAGTAAAACTAAGAATAATATTATTATTAGACGGATTGCTCTGACTCTCAAGGGAAACGAAAATTAATAAACGAAGCTATTCTAACCTCACAATCGTGTAAAAACTTAGCGTAACACTCAACGAGGCGACTAGATACGATGGCTCTCATGGCAAACAGAGACACTGTTTGTTCCATTCTAAGTAAAAAGTTTAATTGAAATACAAGCCACAATAGCAGTTTTACTTTAAATAAGAACCTCTGATAAGCCTCTGATAAAACAATTTGCTTTATTAGATTCTAAAAATACGCTATATCCTTTTGTTGTGAAATTTGTTTCATTCATAAAAGTAGCCATAATTAAAGGATTAACGCCATTGAGGTAATCTGTTCGTATCTAGACAAATCTTTAGAAGTAGACACAATTTAGCAAGAAGTAGAAAACTATACCGTAGTATGTGTCCCTTTGGTGCCATCAGCAATATCAGTCGGCGCACCAGAGCCGTTCTTAGCGACAATCGGTCGATCGTACACGAAGTCAAATGCATATAACTCGAACGAGTAATCAGTGAATCAAACCAAAACCACCCCAAGCTTCTAACTGTCCCTTTCTTCTTGAATACATAGAAACTAGGGTTTTTCTGTTATCAGTATTATAAAACAATGATCAGGTTCACATTTGCAACCTTCAAACATAGGTAAAGTAGTAATCAAGATATTAAATACATCTTACTATCCCAACAGAAGGTCTACGATAATTCAACCAGATCAAGTGCACCATTATTTCAATATTATGTCGACTATCCCAGGAGAATCTGCCGGCGTCACAAGTGTAGATAACTGAAATAGAAGTTACGCGATCTTTTTTTAATATGAACCTCAAAAATATTGTTTTTATTAGTCACTCTGTCAGACTGCCGCTTACAAAATCTGATCCCTGCGATCGCCGACAACGGGGACACCATGGAAGATTTTTACACTAGCTGTAGTGATGTCCACCGTCTACACTGGGCTCTTCACATACGTTTAGAATTTACGTTTGATTATCATCTACACAAAATGATATAAGAGAAATTTAAAATGAATGCCTACTAGAAATGCACCATTATGAAAAAAGGACCATCGAGAAGCCAATTGATTATAATCAAATAACTTCTTTGTCGAGTAAGGGCTTTTCTATAGCGTTCTTAATGAACTTTCGCACAAGGGCTAGCTTCCTCCGTTCCCGTTGATACACCCAATAGTGGGCGGATGCTAGCCCTCTAGCGCAGCCTTGATAAGACGCATTTACTACGTACAGAGATAGTAAATGTTATCGATAAGGAAGCATCCATCAGATAACGAAAACTGATGTTTACGAAACAGTTAACTTTAAGAGTAGAATAAATGACGAAATTACAGGTCTTAAAGTGTTCCAGTTCCAACACTTGAGGTTTATTTCTCTAATCTATACGTTGAATGCAGGTGCTGCCTTTAATAAAGGACTCACATGAAATTAGTGTGTTACATAGAGAGTGCAACGGAAAGGAAACACGTACTCGTTGTGGCCGCTACGAGGATTTAATAATGGGTTGTCACAGAAATCTGCTACACGACTGTATGTGAAGACTCCATGCAATATAGAAAAAGAAATATGGCTAATGTTTTCCCACCATTAGAGAATATAATGATTCATTTATGAATATTTACAGCCTTGCAAATGATTTGTGTGGTTTTCAGCAGAGCACATTGTAGATCTGAGATTAAAATTAATCCATTTCTAGTTGCATGAGGAGTACTAATTTGCCGATTACGCCGATACTAAAAATGATTGCCGTAAGACTTTTCTTCAATGAAGAAGGTTCTATTGTATTGTGCTCGCATAGAAATAAATCTATTAAACACGGAACTTGCGAACCCCCTGATGTCATCTTCGTGGTTGAGCCCAACGCGTGTCAATTACAACGAAATACACTACGTCCACGTTGAGCGAGGTTATTTAAGCATCTTTTAGGGAGCTTTTTAGCAAGAATCTTTGCCTGCCCTGATTCGTATTTTACATCGAATGAAACTATCTACCTTCAACGCCACAAGCATATCATAACTTCGATTTTGCTAAACAAATTTTTTTGCAGCTGTACAGCTTACGTAGGCGTCGACATCGCACAATGGGTTGTTAAACGTTTCCCATATAATCGATTACGACAAAATTTTAACTGAAGTATTATGTTCGAACGTTGTCCAAGTAACAGTCACTAAAATATACACCAGTCGTAAAATCGAAACACAATCATAGATAGAATGGTTGCGTACCGTTGACTGCTACAAATGAATCCGGTTCACCTTGACGCTAAATAACTTTTGAACCACTTGAGCTAGAGGTGTGAGTTTTAATTACGTGTTGAAGATTTTTATTTTCAACGGGCATCTTCTACTGGCAGATACGTCTACTATCCATTGCAGGTAGTACCATCATTTTAGATCATATTGATTAAAGCTCCGAAAATTGGAAATGTGATATACCACACGCACTTGTATTTGGCCTGGAGTTAATTCACGGTAAACACATTTTTTAGACAGTTTCGTCATTTGCAGTTTTTGAATTATAATTATATAATAAGTTGAGTTCCGGGTTTAGCTTTTGACTTCAAGCTCTGCTTTCGTGAAAAGTTTTCTTGATTACGGCAATACGCTTTTACTATTTGGGTTTCGGGTTTTCGCTGCTCTTCAGGACCTTACTCTCTCTTTTTGAAACGTTCGCGCCATTCACGTACTGTGTTTCCGATGAAGGCCGCTTTACCTAAAACCTTGGCCAATATTCAGTTCATCTCTACAACGCTGTGGCCTTCGAAGAACAAAGACTTGACTGCTGAGCGTTCATTTTCGAGACTAAACGATGTTTTTCCTTCTGAATGTATTTTTCCTAAGGCAAACTCCACCGGTTTCCACTCACATGTTTCTGGTAGAAACTCGAGTAACAATTAGCCAAATTTTGTTTATCCCATTAGCATTTGTCAACTCGGCCGTACATCACAGCGTTGTCTTGCCTTGGGATCTTCCTCGTCCCTTTGGTAAGTTGGTGCTTCTAGACCGCTTACTGTTGCAGCGGTATTGTGTAACAGAAAGTAATTTAAAAACTTCCAAGGTCTGCGGGTAGTTCACCGCTAAGCTTGCCGAAATCATAGGCATTCACGATTTCTGGACCTGATATTGAAGCATTCCCAACAGCTGATGCAGCTTTCGTGTTATTTATTCGCGTATGTCGTGAAGTGATATATTAAACAAATAGTTTTTGTCAGCCATTCGGTTACTAGTACTGACGCCGACGAATCTTTGCCATGTGAACGATTTTCGACCAGGTGTTAAATCTTTCTCCGAATAAATCTAAGAAGCCAAAATAAACCCTTTACTTATATCCGAAATGACTAAGACTTTATAATATAAACGCTAAATTGTATTATGTAATAACACACCGTGGTATGTTTACTACCTATTTTCGAACGAAGGGGTTTCGGTTTTATTAGGTTGGCCCTTGGCTGGCGTGAAGTTCCCTAAATAGTCAACGTCTACGTTCGTTCTGTAGCCTGAACGTACTCCCTGTGCTTTCATGTAATTTCCTAGGATACCGTCACTAAATCAATAGATTCTGTCCTGTCGTCTGATTTTAATCCACTGAATTGTTTGACCTGTTTTTCTTGCCATCCTGTGTTCGCATGCCAGTACACTGCCGCCCGCTTTCTTATGCAAACCGATGGCTTTTTCTACACGCCTCTCGGAATCGTGACAATGGTTTCGAGTTAGAAAATCATTCTAATGATAATTTTTTGATGGAGTTAATAGGGCATGCACCGTTGCCGATTCCATTCGGGCATTTCTAAGAGGGGCATTCATCCTGACAAGTTGTTTATTAACAGATTTGCAGTTGGTAAACTCCACAAAAGGTACTAATCCGAGAAGCTGTTCGACGGTCCCGGAGTGACAAGAGTTGTGCGTTCTAATGACTAATTTAACTACCAAAACTATAAGCTTCATTTAGCGGAATTTTCTGGAAGTTCTTGAGTGTTAAAGTCGCTAATTTCTCGATCGCTCGAGTACCCCTCGCAGTATCTTAATAGATTAGAATATTTAGGAAGCCGATACACCTGTATTCCGCACCCATTCGATTCGGAATAGATTCGAACCCAGGTTCGACATATTATCGTATATTTAACCTCAACATACGAAAGCACTTTTCGCTTATTAAAGATAATTGCATATTACATGGGCTAAAGTATGACTACTTAATAATGAGAATATTGTCCGTATAAAGAGACTAACTAAAGTAGAATTCGAGTCCACAAAGGTATAAAGTTTGTACGTTCTGCAAGAATCACTCATTAGTTTTGCTTACAATGCTTTTCATACTATCAAGATACGGTAGGCTATTTTTTTGGAACATTTATTGTTATCGATACTAGAAAGATATCACGCTGGGCTATTAGCGTTCTGTAAGTACTATAACTTCTCTTTGATAGATTGCCAATATTACCATCCTAAAAGGCTGTATGCGTATGCCCAAGAGGTCGTGTCAATCTTAAATCTGTTAACCCCAAAAGCAATCGCCCAGCTTATGAAATAGGCCATTCTATGGCAACCGAAAGAAAACTTAGCTTTTAGACAAGGTTTATGCAACTCCCTCAAGAAGACTCTTATGCACATATAGTGTAACTATATAGATACACTTGTTTGCAAGCGTTAAGTGTATAACTATCGAGTAGTCCGTTTATGTCAGCATGCGGTCACCGTTCCAAATTTAAAATTCAGCAAGGCGAGTTACGTACGTACGTGCGATTCGATGATTATCAGGTCTGGAAAGACGGTGAACGTGAAGTCAGATACCAAAGTGATTTCTAGCTTACGAAGACAGCCCTGGAAATTCATAGAAAAAAAATAGCTTTATACAATTTGGTTGTCAAAATCGTGAGCTACATAGGTGATAAATACCACCAGTTATCACGATATGATAGCAGATGTGATAAACTAGAACACAAAAAAAAATACATTTTACATAATTTATGGGTTAACCACAAATCTCGACCTATGCTCATGTATTCTATTTCTGTCATAATGCTGAAGGATATATGTTTCGGCTTCGGTATTCTTCTTTACTGAAGATAGAAGAGTACAAGTTTGCCTCTTGTGATTTTAGTGGGATTTTCAGAGTCACGCGGTTCTTCGTGCAAAATTTTCAAGTTATAGCTCAGTTATTTCTTCCTTTCTGTAGAAACGAAAAATAGAAAATTTGACTTTTGGTTGCGTTTACGAAACACGATTTGTATAACAGAAGCGAAAGGCGCGTCAAGGAAACAAGCATCAATTTGTTTGTCCTTAAATGGCTGGCATAGAGGACCTTTCAAACTATCTGTGGATAACTTAAGCTTTCCCATTTTCGCTTGAGTAGAGGGTTCTATAATAACTACGTTTAGATATGCTAAAAATTGTTATTTTGATATGTTTCCAATGTGCACGTTTTCGATCCAAATGTGTATATTATTACCTATTAGATACTACGCTAGCGATAGATATGAACTATGTGAAATATTTGCACACAGGGCTTCGTTGCCGAGTAATGGGCTTTTCTGTTGCAGTATTCTATATAGCGCAACATGTTATATATACTGCATGACGCTAAGTAAAAATTTTGCTAAGTATCCTAAAAATCATGCAAGAGATTTATAATAACAATGTTACATTATCTTCCTTAATTATTATATTCCTTATTAAATATATTTTATTCAACGAACATATACGCACAGTATGTCTCAATAAAGCAGACTGTCTCGTGCCTTGCTTAAGGCGCCTGATAACTTATTCAAATTAAAATTTATCAACGCGTATATATATGTATAAAATTCATATGGTGTCCCAACTTTTAGATATTCCATATAGTAGTACTAGCTAGTGGCGCCCGAACTGATCTTATTAGTTTGAGTACCACTAGCAAAAGGTCATAAATGGCTTGACTATCACACTTTACCATAGAGATATTTATATTGAATTTTATATATTTAGAATTGAATTTTAAGGCTCTAGTTGAATTTCATTGATCGATTAGCTAGCTCTTCAATAACATGAATATTATCTTCTCGTGTTTAAACCATTGTAATGGTCTACTGGTGTAGACATAGATGTTTAGCCTTATGATAAACTTTGAGAAAAATCACTGCATAAAACTAAGACACTTTGCCATTCGATTTTTATCCTACGATATATTATCTGCAGGATTAGTTACGAAAGATAAAAAAAATCCGAGCGACCATAATTAACTCCTATACCCCCAAAAATTCCCAACAAAAGGTTTGATAAAGTGGAATATCAATACACCTTTTTAGCGATATCTTCGAATTAGATCAAATCCGTCCAATAACAATAACGCCCCTGTACTAACTCACTGGTTTGGTTGAAGAAAAATCGTACACAACCGTTTGTCAGCTATTGTAATGTAATAACGCCATTGCAAGAATACGAATTTACACACACCAACCCTGCATAGCATTAATTGCCCCATCTGATTCAATACCGCCCCAGTTTTCAAATACGTAAATGGTTCTAGCATGGCACTTTCTATGCTTACTTTTGTTTTTGTTTTCTTTAGCGAGTCGAAAAATGAATGCTACGAGTTTAGGTTACTCGTTTTGAAACGCGTCTGCGTCAAAAAAACTCTGTAGAGTTTTTTTGACGCAGACGCGCTCATTTGAAACCAAATGGTAATAGATTTAAACTAGACAGCTATTAGAATTATTTTCATATAAAAAAAATTCAGCAGAATGCTAACAGAACTTTTTTTCTCAGTCGTTACATTTGGTCCTCGTGGATTATCTGACAGTCAGTAAAAACTTCACGCGCCCAGCGCTCACAGCAAACAGCCATGTACTACCGCCGTAAGCGTTGGGCGTAACGTAAAGAAACCTGTCTTATTAATCAGCTTGAAATATTGCCGAGAGATATAGCTTGCTCGTTCTGGTCACAAACTAAAACCATATCATAGTGAAATGTCGCTAATCTATTTAGCGGCGAAAGACAAACAGTACACCTTTATTATACCGCTATTTTCGCCCGATACCGCTAGCGCTCCCTGAAACGTGGCTCGATGCAAGAAACTGTCCGCGAACCAAGGCCAGTACCACTGTTCATTACAATGCGAAAGTAAGCTCAACTGTCCATAGAACAAATGATGTCCTCTTACAAAACGGTTGATTCCGGCACTGCCTATTTCTTTCCAAACGAATCTTCTTTAATGCACATAATTGAAAAAAGTAGCGTAGCCTCATCTATATATAGACAACGATTTCTATGAAAGCGATTTTTGGATGGGTAAAATTAATAAGGCAAATGGACTTCGTCTAGTAGGACAAAAATCTTTTCAAAATATAACCAAGGGATCAAAATCATGCCTGATCGAAAATGTACGAAATTCAGTCTTGAGTCAAACCACTGGCAAAACACTGAAGAGCTAAAAAATTTCGAGTAAGTGAGGTGTTTAAAGGATTGCCAATAGTAATTGCATAAAGCAGATCTATTGCATTAGGTTGGACCACCTAGTATCAGGTGTACAAATGGAGAGAAATTTAGGCCGAGCTAACGAATATCTTACATTAATATGAAGGTTACTAGTTCGCTAAGACAGTCAAAAATTTTGGAAATGACTGACTAAAACTGCGAAATTGTTATAAATCAGGTTGATTGATGAAGAATTTGTTACCAGACCGTGTAGCTTCCTGTCAAATCGCGACTTAAACAGCCGACATGCAGCGTTAATCATTAGCTCCAACGTAACGCCTGGTTATTTCAAAGTACTTAGATACTCTCACTGTTACCTAACCTCGTACTACAATTTGATCTAAGGATCTCGATGCACATTCTGCCCTTGATTCGGTGTCCACTGCGCCACAAACAATAAGCTACTTTGGCTTATGGAGGAAGTAATTGTGTCAGGGTATCTTAACATGTCAAAAAATAAGACCCTTTGCCAACAGCAAGAAGCGTTGTCTTATCTGGTTGACGAACAGTTCTGAATTGTCGAAGTAATAGTGGAGAGTTTTTCGTATTTTCTACTAATATAAGTCTTCTTTTAAAATTTGCATAAGGGTCACACAGTCAGTCGCTGGTATTATCGTTATGTTACTGTAAACTCTCTCAAATTGGGTTCGCTTTATTATTCTCAAATTTTACATAAACTCCAGTTATCTTGTGTTGTACCCCTTATTTCATTGGAAAATACTTATGCAGTCAACATTCACGGATTTTTCTGTTGAATTATTTTCTTGATTATTCTTCCTATGTTGGCCTAAACAACTATTATGCTTTTCCATGTCAAATCTAAATTACGAACGATATACTGCTCTTATACACAGCTCTCTTGATTTTGGATAGTAGAACCCGGTTTACTTCTGAACGACGAATCTCTATTTGACGGCCGACGTAGTTTAACTTCGGTCCCAGTCTAGTACCGAAAGTCCCTTTGAATTCGCCTGAAACGCGGGTGGTAAAATCGCATGATCCGTAGACTTTCGTATTTGGACCTAACAGAGGAAAAACAAAAGTATCTATGATATTTTTAACCTCGAACAATGCAGATGGTTAGGAGGACAATATTTTAGTGTAACGACCAGATCATTTTATTGATGTACAACAAACCAGGACTACTGTCAGATCTAAAATGATGATTTAAGTTTATTTAGCAAATTTTTGTTTTTGTAATGTAATGGCATGTTTGGCATGCACCGGGGTCCACGTAAGTTCGAACTCAAGATTCAAATATAAGCATAAGAGCCCAAAGTCATTTTAATTTTTAAGCTTATTTGGCCTGGAGCAGATACATTCGAGTATGGAATGTATTATATATAACGGTACATTGAAAAGAGCAATGACTTGAAGTTACGAACCTATATTTTTCTTTCCTTGGTCATTTTTCATCTTATATGGTAAACATTTTTACACGCGCGAGGTCTTTTTGGTTCATAGCTTTTGATTCGATTAACGCTGGGATACTGCTGGACTACCTTTCGACAATTACCAAACGCAGCTATTAAAAATCTATGCTTTTGTATAGTCAACAACGAGACCCTTTAATTACTTGCCAGAGAAATAAGCACACACCTTTTCCATGTGCAAACTATAGCAGTTTATCAACGTTGCATGTACGCATATCTTTTGCAAGGCACAACAACTGTTGTTTGACCTACACAGTTGATTGCACTGTCCGGGCCTCATCGATATGATGCAGCCTGCTTTGTCTCATTTTATCGGAAAGCTAAGGCCCTGAGACTTGCCATACTATGGTAAAAGTTGAAAATTCCTTTTTTAAAAAATGACCAACTTGAAAAAACGTATATTACGTTCTAAGGTAGTACTCGAAATATATAGTCCAATTGCTTGAATTCTATATTTACTACAGTGCATATATTTGGCAAAAAGAATTTACGATATAAAAACTACTCACTTTGATGGCAAACACTCAATAAGATCTTTGTACAAAAATACACAGCAACACAATATATACATGTAGATGTGAGTTATATCTAATATATCACAAGGTCAAAGATGATCACAAAGTTGTAACACACCCTGTCCTAAAAAATCCAAAGGCACTAAAAGTTTATGGCAAGGTTCTACTCAGCCTGCAATAGCATCAGTGTGGCAAGCTCGCTAGCGGGTGCGCCAGGGAGAAAAGCGATTTATGTTGCCCCGTACAAATCTTGTTCTCAGTTGGGTAGAAATTAATTTTCTACTAGGAGTGTATTGATTAACTGCTTTCACCTTTGGAGCGAATTATACATGATATGGACCTTTCAAAGATCCCTTGAATCACATTACGACAATATACCAATTCCTGAATCATAGTTTATGACGTGCCAAGCAAATGATGGGCAAAAATAGAAATAATTTGAGTGTTTCAAAAAGCAATCAAAATTTCATGTTATTAGCACAATCACTCGCTCTGGTTTGTTTTCTTTACGATAATGAAGACATTACGGAAAATAGTTGTTTTATAACGTAACCACTTAGTTCAATAGTTTACAAGACTATTCGCAATATTTAACGTATTGGCCATAAGACATGGTCAAGCTTTTTACTCGCCGCTTAATTGGTGTCCTGTACCAGAACCAGATATGGAAAAGGATATGCCTAATTAAACATGGACGATAGGTTCAGGCAAAAACTCGCTATACTCGATTGAGCTTAAGGCTCTCCATTACTTAACATCTAATCAAGACCCCGCATGATCCTCGCACTGGTAGGGACTTCTCCTTAACACTATATAAGCATATCTGTACCTCTGAACATACGACGCATTCCTATATGAACACACTGCTCGGTTACCTGTAATCACTGCAAATTTCCGGTCCTACCAACTCAGAGAATCATGCTTAAGGCCCAACTGTTAGGCGCCTACTAACTTCCTTTGTTCTACGATACCTCGCAGATCGACTTTCGCTGTTTCTATCAAATGTATTTCCAACAAGGTTCCAATAGTGGGACCACTTTAGGTCTTACAAAATGTGTGGGACCTCATGCGCATCAGATTGTTGATAATTATGCTCCGCCTCGCGACATTTGATTGATTTGCCTGAAACAGATTTTGCTAAAACTTTGCAGCTTGACGTCTGTGCTTAATCTGCGAGTACGGAGCAATCCGGAGCTACCTTCTCAGAAGCAACGCTGGAATAACGCAATTTTCTATGGATTTATCTTGACAAATGCCCCTTGATTGTTACTAACCATAAGATAATTAAGCCTTTTTCTCATCCGGGACACGTGCATTAGTTAGGAGTAATCCAATCTGTAAGTTTTGATCGAGGTTAATTTATCACACGTCACTAAAACGTTAGTCTAAGAACATGGTCTTTCTTTGCAGAACTTAAAGAACTGCCACAGAGCGCTCTATTGCAGCTGCATCGTGAAAAACAAATCATACGACTGATTTCAAAACGACATCTGGATGCTTCAAGGTTAAGTCTGGCCGCAGTTAATAAAGCAAGATGGTTGAAAATGAATGTATATATATATTATTCAGATATACCCGAGTTGAAAATTGTGTGATAATTCCTCTTTGGTGGATAAATAAAGGGTCAAAATTACCAACTTTATAGATTTAAATTTGGTTAATCAAAATTACATTAACAACATTTCTAACGATACGCCAACGGCATCTTAAAGTTGAGCCATCGAAAGATATGTGCTAATAAGGCAAAACTCGATTTGAAAATGTGCGGGAGAAAATTTTAAGCTTGAGAATTAGTCTCGTGAATAATGGACTGTTGAGGGTTATCGTGGAGGCCGACTCAGCTCAAAGCACATAGATACTCGTCTTCAAGTTTGCTGTATGTATTAAGATCATACTTATTTACCTCGGTCAAACGAATGAAGTACAAAAAATCGACTAATTAATGCCTTATGATTTGAGCGCATGTAAAAAGCGAAGACATGGAGACGCTTGGCTCCTTCACTTTCCCGTTACAACACCTTCGTATCGAATTTCAACTGTGGTGGAAAATGTATCTTTCATGATAATCGAGTACACTGACGAGTCGGTGCAACTGTATTGGCAGAAGATCATTTTAAACTAAATGTCTGATTGAAGATGCCTACTAGTCCTGGTTTGTTGATTATGGCTGGGGTGTACTGTCACTGACAAAAGGGCAAGCTCCGCATTAAGCAGCCGAAATTAATGAACAGAGATGCATCAGCGCAACACGACGCGACGCTATACCCAACAGTCGCGATAGAAAAGATGTTGAGGTTACAGCTAAAGGCTTACTGTCATTTAAGTACTCATTAGACATTGCTCCCACGGATTATAACCTCTCTCTCAAAATCCTAGCTCCTTAATAAAAAAAATCGTTAAAATTTAACGTCGTTTAAAAAAAAAAGTTAACGTCGAAATATTCTTTCAAGGTTTTATAGACTCGATTAATGCAGCAGTAACAATACATAAGTTACTATCCAGGCACCGAAAAATCACTAGTAACAACGCTGCATAATTTGCTTGAAGGTAAAAGAACTATGCTCGTGAACGCAGTTCTAAAAATTAGAATTAATAACCCTGTATTGTATACTGATCAATCTAATATATACATAACTAACATCATCAAATTATTCTTATAACCTACGATATTTTCTATATTAATTTGCTGCTACGCAAATTCAATAAAATCTATATTCGACATGCAAGGCATGTGTCGAATCGGAGCCATTTAAAGACATCTTTATTTCATGCAGCTTACTTAAGAATGCATGTATGTTTTAATATTAAGACTTACAGGCAGAACTTATAACATTTGTCCCTCTGTTTATGAGAACCAATGTTTTCAAGCGCAGATGTCAGCTGATTCCTCCATAGTTAAGAATCATTCTTAGTGCTAAATGCCTTTTTAAACCTAATCGTGCTGCTGCTACCTTGACCACAGGAAGTAACTCAATCAAGTATGACGGACAGCAAAGCAGAACGAATGTTTAATTGTTCCGTTGACATTATGGGCCCTATGCAAGCCAAACGATTATTTCTGTGTCGAGTTTACTGTGATACCTTTAATCAAAGAATTTCAGACAAGGACTGAGTAACAATTCAACGCAGACAAGACTCCTCTAACGCCATGTGGATACTATATCGCGTTATTCAAAGGACCTGCTATCTTGATTTCCAAAAGCTTCTCGAAAACATTCTTCTCCAACCAGTGTCAACTAAAATATATGATGTGAATTTAGGGTGTACATACACAAAGTAACAATGCAACCTGCGAATAAAACAGTGTGTGTAGCCTCTTACAAAAACTAAACAGTACCCATTCGGGACTATCTAGACAGACGAAAGCTCACAAAAGGCACCACCCTGAAGAGTTTGTCAAATGGCAGGAACTCTTAATAACAACCTAGTATGATAATGTTCACTAACTGTCAGGAGTCCTGCCTGAAACGAGTTAAAGTTGAACCTTTTACTCGTGGCGACCCCTATGCAGAACAGAATGCAAAAGGATGGACATTCTAGAAGAAAAATTGCAATGAAAGCATTCTTATACTGCGGACGGTTAGCAGGCACTCACAACGATATCGTCCACGTTTTTGTATAACAGAAAGCGAGAACTGTTATTCCGGTAGCTTTTGAGAAGGGAAATTAGATAACACTTTTGCAGGCTCCTTACAAATCGAGGGCAATATTGATATACATTGACGTATGTTCTCTGCATAGTTTTAAAACGTCAAAATAAATTGATCATTGATATACTCAACCTAGATACTGGAGTATTAGCTCGAGTTCCACTTTGGGGGAAACAACTGATCATTGTACCTTTAAAAAAGAGTCAGTTTTCTATTCTGACGCGTAGATCGCTATCCATGTATGCCCAGAATTACTACTCCGTACAAACTAAGGATATCTGCAAACGTTACGTCAAATGTGTACGCCTGTAAACATTGTTACAGAAAATATTCTGTTCAGATTTGGAACTTACATCAACAATGTTGACCCTATAATGAGCTGACACGCATGCTTCGTAGATCGTCGCTCAAGAATTATTATGATTAATTTTATTATATACGTGATTTGTTATCAAAGTTTTATCTGAAATTTTCTTATAATATTCATACAGATATCGGCAGCTAGATACTTCAGGAGAGGTTTTTATTGCAAAACGCTCAAACCAGACAAACTAAACAAGTTTTTAGGTATATTCATTAGGATAATGTACAGAAAGTATAGTAGATATAAATATCATAAATAAAGCGTTATTGAAAGACATTTGAGAACGCTTTAAAAGATTCTAACAAGTTGTTTGTGTAACTGCCAAATTATAGAAATACCCGCATTCGTTTGACCAGATCTAGAAAAAAATTTATTCTATAGCGACTTTAACATTTACTTTATTTATTCTATAACTACACTTTTTACACAAATACGTACTCATGTGGACAATGATATATTACAGAAAACAAGTTGTCAAAATTCGGTTTTCTTCTCGTTTATTTGTTTGCATATTCCTTTTTCTAGGACGAATTTTACAACTTCAGACGTCCGTTCCTGGGTGACATTGCCCTGTGTTATTGCTATTACATCAAACTAACAAAATAGAATTTCGTTGCTGAAAAAATTAGAAGATATTATCAAGAACTATTATCTATATTATATTCATCGGCATAGCTGAATTTTATTAGCAAATGTCTGCGACTAAGCTGCGTATTTCTCTGTGACCACTGGAAGTGTCGCGAGCTCTGTCGATTGCCAAATATGTTTCGTCGTTTGCAAATGGTAAAGGCTTACTCTAAAAAATGACAGCAAACAATGCGTCGTTCTAATGTCGTAACTTTAAACTAAAATATATGGGATCTGAGAATTTTGAACCTATTATGATGTCTTTTAGCTCTACTGAGTATATACATTTATTGAATTATTTATGCTCTGTGAACGTTGTGTTGATTGGAGAATTCTTAGACTTTTTCCTGCTGGGAGCATGCGTTTCTGTTTCCTGTAGTCGCCGAATTGTCGATTTCCGAGCCGATTCTGAGGGGGGCATTTGTCCGTCATAAGGGTTGAATCCTAGCACCTACAATATAACAATTCGATGGGACTTAACAGCAGTTCACAGTAAAACTCATAATCAACTACGTAGCAAACAAACATTAATAAGGCGTCTAAATCTTTCATAATTAACGCAGATTGTTAATTATAATTATCCCTACTCATATTATCAATTTGTCTGTTATTAATACACATTTATTGGATCTTTATAATGTATTGTTTATTTAAATGGAAAATGCAGTGGATTCCCCGACTAGGCAAATTTAAAGGATTTGAATTTTTCATCCAAATTCACCTTGATGACGTCATTTTCGCCCTCAGGCAAAAGCTTTTCCACCGTGGCGTTGATAAAGTTTCGAGCGTGTTCTAATCTTTTCTGCTTTCGCATATGTTCCTCCTGGAAGGGCGTGATTTGGTCGCGCAATGCTGCTTTCTTAACCAGGAGCACCATCTTGTCATTACAGTAAGATAACAATAGATATTAGTTAAAAAATTGTAGACAACAGAATATAAGCATTAGACAGTATACGAGCTGCAACAACCAGTTTTTTTATTTCATTTTGGCTTCGTACCGCAAACGACAGATTGATCCGAACAGGCGATCCTATTTAACTGTCATCTATCGAATCCACGTGAATCAGGTAAATATCCTCCATAGGCGAGTATAGCATCGATAATACTGAGGATCTCATTTAATCACCCGTAATGAAACAAAGGGCTTATACTAACGTGATGCCAAGTTGCTGAATTATTTCGCTCGATATATATCAGAACTCTAGATAATAGACTGTATACTATAATCAATATTAATATTGTCCGCTTTTTAAATTGTCGATTTTAGGCATCGATGTGGACTTTTTTACCACAGTAAACAGCACAGCATATTATTGTATCATGTTCAGACTATAGTATTTTGGTTACATCGTTAAAAAATATCTCTCCTCCCAAAGAGTTGACCGATGCATATTTAAACTCGATTATCGGCTGAAATAAAGTGATCCCAAATAAACGGAGAACTATGGATGAAGAAAAAAGAACAACTTACAATCTCTTTCAAGCTCTCCTCATAATCAGGTAAAATACGCTTTTCAAGGGCCCGCCGTATGCACCTGGAAATCCCAGGCTTGCTTTCTATGACCTGTTTAACAGCAGTAGCAAAGAGTTCTTCTCCACAGATTTTCAACTCTGCACCACTGTAACCAACCTCGACTGAAGGAAAGAAAAAATTAGCAGTTAGGGACAGTCACTCAAAATTTTCTTAAATGCAATAAAAATGTCAACAACCGTATTAGCCTTAACTGATCACTGTCGAATATTATTTCCAATCTTAAAATGAACCTAATTAAGACTTCTCGTATGTATAGTTGTTTAATGTGATATCAAAACAATGATAGTCCAACATACATATAAAGAAGGATTTTTAACAGTATAGTTACTACGGTATTAGAACTGCAAATAATCTGCTAGGCCAACTCTGCAAGTATGGACCATTAAAATAGGACTTCACACTACTGCAATTTATTGACTTATCTAAACAGTTAATTCGTATTCTTACCGTACGATTCATTAAAATGTGGTAGTCTATTTGAATCGAGCATGAAGCCTTTAGCCAGACGACGTCTAGCAACTGTTGGGGGAGGAGAACCCAGGTCCGGTAGGAGGTCCTTTATGTCGTCTAACTCTTCCTGGAACAAATACCGACGACGTAATGGTCCCCCTGAAATATCCGTGGAAAGAAGTGATACTTACAATGAGAAGCGCGCTTGGATTGACCTAACAGTGAGTGCTTGTTCCACTGAGAAAACGTAAAACCCTTAACAACATTCTGCCCAACTGTTCAGTCTGTCATGATTTTATTCACCTCTTAACTTGCAGTTTTAATTCACTTTGTAAAACAACGCAGTTTGTTGCCATATATCTTTGTTACGTGACAACAGTTGTCTGAAAATAAATGCATTTAAATAGTTCCTCAGTCAAAGAAATTATTTTTTTCCACCAGTTTGATCACAACGCTACCAAGAACATCCTTGGGAGTTCAAAATATTTACGGCCGATTATGTTGTTGTACGGCAATGAGCCCTTTTCGCGCCTCTCCAGAAGGCTTGAAGCCTAGACGGCGCGAAGTGTATCTTGAATGAAGGCCTACATAATTACGCTGTTTTCCCTGCATATATTAGACAGCTATACAGTGAGATCTACTGTAACTACATCAGCCAGACTTTCCTTATGAGTTTATATGATTAAAGTTACATGACCACGTTGACTGTCTTTATTGCATGCTAGACGACTCTGCATATCGGCAACTCTAATATACTTCCACTTAAAAAAACCGGTCCGAAGTTGTGCTTTATATGATGTCTTCTACTCTCAAATTTCAATTCCCCACAGGAACCGATGAAAAGCAATCCTAGTTGATGAGCATCAGTTCCGTGTTATATGGCATTTTCTGTCCGTCAGTTATTGGCCATAAGGTCTGTGGGTTTTGTTAGACTTATCCGCTTTTTCCCCCAATAAGCTTAAAGAAACGGCATGGTAAGAATATATAATAATAGTTATTTGCTAACACTAAAATTCCAACTAGCAGTGGCCGCATACTCATGATTACTGTCACAACGATCTCAAAGAAGTGCGCATTATCTACTTAGACCAACCAACTAAAATCCTCTAAGCACCAGTAAGTGATACGGTGCAGCCCAGCAAATTCTACCAAAGGTCAATATCGATTTAGAATTGAGACGAACTTGTATGGGTAACTGTACTTACCCTATCAATTTTATTATACTAAAGTTCGTGATGTAACGTTGGGAAATCCATCCTCGTGCTGTCGTGAGTAAAAAAACGGCGAGGTAGATCATTTAAAGCCTCAATTGACTATATGAAACTTAAATTAGGCACTGGATTAAAAGGGCTTTACACTCTCAGACCAGTCCCAAGAACCGATATTCCTAATAGAAATTTTATACTAGGTCTAATATATTTTATAATGTGAGATTCGAGTCTAAGTTAGCTTTCTGATACAAAAACATACATAATTTAATCACCGTAGATAGAAAGTAGACTACGGTACCTTCACCTACAGGGAGTTGTGGAGAAAACACGTTCCCAAGATTACCATCATGTGGCTTACTCTCCGCAATCCTATATCGATTAAGGCAATAAGTGCTGGTCGGTGTTTGCGCATTAAGCGCCTTCTTCAATAAACATGCTGGTCCGGATGCTGAAGCGCCAATAGCACCAATACATTCTTGATCACCGCACTAAGCAAACGAAAAATTATACATACGGTTGTCATTTTCACTGTGCGCCACGGCAAAGACATTTTATAATAAAATAATAATATTAAATTGACCTCGCCCATTAATTCCTGATACAGGTACTACAAAACTACTGTTGCCTACTTCTCTGTGTAAGAAGGCAATCCATATCGTTTAAAAAATGCTAGGTAGAGTTAAAGATAAAAAGTGTTTTTAACAAAACATAAACGGGATAACACAGCTAGAATTAGACATGAGTGGAACATATTATGCACACTTAGATACATCCCATATATTTTATATAGTAAATTTACATTCTGATTTATCTAAGGATGAATTTGCGGATGTACTAGGCAAAATTTTTTAGGTGAATTATGGTCCAATTAAATTTAGCTCACCATTTGCAGTGAAGGCGTCGATACTGTATGAGAAGTCGTATTTAATCCGAGAAAGGGCATACGAACTAAACCGTAGGATATCAAGTCCTTCAAGGTTTTCTCTCCTCGAAGATGAAACGGGTCGATCTAGGAGATTTAATTATTCGAAAAAGCAGAATTAAGAAAATGCTATGTGTAAATATCGAAAAATTTCTCCCAAAAACGGATGAATACAGTTTTTTTTTATTCCTTAAGGGCTTTGTTTAAGCGTAGGGTTAAAAAGCTATGGTTAAAAAGTTATTATAAAGATGGATCAATAATAAAGTAAAGCCTTGAGATTTAAAGCGAGTAGTCTACTTTCACATTATGTAATTTCTTTCGCGGCGTCTGATATTGGCTCTCGTCTAATAAGTTAGAAGTAGACCTTTTCGTCAGCCTATCCTACAACATCAAACGCTTCAAATTTGAAATAAATCTATTCTATTAAATTTTTTTTTATTGAAATTTCCTGAGAAGTGGGTAAAGGCCCGCCCCAAAAAGTTTCCCCTAAAAAAACTGGCATATTTAGGTAAATTTTTTCCAGATTATAACTTACAATAAATCTTATTATTAGAATTAGATAATTAGTACAATTAGCATGCCTAGATGTTGCACAAGCGCATTAATTTGCAGCAACCTTGTAGCAAAATGATCAGAAGGGTTCACAGTAGTTGTCATTTTCCTGCTATGTCCATGAAATAGAATTATCTTGGCGAGTCGTGATAATATAACAAGCAGCCAGAATCAAGGTTACTTATTTCAGATCATCTCGACAGTCAGATTTATTTTACGGTTACGTACTTGACCTATATGGTGTTACAAAGTAAAAGCACCCAATGTGATTAATTCACTTACTGGTGTGGATTTGGATGTGACGTTAAACGTTTCTCGGCACCTATTGCTGTCAACTTTCAAACCTTCTTCCATTAGACTTTTGCCAGAAGATGTTACATCATCTCCAAAATTTCTCCCGCTTTGCAATATTTTCAAAGAAGTCGTCGAATTCGCGTCGATTATTGAGTCTGAGACGAGATGTTTAGACGCGTTGGTTAAATGCACGTCCAGTCCTGCTCTTTGAACGCCTCCTTGCGTCTTTGCTGCAGCATCGTTCTTGTGAGTGCCGTCATCATAATTGACGTGGGGTTGAACGGAACTATCACGTTCCATATGATGCTGTTCGACTTCAGCTAACGTGGAACTCCCATTTTTCACAGCGCATAGTTGAACATTTTCTGTCTGACCAGATTCCACGTGGATTTGATTCTGCAAGTCAGTAAGTCCTTTCATTGTTCCAGTGGGAGTACGTCGGCTATTCTCTATATGACTATTACCTGATAAAATATTTTGTTGCTGTGTATTGTGTTCGCTTCTCAATGACACTTTCTCATCAAATTTTTCATTGATAAGAAGACGGAACGACTGGGGTAAAGCTTCCCCGAATTTCTGGAAATTTTAAATACACAAAAGTAACAACATTCCTTAATGGTCTCCGCTAAAATGAGAAATTAATGAGAGAAATGGAACGGGCCATTTAGGTTGCCTACGTAAACTACCTGGGTCATAGTTTTATTACTCCAGTTAGTGATCATTTTTTTTTATTATATTAATCGTTGTGATACTGCTTAAATAACGGCTCGCTAAATCATAGCATAACTTGAGATATAATAAAAAATATATGTTCGGGTCCGTGGTAGCTTACAATTAAATTAACAATTAAAATGCCAATATGTTGTCTCAATCGTCAATCACAGTATTATAATCTTCAAAAAAACAAAAATATATTTAGATGCCTCAAGCGCGATTCGCATTTAGTTAATTGCTCTAAAGCTTAACATATCCAGAAGATTTTCACACCAAACTCTGCTTTCTTGTCTAACTCCTTAACTAGGTCTTCGCCGAGACATCACTAAAAAACTGATTCGATTAGCAGCAATTTTCATGTTTCGTAATTAAACGTGCTCATTGAAATTGTACGACTGTTTAGCTTTGTAATTTCGATCTTTTATTTCCTGGCCAAAAAAAATGGATGTATGATTTTTTTAACTAGAACTTAGGGATTCTTATGAGCGTCACAAGTATACAAATTGTTAACGAATGGATTAAAGTGGCTAATGTCGGTAAGTGTCTTTGCGCTTACCAGAATGATTATATTGTATTAAGTTTAACTTATAGCTGGTGTGCTAGGTACTACAAACAAAGTTGCAGAAAACTTTATAAAGTCAAAATTCACTCGATTTTTTACGGCTAAAAGCATGTTGACATAAACTAAAATGAGTTTGATTACTGTTGTTTTAAATCAAAATGAACAGAATTCTATCATTATAGGATTCTCTGAGAACTCTTTAATTGCGCTTCACAATACAGCTTCATATGATATGTGGTTTGTAGCATTAGGAGAATGAAAAATAGACGATTTATTATCTTTGTTGCACAATCTGCTTTAACAAAAAGCACCTAGGTAGAACTTTGATGTCGAGATCACACGAGCTCGTATGTAGGCTTATTTTCCTCATAAATGTAAGCATAACAGAACGTTTGCAATATGCTTTAAATTTTACGAAATACGGGAAGCAGCTCCATAGACCGTTGCATTCGATGTTGCGATGCTTGGCGGACATGTGAGAAGTTGGTTCTGCTGGTAAGACATAAGATGCGTTCATCGTACTTAACATGCGTGCACCATATATATATATATATGGTGCAAGTATATATGGTGTATGTATATATATACACGTAGCAATACAAATTATATATAATACTCGAAATTATCCTGTAAACCAAGCTATAATATTAGACAAATGCAGAAAAAAAAACAGTTTAGTAGCACCTAGTGACACCTACTGAGATGGACTTATTTTTACATACTTCAAAAAGTGAGGGTCCTGTAGCAACCGCCATGTCATTTCGGTGTAGACTATTCTGCTTCAGTTGGAAATTCTTATCATTGACAACTCTGCAGTTGTCAACGATAACTACTTTGTCAGTTTCCTGTAGTGTCAACTTATTTTCGTCATCTGATATAATGAAAACTATGTCGGAAGGTGCCTCTCCGCCAGGCAGTCTTGTAGATTCTAATTTATACTTGCGTGGAGCTCGCAGTTCTTCTGTTTCATCGGAAACAAAATCAGGATCTTCTTCCTCTTCTGGATAAATGTTGGTGGAAATGGGAAACGCATATCTTCTACGTGTATCACACTGGACGTTAGCACAGTTTTCTTGTTTGACTTCGACAATAGATTCATGCATTAACGTTCCTTGATTAGTCAATACAATACTTGCTGCTTGCTTTTGCTGCATGCTTTCCTTGCATGTAGCTGAATTTGTGTCCGCTCTTTGAGCCAGCTGTTTTTCTTCATTAGTTTTCATATAAAAGTCACTTGAACCTCTATACGAATCTGAATTAGGCGCGTGACTATCGGGGCTCTTCAGCTTCGCTGAATTTGGCTCTTCAAAACTGGTTATCGATGGGTTCTGCTTAGCTGACGAAACATGAGCATCTGCATCGTCAAGGACAAGTTCAAAGGTGTTGTTCTCTTGATCTTCAACTGATTCTTGCTGAGGAGCCCGGACATGACCGGTCATACTAGTTGCAACGCTATGGCGACTGGGTAACGCTGGCGTAGGCATCATCGTTGTGCCATAGCTTTGTTCCAAAAACGCTGACACTGATTTGCTCGTACCGACACTGCAAGGTTTTCACCATTGGTAATTATTTACTAAGATCATATTTTAAAGGGCAAGAAATTTTCTATAAAGAAACAAATTGATAATGAAATACTCACACCCATTGATTTTTAAGTAGAAATTAGAGTATTTCTCGGGTAAGAAAATGGCGTTAGAGGTCATTTGGTAATCAAAACATTTACCAACAAGAAAATTTCTTTATGAGGCCATAAAGGTGCATATTTTAAAAAAGTAGAGGTTTGCGTACCACAACCGACCGTAAGTAACCCAAATACCAAATCTGAACTTTGCACGTTGATTCCGAATCGATGAAACCTAGTTTTTCATCTATAAAGCTAACATGTGTACCATACGAAACTACCTTTATTCACTTAATTTTGTACTGCGATCTTCCGAAAGTTAAGGTAGAACTCATTTGGGATACACCTTTTTCAGATAAACTCTACCAAATTCCTCACCTAGCCTATTCTTATACTAACAATTTTGATTGCATCATGACATCTATGTCGGCATCCGAATCGATTGAACCTTCCCTGCTGGCGCATTCTTCGGGTAGTGGCACAATAATTTCTTCAGATTGACGGGGCGTCAGAGTTTCATGACTTGGATCCTCCAACACTGTAAGAGCTTGGCGCACGGCCGCCCCTGCAAATATTTGCAGGTCAGAAGTGGCTGCTCCCTCGTCGCTGGTAAAACTAGCTGGAGAGGCATTCACAGACATTCGTTTGTGCGCTGCCATGTGAGGAGGCAGAGGGTGTTTAAATTCTGCTGAGTTTTTTTTGAGACGTCCAAATCGCGGAATAAGGTTATCCTCAAGTGCCGCGGAGCCATCAATCTGAGCCTCACCAACATCGGAAGCAGCCTCGATGTCAGGAAGTCGTCGCACAATTACAAAAGGCATTTGTGACTGGTCAGATAGTTTATTTTGAACATCCGATGTTTTAGTCTCGCTTTTGGTTCCATGCTGTCCTTTAGCTGCAACATCTGCGCTTAAAGAAATAATTTCTTTGTTAGGTTGCACCGCTTTGTCCTGATTAAGTGAACCATTTCTTTCTTGAAGTAAAGTGTCGAACAGCGTCCCCGCCTCACTACGGTGATCATTTGCTGGCCCGAAGCATAATGAATCATCATCACTAGAGTTTCCTTCAAGACGATCTTGGATTTTTTTGCGTATTTCCCTGGAATATGGAAGAAATTAGGTGAACATGATTCAACTTACAAAATATCCAATGACCGTAAAATCGCTCGAAAAAGACCAATGCCAACTTTTCTCTCTAATCAGCACTTCGATCATATGACAGGGCAATACTGCCTCACATCATGGCTCACCTGCTTTCAAATGACAAATCTTGACTGCTTTTGTGCTCCTCTTGCGTTTTCTCTGTCGTCTGCTCCGTAACTGGTGATGCTACACGATTGCTGTCGCTTTTAGGATTGCCTAATGTCACTTGTATTTTTAAATACGTGTCCACGGCTTTTGGGTTAATCTGTTCACAAGTGTTGTTCACTTTCGTATTCTCCACATTGCACTTTGCCAATTGATTCAAAAATACATCATTAGAACTTTGATTAAGCGATTCATCTTGCTTCTCAGAGGAAGTTGCGTTATCAGCAGGTAGACTAGTCTGACTATGACGATCAGTAATGACGTTAGGGCTAAAGATCGCCCCTTCTGCTTTGGGGGGTTTCATATTCTTGACCACCTCGACCTTCATTTCATTCTCTTCTCTATTTTTGTTTTCTGCTATATTTTCTGTTGTGAGACTGTTACTATTAGAGAGTTCGGCACAATCTTGAAATGCATTAGCATTATCATTCGCTGTTCCACTCTCATGGAGAGCACCTCTGAATACTACTTCGGTACCCTCATCGGCCTCTCCGTAGTTCGCGGCCGAAGCAGAAACCTTCGACTTGTGACGTTTACTTCGTTTTCCTGCTGTAGACCGGTTGTTCGTGAGATCCTCGAGGATACTTTTGTTCGCACCGCTCCCGCGATCGCCTTTCGCGGAATCTGGATTCTGTGATAGTTCTGACTCAATACAGGCGACCTTATTTTCATTGGGAAATCGCGCACCCTGTTTGTTGCTTTTCGATGTTGGGGTCGCGTAGTCAGAGCAATCAGCCTCCCGAACGCCTCGAGTTCGCAATTGCATCCGGCTATTGCCTGGTGTTATCAGCAGCATAAATAAATATATATATATATATATATTAAGCATTGCTTTTGGTTTTCTCGGAAGCACGCATGCCTAAAAATCATTCTTGGAGCATTTTCTTCTACGCATTGTCAAACTTAATTACGGCGTTTTCTTTATCGCAATCTAAGATCAATCGCTGGAATTGCGCCTATAATGTATTGGCATTTTTTATCATATCATATTGTGTTCATATGTCTAGAAGTACAAATTTCTAACGAACGATGTTACGAGAAGCTCAATGACCTGTACCGCCTCAATCACTTTGAGCCGCAATGAACAGTTTGAGAAAATAAATATTTGAAATAAATCACGAAAGTTATTTAAACATAGATAAGCTGATGCCGTTCGTACAAAAGCAGAATATGTGCAGTTAATACATACCACTAACAACTTCTTTAGTTAGCTATAATAAATCACTATTTTACTGAAATGATAAAGTCATTAAGCGAGAATTTGTGACTTCACCTAACAACAAATGAAATGTCTCTGTATTAAAATAGATGTGAAGAACAACGCTAAGTTATACTTTCCAACAAGTTTGAGTGCTTTTTTAAAAGGATCAACAAATACTGGTCTTCTAAAAGCATTGGTTTTGTGTTTGTCGAGTTTCGTTATGTTAATCCAAAGGACTAATGCACATAACCAGCACCAGCTGTTTTTCCTCCTTATATTGACAAGAAAACTTAACTAAAATTCGAAATCACTGGACTTGATAATGGCGTGTTGTAAGCTTTGTGGCTAAATGTAATCGTCTTGACTCGCTACTACATAGCTGCAGAGTAATGTTTTGAAATAAGTGCGCTTTGCTTGTCCAATAGCAGTCGCTAATACGTGCAGCGCTATGGTGGGATTTGACACTATACCTCTGGTCTTTTCATCGTCTATACTAAGAACGACGGTCGGCTCCGGAGAAACCGTGAATGTGAACTCAGGAACAAGGGTCGCATCCGATTTTTTTCGTCGAGCCTGCAAACCGAAAACGATACCACGTAATAAACACTATACGAACTTACGTTTTAGATAAGTTAATATAGAAAAATCAATAGTTCGCTTATCAGAGCTTTGCAATTTCTCCTGCCTTTTAGTACACTGCACTATAGTATTTTGTCATTTAAATAAATACACTTATTTCCAAAAATATTATCATGCTCAAAGCATTCCAGGGAGCTGTTTCTCTTATTACTACTCCAAAAAAAAGAAGGTAATTAATTTACTAAATACCTTCACTCCATTTCTGGATACGCTTCATCCTCACCAAAGTTCATTCTCTATCGTACCTCGTTTTTATATGATGATGATATTCTTTATATTATCTTTATTACATAAAAAGCGATATAACTAATAAGTACCTTAACACGCTTGACTAACGTATCTTCCGATTCAGCAGCGAGGGTTGGCTTCAAGACCTGTAGATCGTCGCCCAATTTTTCTTTCCTGTAGGAACATGTAATAATGACTATTATGGCATTAAAAGTCTCCTAGGTACCATACGAGTAGTAACAGTAGCAGATAGTTGCTCAAGCCAACGAAATCTCGGCGGCTTCCTTTTACTTAGCCGTAAGAGGTATCGAAAATCCTTGAGCAAGATTCCGTTGCGATGCCGCAGGGGAAAGCTGGTCATCAAAATAAGCAAGTTTCCGAAATGATGCAATAACAGCGTGTACCCCTAAGAACTTAGGAATTCATGTGAGGTATATGTCAAGTGTAGACACAAGTCTCATTTTAAGAGGCGGCCAGGTCTAATTCAATTCATAATGACGGTCCTGGGCAAAGAACTCAAAACACTATATAATAGAAATATACTGGAAAATATATCTTAAAGCAGTAATTTTTTACCTGGGATACCGCAACCTTCGAAGGCAAAAATACATCTCAACTAGAGTTTAATCAAACTCATTGTGTAGCAGGGCCAAGCACCACATTAACGCGATTTTGCTACGCTGAATATTTATCAGCTTTCAAAAGTGTTTGTTGAGTTATTAATTATGGCATATGCTTATTGAAAGTAAACTGAATAACGCATAGAAAAGGCTCACTACTACTCAACGACACGGTTTGAAGTTGACAAGTTTTTGAATTTGGGCTGGTGAGAATATGCACTGTTACTCAATACCATTTTTTAAATACATGATAAACCAGCATCCGCTGATTTCTTGCAATGGGTCACGCTTGCACGCTGCACTTACAGGCGACACTGTTTTCTTAAACGCTGAGGCATTATCTTTTTTTAAGGACAACCGCGAAAATTTTTCCACGTTCAGTCGACTACTCCGACAATGGGCGCAACCGTGCCGTTTTGGCGGGTCCCTTCTAGGTTGATGCGGTATACCGAAATATTAATTTCGAAATCTATCAATGAAGAAGACCTTGAAAAGATATGCGTTTGGTGGCCTGTCCTACTGAAAACTAATGTAGGTTTCACAATATCAATGAGCAATTTCTACTCTCAGCATATGTTTGATACCCAAGTTCAGCTCGAACAATTCGAACGAAGGTTTTCAATAGGCTAAGTAAGCCCGATGGATGAACGCATTCTTGAAATAGTAAACGTTTTCTGTAAAGTCTGCAATACAAGTTACTCGGGACCGCACACTGCAGCGAAGTCGCCGTCAGTTTCGGTTCTAATATATGTGATACATGCTACACGGCAGGCGCGATGAAATAAAATAAGTATAACAGGCTTTTTCTCAAACCGAGTTACCGAAATATATGCCTGAAGTATATATAACCACAAGGATAACGGTATATTAAATTTCTAAAGAGGCTGATGTTTCACTAAACCAAAATTGTATTGCTTGCAGTTGGATGATCTTTAGGATACTGTTTTAGTTCTCCATCAGATAATACCTTATAGTTAATATGGGGTTCTTACAGTCTTCATTGACTAATTATTGTTTTCTGACCTAAATTTCAACTGGTTATACTTAATCTCTTTTGTTTTTTGTGTATTGATTAGATCTTCAATACTTGATTAGTCTAGACAAGAAAAATAGTTGTATATCGCATACTTATAAAAATTAGGTTGAAAGCCCGTTTGCAGTAAAAAATAAGTTCGCAGATTATTTTTGTACACAAACATACAGCGTTTCTGAGTCATTGCTTGAATCGGAATACACGGCAAGTATATGCAAAACGGCTACAAACAAAGAACCTTCAATTAATCAAATGAATCATTGTGAACTGTGAATTTTGATTGCAAAACAAAAACCAAAAAGCTTTCTTAGGAAGTAATAATTTAATTAACTTGTTTCCTTGCACCCGCCACATAATCTCTGCTGCTGAATGAAGCTTGATAGCCATACCAATCCCCACCTCATCTGTCGAAGAAAAAGAGTATACATGCCCGGATCTGAATTTAAACCTCCATTTGTCCCTGAGTTTAGCAGACAAACATTTCCCACTGCGCTATCACTAGAACATACCTTTTTTGTTTATAGACATTTAGGTAGCTGACAACAGACGAGGATGACCCTCACCCACTCAACGCGCGGAATTTATAAAATTGTTTTGCTCTAGATATGAAATATAAACAACAGCAGGCCGTTAGTTTCATAGGTGCAATCCGCCCCCGGTGTATTACACTTTTAGAAAAAATAAAAGCAAGTTTATTCATTAATTACTGTACTTCCTGCTAAGGCCATGAGAATAGCTCGCGATAGGTGTTCGTTAGTTGGAACGCCAATTACAGGCGTATCCCAACAAACATAACATTAGTATTGTCACTCGTTCATCCACTGTGCCACTGGTCTGGCTATTGAACATAAACCACCTAGTGAACTCTCAGTACGGTGTTAAAAAGAAATTAACGCGTCGTGATAGGAATGAATTTTATGCAGTCTTGCTCATCTGTCTTAGTAATGTCTAATGTCGAGGCAGCGGCATGAAGCGAGTGTATTCAGAACCATTAGTGATCGAGTAATACATCGCCGTCAGGAAAATATATAGGTTCAGTGCGGTCAGACAGCTCAGCGCCATCGAGAGTGTCAGCTCCCTCTCCATCAGCGATCATGCCGGAGTCTGAGGGACTGGAGAAATACGTTGTCAATGATCTGTTTGATGAAATGTTGGACACGATCGTACAGGGATTGTGTTTCGAGGTTCATCGAGCGCACAAAAATGGGCGACTCTTTCTCGACGAAGGACCTCAGGTCAGTGAGGCTTGTCTCAAAGAAGAGAAATTATGCAGAGTCGCTATTAAAGAAACCATAGACAGGAAACACATGGCTCAAACATTCGATTTTTCAGTAGAACATTCACTTTTTTATGTATAGTAACAGGTGTGTCGAAGCCATTTCATATGTGAACAACAAAACTGATTAGCACGGAGGCATAAATTACGTCAAAAAAAAGTAATTGTCACCAAAGTTGCGTATTCAAAGGAAAATTTGATTTGTCGGTTAGTAGTTCGAGTATTTCAGCAGTAGATAGATAATAAGTGTTAACAATGTAAGTAAAATTGATAAGCAGTATTATATTCTGATTTAAGGTGGTTCAGTTTGAATCCTCAATTTATAAAGGTTTGTAATTCCGGTTTATAGGGATTTGCGTTGCCAATATTTTCTAGCTTGCGAAAGTATTAAAGAAAGTAATTACTATCTTTATCAAAACGCAATTTTCTATCATAGCTTGCTTAAAGATTACTGATACTTTGTGATCAACCACTGTAAACGACCTTATTGCAGTTCTTGCTCATTTATAGCTCACGCCGTATATACATACTACTTGAATTTTTTTTTTTTTTTAAAAAATAATATATACGAAATTGAACTACCCAAGTAATAGTTATAATTAAACAGAGATTATTACTTAGACCCATTGAGTTAAGTTATGGCTTCAAATATTTACGCTGTGCAAGGCAATGTCACTCACGGAACTACAGTAATTCTTAAAGACAACTCCACCTCATAACATATATATAAAATCTAAGGTCCTCTTTGACTATAACAGATAATGATGTTTTAATATTCAAAGAATGTTAATACCTCTAGAATTACCTTCAAAATATTTTAAATCTCGCGGATTATTTAAAGCAAGCTTTTACATAATCTATGGGCACCGCACGTTGATGATTACGATGAACTGAAGGTTACATCGAACAAAAATAAACCGAAAAATCAGACTCTCAAAGCAACTGTAGGAACGCTAGGTATTAGCGAAAATACCCGAGATTCTATGAGGCGATCGACTAAGAGAAATAAACAAATAACAAACAGAAACAAATCGTAAGAGGAATTGAAGCTTCGTTTTTGTCTATCTGAACAGGTGGCAGAAATTGCTGATGTGGTTGACGAAGCAGGCCGAGATATCTTTGGTCAGGTTCCGCATAAACTTCATTTTGAATGTTCGTGTCCAAACTGTAATAGATCGATGGCTGCATCGAGATTTGCCCCACACCTTGAAAAGTGTATGGGAATGGGCCGCAATAGTTCGCGTCTGGCCAGTCGGCGAATAGCGAACTCAGAGAAGATGCAGCAACAGTTAAGTCAACAGCATAATCAGGGTTCAGGATCGAACGGAGGAGGCGAGAATGACGGAGACGATGATTGGATATGGGAAAAGAAAAAAAAGAAAAAGGACAACAAAAATAATTCGCCCAGAAGGTCATCCAAAAAAACCACCAGCCACTCAGGCAATGGCGGAGGGAACAACAGTTCGAAAGAAAAGGTGAGAACTGTTAGTAAAAATAAACAGAATTTCTAGACAAGCGATTAGTGTTTTTAACAGTATCAGATTCGATCTCTGTAAATACCTGATACTATAGTATTTGGTAAATGCTAAGTACTATAGCTAATTTAGAAAGCTTGAAACACAAATAAATAAAAGAAAGGAGTCTGAACAGATGTTCATCTTTAGTCAAATGCTTTAGCGAAATTATATATATATATATATATATATATAACAGTTTGTTCCTATGAATACCCATGTGAGTTATTTTACGATCCTAAAAATTACAGAGTCCGTTCGAAAGAATCCACCTTGTCTTTGCATCGGACCGACTCAGCTTTACAGAAAGCAGAATATGCATCTACTAGAACCGAGATGTAGGATTAAGAAATAGTAAATCAAACAAGCATTGCTTACTTGCATTTTTAATACTATGAGTAGAACATATCTATTTTCAGCATTTATGATATTAATAATGTGTAGCTTAAGCATGACGGCACCCCTACGAAGCTATCTGTACTTACCCAATTCCACTCCATCTAACTCGTTCTCAGGATAAAGATAAGGATCGTACGAGTAGCTCTCGAAGCAGCGCAGCGACAGAAGAAGCTCTCACTGCTCTTGAGGCTATGTCAACCTGGGAACGCAAGGATCTTTTGACAGCGACATGTTGCGTCATCTCCCGTCACACCGGCAAAATGTGCACGCGATCGCACCAGTGTCCTACGCATTCCGACGAACAGCGACGAGCCTTGAGGAAAAAGCTGCAGGCCCGTGAAAGGGATACGCCTCGCCGTTCTCATACGGGAGCACGTGAGGATGAATTTGTTGATGTTGACTCACTAGAGGATTCAAATAACTCGAACGTTGCCAAATCTTGGGAGTCAATCCCCTCTCCAGCCACTGAACTTAAGAAATAACATGGTGACTGCTGCCGACCGATGTAGTATTATTCGCACAATTTTCCAAATAATTCAATTGACTGTCACAAACGATGACGATTGAAAGAGTGGCTTGAGAAGGTGATATTATGATGTTGTGTGGGTGAAGGATGTCGTCTATATATGTAGTAAGCAAAGCACGAGATCCTCACCCGTTAATGATACAGAAGCACGCAGGCGGAAAAATTACATGTAAGATATGATTGTGTATGTGAATTCGATTCGCCATCGTTAGTGCTGTACTTCAGATACCACGGTTTTGCATATCAATGATGTAGGTACAACAGCGAAAGACGGTAACTACGATGGCAGTGATGATTTTAGTGTTGTTGTACAGAATAAAGCTGTATATTTAAAGCTCGCTCATATAATGATTTTATTTTTGCAGTTAGTTAGACAGTAACTCTGTGCTTTCTAGTCAGTACATAAGGCGATTGTTATTAGAATTATTGTTATTAGAATAGGCGAATTAGAATTTCACTGAGCATTAGCTTGACTCATTGAGAATAAAAGAACTGTACTAATCGTTTTGGTTTACGGCACACGAATCATTTCACGATTAATATTCGATTGAATATACCCAATGGTCCTTGGTGCAGTCATGCTTACAATAATGTAATGAAAACGCAGTCGTGATAATATAAATTGATCCGTATAAAAGTGTATTTCATTTATAAAATGATATGCGATAATGATACGCGCTTGCACTTTCTTAATTACTACAGATCCTATAAGGAGTGAATATATAGGCTCAAGTAGCTGACATCCTACACAGGCGTGTAGAAAAAACGACATCGCTCGTGGAACACTTTCTTTGTCCGCGTTTTGATTACTTCCTCGACGCCCAACTCAGCTTGAAAGAGACGGTGCTGCAATAGTTTGTAATAAACATGTGGATACTGAGCATTATAAATTTCAAACTATAAAACCTAACACAATCCGACTTTATCGTCGAAGCTAGCCGGGCCGTTTCAGAGTACGCTATTATTATATTTTTTGATTTGACAAAATTGAATAATGCGTGACATTTCGATGAATAATTCGGTGAATAATAAGAATAAGCTCATAGGAAACACGACTGTGCACTTGTTATCGGTCATATTGATAAACGTACTCTAATTTGGGAAGGTTTGCGAAAAGTGTATGTGTTCCCTTTGCGAAAAGGATTTAGCATTACAATGAAGCTAAGATAAAATAAGAATTGCAATATTCAGCCAAAAGGTTTGTTTTACTCTCACCTTTGTCTGCTCCTTTTTTAGTTCTTTGAGAACATCTATATTGTCTGGATTTTTTTCTTTTGCTGCTTTCAGGGATGCTAAGTGATCCTCGCTGTACTGGACACATTTCTGAATCGATGCTTGCCTCGATGAATACAGATCGTCCAACTAAAATTGGAGATCTAGTTTTTTAAGGGATAGGTTTTTCATAATCGTCGAATCGAAAACTTTAATTAGACCCGATAGGATACAACAGTTCAGAAAAGTGGTTCGCTATTTTCATTAATACTAATTACATATGACATGTTTGTCATATGTAATTAATTTCATTCACAAATCAATCAGAGAACTTAGGTTTGACTGGTTTGAAGTAACCACCTACTCTTCTTTATTCTTTGGGGTAAATTTCACCATGCCGATTAACTACAATGCACGTACATGTAATAACAGATTAACACAAATATAAGGCTGTGTCTTGAAGTCACTGTTTCTAAACTTCCTCAGAGCAAAAACGCCTGTTTACCTGTCTGTACAAATCCTTGCAGGTTTCATGAGCATCATTTTTATTGGAAAATGACTGCGTCGGAACCGTTGTGTTCAGAGCATAAATGATATTATCGTCGATTTTGCGACTTTGCTTTAACAACTCCTATACGTCAGATAAAAAAGAAAAACACAAGCTTACAAATAATAAACAATGTAAAATGCTGCGAGCCAGCAGAATCTGTCTTAGTCGTACTAAGCATGTTGGTTTATTTTATGGTTTATTTATTATGCGTACTAACATATTGGGAATCAAAGATAGAAGAGTAGTAATATTTTATAGAATCTCACTTAAATTCGTTTTTTCTTATCATATATTCCTAAAGCAAGGTCGTCTGTAAAATATATCTTATCTAAGCGCGATTTCGAACCATTAGTACAGTTGAACCTGACACTCGTGAAGTTCTCTATTAAATGAGCAGATCAATGAACGGATAGTAAGCTTAATTTAAAAACATGGAACGTGCAAACTGTATTGACATAAATAAATGTAGATTGATATTTAGGAAAAATGCAGTGCCAACTCTGCAAACAATCAATATTGCCTAATAATTTGCATTTAATGCAGAAATTGGCATTTTTGAAAATGTTGAATTTATGAATTGCGGCTCTACTTGGTATAAGATCACTCCTCGAACATTTTAATCGTTCTAGATAGAGTATACTTATCACACATAAAAAGCTGCACTGAAAACATTTTCTTAGACGATAAATTGGCCTGTCTCACACGTTACCTGGTCACCACTGTATGGCTGCATCAGTATACACACATACTACTGTGACTTTACATTGCAACAACCCCCTAAAAAACTCACACAACATCTCACACTTAAGAAATCCGTCCGTCATAGATAACTCTGTATTGTTATTGCGCAGTCGCAGACATAGCCGAACAATTGCCACAGTCGTTATATCATGTATAATAAATAGTGAACCTACTATAGATCTATAGCCAGTAAACCAGCAACAGTTATAAATAGGTAACTATTATCGGAACCAGTCACGTTCGACATTTTGACCACGTGCCTACACCATTTCGCTAAAAATGCACGCATTTTTAGCATGAGCCTTGAATAGAAGCCAATTGAATCTATGTAAGCGACTTCGCGGACAACGTTTGCCCGGTTAAAAATCTAATGTAATACTTGAATGTCCATCACAAACCCAAACCTATAAGTTATCGGAAAACAAAAACATTCCGCGCGGAACCGGTGTCTTCATAACGTCAGCCAGTTATGTTTTCCGCTTATGCAATTTACTTGCGAATAAATGGAGAAACAATTTTGCGTTTCTACAGATTCTACATGTAGTCTCCTTGTGAGCTTTTTCCGACCGTTCTCACCTGGAAGCCAAGAAAATCCTCACAGGTGCTTTTCGTTGTATTCGCCATTTTGCCCCTTTAAGCACACGACTTTGTTATAGTCACCACGAATCGTTCATTTCGCGGTTCAGGTCAAAATATGTGATACGTTTATGTACCACTCGCACAGGTAAACATGTAAACGAATTCAAATTACCCAAAGACTAATTATTCATAGAAACAGAACAAATAACGTCTTGTAATGTAACTAGATTTAGCAGAGTTTAAGCAATAGAAATTTGGCTAACAATCCAAGCATTACTATAAATTCATGATGGACTCCACAGTTGTGGTACACTTTGTGGTACGTTCGATGTTCGCGAGAACAGCGGGCAGCTGCTACACTTGCCGTGTACTGCCAATGGACTGCCTCATCGCCTGCTAGCGCAAGCCTGCTTATCATCACGTTAAAATAGAAAGGAAGTACAACCTCGACAATTGCCAGGTTTACGACGGAGCGTGGTGCGATCCGTGATTTTCGTATACTGGAGAGTCAATCAGCATTGAGTCGGTTCGGCTGCTGCAGCAAGTGGGTAAGTTAAATGTGCGAAGATGTGTTTTACATCAAACGGGACACGAAAGATTGAGTATGACTTCAGTGTGCATAGGAATCGTCTCTTACGTGTGTGTACGTGTAGAGATTTGAGTCAGTCAGTGTTACAACGCGTCTTATTGTGCTATGATGTATACAGGCTTAAACGGATCGCATATCCTCTGTTCTGTAGCAGCAATGAACTACAAGCCGCGACACAACGAAAATATCACATGGCGATCGTTCGGGTCAAAAAATGGGTCATTAATGCAAATTAGTAATCTAGGAGTACTCATAACGTGTGCCATTCATAAGGTATGCATAAATGGTACATGCTACAATCTGAACAGTGTCCTGCTATGATTGTGGTAGTTCCTAAGCGAGCAAGCTATTAGCGCACAATCGCAAAATATAGCAACAGATAGCGCACATCGGAAGATTCGATCCGCTAATTGTATTCCCTAAGTACCCAGCCGCGTTTTAAGCTTGAGTGCAGCTGTAGCTTTGATTGTTTGCGCACTATTGGGCACGAGTGTGTTAGGTAAGCTCGTGTGTGCGTGGTAAGTGAGATATCGCTTTTTCGACGATGTTGTTAAATTGGCAATCAGCTGTTATGTTAGCGCCGTTGAGCTGGCTGGATGTCGCCATTTTAAATTCTGGAGATGAACAGGACCGCAGCACGATAATCCAAGAAAGACCTCTCGGACCCAATAGTGGCCTACGAAATCGACAGCATATATATAATTGCCAGGTGCTTGTTTTGTTCTAGATAAAACTTCGCGCTTTAGACGTGGTTTAAGCAACTTCCAGTTAAGAATTAAAAAAATATTAGTTACCCCGCTTACACTATAAACCTGACGAGGTAAATAATGTAATATTGTGTTTATAAGATGGCTACAGACAACGAAAGTATCAAGCTAATATAATATTGTGTTTATAAGATGGCTACAGACAACGAAAGTATCAAGCTATCATACTTTTCTCAGGTACCAGCTTTGCCCCTTTCTTGCTGATGTTGAAAAATTCAATCTAGAAAATTATAAGCATGCTCGAATCCGATTACTTTTGTTACAACATCTATAGACTATAATATCAACTTAGGCGCAGAGTCTTCTAACTTCAAACATAAGCTATTCGATAGTTAAATAGTATATTCTTCAAACATAAGCTGTTCGATAGTTAAATAATATATTCTTGAATGAATGAATCAACAAGAAGCCGCAATATAGGCAACTTCGTGTTGCTATTGATAACTTTAGATTCATACCTCGTATGTGGAGGTCTAGACATCGTTTTAAGTACCTTACATAATTTATGGGTAGAATTCATTAAGGAATTCACAGCGTTTGCTTCACCGTAGGACTATTTTTCGAATTTCGTTTTGAGCTGCTGACGTCATACTTTTGCCCGTTGTTTGAAAAAAATTAAGCCAACAATTTACATCTCTAAACTTTGTGAAAAAATTGAATAAGGTAACTTATCTTTATGACAACTAGCACTGTTTATTGCGGATGATCGTTTGAGATTTTTGAGAAAGAAGTAGAGGAGGTAGTGTTCATACCACTACAACAATTCAGATGACCTGAAATGAAATAACGGATAGCACAAGATAAGGTTATTATATATATATATATATAATATATAGAAAATCTTGTATAACGGGTGGTTTCTTCGTGGCAATATTTCATAAGTGCTATGGTTTATTTTCAGACACTGTTAACATGAGTTACGGCGGAGGCCAAGACCAAAAGCCCATTCACCGTGCTTACAAAAATCATGGTGTCGACAACCGTGAACTGCGTCGACGACGAAATGAAGAGGGCGTTCGGCTTAGAAAAGCCCAGAGAGAGCAGGCCATGCTCAAAAGAAGAAATCTTCAAGTAAGAATTTGTGTTTAGTCTTCAGCTAGTACAAATTTAAGTAAATATTACTGTCAGTGGTTAACTCTGTGATAACGGCTCATTTATGATAAGAAGACACGACATTTATCAGTTTTATTTAGAACACTTCGTCTAGCAAATGTGAAGACTTTCGAAATAGGATTGAGTAGAACACATGCGTAATTGTTGGATATACATGTATAAGGAGAAATGTTACGACATTGTTGGATATTCATATATGAGCATAGGATATACATATATAAGCAGAAACATTACGACATTGTTGGATATACATATATAAGACATTTCGACATTGTTGGATATACATATATAAGACATTACAACATTGTTGGATATACATATATAAGCATGAACAGTACGACAACCCCTCTGGGCTCATAACGTCCGGATTTCCGCTATGCGTTAAAACTGCCGTTCTGCGCCATTGTCCGTACAAATGTTACTATGAAAGCGATATCTTCGTGCGCCAGAAGTGGAGTCCTCACTACGATCGAGACAGCCCGGAGCTGCCAGCAAGAGGTTCCGCCCGCGGCTTTTGAAAAATTTGTAACAACCTGAATGCCAACTCTTGCCGTGATAGCGCAGTACGTGTCTTCCCCCTAAACTTAAGTCGAATCGGCGTACACACTTCGTTTCTTACTGGAAGCCAGTCGTCTGAGGTAATACCCAACGGCTTAAATGCTGGATGCAAAACACAATTTTTGAATGTTTGACGGAATTAACCCTCATTTGGTCGCATGGCAGCCTTCTAGGAAACGCGGGCGAATCTCGGCTGCTAGATCATCAATATTAGTAGTAATATTGTCCCAGCCTTCGTAGGCTACAATAGAAGTTCCGGCTTTGAGGCAAATACTGGGTTTGAGTTCGTCGGTGACAGTCTCTCATTCAAAGAAGACGTGGCTAGAAGTGGCTACCAGAGCTCACATACTAGTGATTGTTAACATCGTCCTGCAATTCTGGCTTCCCTTGAGGTAACACAAAGGCTGCTGTAAGTTTGCATAAAAGATCCAGAGACTTTTTTCTAGCGCACAGTGATTTCGGAGCTTAAACACACTGATGTCTAAATCTACGTGCAATATCCCATAAATAAATCCTTAGTGTCTTCGTCTATCGATCTCGCACCGCAAGCTATTCGAATAACGTTCGTCGCCTGGCATGCAGAGAACACATATGTAAAGGGCAAAGCATTAAAATTTGGGGAGCCTTCTGCGGTGAGAGCATGCATTCATCTGCTATTTTTAATACCAAAAAAGTCAGTACTTTTTGACCTAAAGACAACAAACTCCTGGCGACAGGAAGTACGTTGTTTTTGGAAGTTTAGTCAAGACCACCTATTATGCAATGCCGTTAAACGCGGGAAAAACTTTCTATTATTATCTTGATGGATTACCGCATATCAGCAGTTTACGATATCGAAAATACAAAAGCGACTAAAAACCAGCAACTACAGCGCAACAGAAAATTACCTCAGAAAAAAAACCTCTGAAAATGAACGGTGCAACCTAGAGTTAGTTTCTGATAATTTCGACTATGGCTTTGGTGAAGGAGTTAGATATACCATCCCACGAATTGTTTATTAACGCCTCAAACACATAAAATTTTTTTCAGTGTTTATGTTCTGAGTCATTACGTTACCTTGCTTTTTCCAGAAAAAATTGACGTATCACCAGAAGTTGCTAACTATTGGGCAACCGTGGATAGTTGGAGTACCTGAACAACCGTATGGGACCATATGTCTCCCAACAAAATGAAGCACTAGCTCAAACCAGTTAATTAGTGTTGCTAATTAGTGTTGTTGAGAATACAAGCATGTTCTGTAATGAGCATGTTTTGGAAGAGCTCAAATTTGAACTTGTTGAATACTATGTATCCAGTGTTATTGAGCGTGAGTTTAAGTCATAAACTTCGACATACTCAGTTATTCTATCAAAGGGAGGTTCGCACGTTTACAATGGGAACATTTGGAACGAACTTATGAATGGTTTAGGTCCTAAAGTTGTAGTTGTTGTAGATGTGATTATATTAAATGTGACATTTATTCAACATTTCCTAGTACATGCAAGGAAATTCATTGACAGGTCTGTTATTATTCAAATACAGAATACAAAAAAATATTGAATTTAGATCCCCCCACCCTGTGGAGTTTTGGCTATTGCATAGTAAGCCCCCTCCCTGTAGAGGTTTAGCTATTGCGTAGTCAGCGATAAGTTCTATCTCGGTTTACCTGTCGGGCGATCTGTATTTCAAAAAGACGGGATTATCTCGAGCTACAAGATAACTTCTTGTAAGAGGTCGAAACGCCACGCCTATGAATGGCTCTTTAATTCTTAGATTATCAGTGTACCCGATTTATCTGTCTATCTTAATAGGAATGCAATATTTGTGGTTATCGTTATAATGGCATTATATTTTTTTAGGAAGAGGTTGAAGTTGAAGAGGCTGAGTCCATGTGTGGTGACCAGACAACCGCTACTGAGGAAAGAGTTACCCCAGAGATGGCGCAGGGACTTTTTGCCCCTGATCGAGCCCTGCAGCTTCAATGCACTCAGCGATTTCGCAAACTCCTTAGCAGAGGTATGATTTTCTAAATGCAAATTAACTATATTAAATATGAACGACGACACGGACGAGTACAGCGTAAGCTATTTTCGGCTATAAATTTTCACCCGATTTTTTTTCAAATAGATCCAAATAAGTCCAGAGTTTCCGAGTGACCTCGTGGTGTTAACGATAATGTTGTCTGAACTTACAGAGCCTAATCCGCCCATTGATGATGTGATCGCTTGCGGAGTTGTGCCGCGGCTCGTTGAGTTTCTTAAATGCTCAGATCAGCCCCAATTGCAATTTGAGGCCGCTTGGGCTCTGACAAATATAGCATCGGGCAACGCGTCACAAACAAAAGCCGTCTTGCAAGCTGGCGCAGTACCCATTTTCATCAAACTGCTGGACTCTGATAGTGATGAAGTGCAAGAACAGGCTATATGGGCGCTTGGTCAGTATACGTTGCGAACATTTTTGAAGTCCTAGAATAATTTATGATTCGAAACTGTATGAATTTACATTTTTACACTGGTCGTCATTAAAACCGACGTCGTCATTATGTATGTATGTGTTCAGTATCAGTTGAAAATACTATACTATGGTAGATAGCCTTTTTTGATATCCTATATCTAAATTGTCACGTACATTAGCAATATGAGGGGTGTAGTAAAATGCTAAACAAATGTATTTTTCTCTCCCTATATATATATTATATATATTTGCCGGAAATAAGGTGAATAGACAGTTGTCATGCGGCCCTTTTAAACTAATGTGCAATGTTTTAAATTAAACAGGTAATATAGCTGGTGACGGACCCAAATGCCGAGACTATGTCATAGAGCAAGGCATGCTTGCCCCTCTAATTCGATTTATCGAAAACAGCCAGAAAATCACCATGACCCGTAATGCTGTGTGGGCGTTGAGCAATCTTTGTCGAGGTAAAAGTCCTCCGCCAGCATTTGAGAGTGTCCGTGCAGCTTTACCTTTACTTGGTAATTTATTATATTCCAAGGATGCTGATCTGTTGGCGGACACGTGTTGGGCGCTTAGCTACCTTTCCGATGGTCCCAATGAGAAGATCCAAGCGGTTATAGAAACTGGTGTCTGCAAACGACTTGTCGAACTTCTTGCGTGAGTATAGACTACAGTTTGTTAAAAGCATTTTGTCACACGTCACATGTCTCTTTTGAACTTCTCTCTACGTTTAACGTAACCACATCATATTGGCATTTTTGGGGAGAGGATCTTACATTTTCACATGGTTTGTATCCATTTGGTAAGACTCTCTTTATAAATTTGTTAAACCGTTGCCTCATTGTCACTCATATTCTCGATTAGTCAGTCGGATCTTACACAATGGCAAATCATGCTCGGTTTGTTTACAGCCACGTAAACCAGAGTGTGGCATCGGCGGCCTTGCGCGCGGTGGGAAACATCGTAACTGGTGATGACAACCAGACGCAGGTTATCCTGAGCCACAACGCCCTGGTCTACCTGGCGCACCTTCTAGGCTCGCCCAAGGAGACTATCCGCAAGGAAGCTTGCTGGACGCTGTCCAATATAACTGCTGGAAATCGAGATCAGATCCAGGCAGTGATTAACGCAAATATTATACCTGCTCTTATTGATATTCTAAGAACGGGCGAACTGAAAGCTCGTAAAGAGGCAGCGTGGGCTGTAACCAACGCTACGTCTGGTGGAAGCCCTGAGCAAATTCGTTACATGGTATCGCAGAACTGTATCCCGCCGATGTGCGACCTTCTGGCTATGTCCGACCCTAAAATTGTACAGGTGAGGTTTTCATGAAAAATGAGTTTCAACTTGTTTTCTAAGTGAAAAATTCATGATTTTTAAAATTTCGAGATCTCATATGTTGTGAACGCAGTTTCTAACGGAGGATCGCTTCATGACTGTGCATAGTAGCGTATCAATTCGGAACGGAGGATCGCTTTATGACTATGTACAATATCGTATCAAATCGGGTAATAGTTCAAACTCACTGTCCGCAGTCGGTAATGCTTACTACTCTCAAAATTTGATAGGTTTAGCAATTTTTCTGGGTCTGCTCTTGGTTTTACCCAGCTTTCTTTTTGATACTTGCTGACAACCGAAGATCAACAATTACGTCTAGCACTTACTCTTAACAAGAAACCTATAATATTGTGCGCGCAACTGAGTTCATTAATTCTTTTAATAAAGAGTCCGCTTTTCCATTGATTTAACTAACCCCGAGTCATAAGAGAAAAAAGACACTTCTTCTCGGTCCGTCGGGTACACACCAACGGGTGTCCTGTTTCAGCCATTCCTGCACGAATTTCGCTACTTTTGTTCAGTTTCCCACTGAAATGTTACAGCTGTTCAAATACTACAAAGTCTGTTCATTCCACATCCAGCCCAATTTCACCCAAACTCTAGCTCTAATATAGATTCTTTCAGTTCCAATTACCTCGTTGCAGATCTGCAGAAATCTTTAATCACCGTTTTGTTGCACTGATCCCATGTTTTCAGTGGAATGTCTACTTCATAGTAATGGTGTAGCCTTGTACCGAAACTAATCTGTCATTCCACTGTGCGACTGCTGTTATTTAAAAAAAAATCCTACTTTACCTCAGAAGATATACACATGTGTTATTGGTTAATCAGCCGATTCACCTAGGTGATCAGCTTAAGGAACCTGACCAACAAATTTAAATCCCAGTTTAGGTGCAGACCTACTTGACATAATAATTCCATCACCAAATTATTCTGCGTATATTATTTGAATGCATTTCTGATCCAAACATTGTCCTGGACTTAACCTGCTTTCCCAGCGCGACTAATCCATTTCACAACCGATTTATTAAACGATATGCGTATCAGATTGAGCTGTATAGAAACTGTTCCTAAATTATCAACGGTTGCCGAACAAATATCCCATAAAGATCACATTTGTTATAAACAGTCGTACGGTGTAAAGAAAAAAAAACATTTAAAGTTTCAAAGTTAAAGATACAGCGCATTACAGAATGAACCAGTACTAGCTCAACAAAAAAATAAGACTAAATCAAGAATTTTGCATAGGGTATTTCAAGAAACCAGGCAAACACAGATAGAGGCGTATTACCAATTAGATTAGGAACCAGTTACTTGCCATGTATGATGGATCTAGACTTTATAATCAACGAGTAGCAACGCCCGGATTCTGAAATTTGAAATAATTTTGCTTTGAAATAATTATCCATAAAACCGATATAAGCGCATTACTCAAACAATTACTAATTGATCTCTTGTTCGATTCCCGGTTTTATTTTAGGTGGCTTTGCTCGGTCTGGAAAACATCCTAAAACTTGGTGAAAACGAAAGCATAACGTCAGGCACCAATCAGTATGTGCTGGCTATAGAGGAGTGCTATGGCTTGGATAAGATTGAATTCCTGCAGACGCATGACAATATAGACATCTACCAGAAGGCATTTGAGATGATCGAACGTTTCTTCTCTGCCGACGACGATGAAGAAGACGTCGGATTAGTTCCGGAGATCGACCCCAACCAGGCCGACCAATTTCAGTTTGGAACACCCGAGCAAACGCCTGGCAGGCACGGTAACTTCAAGTTCTGACCGGACATGACCTGCCTCGTGTAGCTCGTTGGCGCTATTGTCGCTAACGTAATATAGCGCCGTCCCGTTGGTACACGCAGAAAGCTTGCAAAGTCGACTTCGACTATATCTCTATACGCATATATTTTCGGTAGCGGTCGAATTAAGCAGGACTAATTAAGCAAGGCCGCCGCCATGCCATACATATGAGGCGAACACGATGAAAAAAGACGTTCTTGTCGGTTCAAGCAATGTCGACGAAATAGAATTACATAATATCGCGAATTATTCTATCTCTACTATAATGATAATAGGCATATGTTGTAGTTCCCGTCCCGCTGTTTGTAGAAGAGCATTCGCGGTTCATCGTCTTAGAATTAAGAGCAAAGAAATATGGGCGCGGCGTTTCAATAGAACTGCTGAACTATTAAGGAAAGGATCACCGGAAAACTGGAAAACTGATAAGCAAAGAGAGAGAAGACAAAGAGCAAGAAAAAAGACCATGCCTCCTCCTCAAAAACAGCAACAACAGCTACAATGACAACGACAACAACAAGTAGAAATTGTTTTACAGAGCATACAACATGTGTAAGATAGTAAAAGTGGGAATACTCATCGGTACTTCAACGACAACGCTACATGGACAACAGTTACGCCGACAACAACAACAGTAACAGGACAACTACGATGACGACAACAACAATGATAACATTGATAAAAACTACAATGGCAACAAAAGAACATAAGTTAAAACTATAACAACAATAACAACAACAACAGCAACAACAACAAAGTACAGAGCAACAACAAAAACAACAAACAATTAATAACAACATCTACAGTGACAGTAGGATTATACAATAATAGAAACAAAGGAACAATCGCAAAGACAGAAGCGTATGAGAGAAAAGGAAACCAGTGACCATAAGGCGCGATATATGTATAGGAAATGACTTCAATGCGGTGGAACAACAGCACAATAGAAGTAAACGCAAGATGCGATGAGAGCGCCCACATAATCCCCGTCAGATGTTCGTTGACTGTACGGTCAACAGTAACAGTAAGTGTAATATCTCGTTTGATCGTGACGAGGGATATCGGATGGTTAGCATCGTAACCCCCCTCTATCATAATAGTAATAACAATAACAGCTGTTCCGTGGAATCTTGTCGACTCTAAGACAAAAGGATACGGAATGAACGAGAAATATAAGTGAGAGTTTACATGTGTGACAATAATAGTAATGACGGTTATTATATTAGCAAAGTGATCATGGCGATGTTATCGTGAGGTGCGATGGTTAGCTTTACAGGCAGCCATCGTAATATGAAGGAATTTTTCGAAAAGGGTGCGCATGTGGAGATAGGTAGCAAACCTGTATACATGTGTGAAAATAGAAGAGGGAAAACAAGTGGGCGGAAGTGCGGATGTGCAAAAAATGAAGTAGGAACGTACGAAAAACAAAAATAGAGCAGAATACGACACGTTTAGAATAAACAAATGGTGACACTAAATGGCATCAGAAAGTCTATTCAAACGAACATGACGTGGAAAGGAAAGGAAATAATACATTGAAAGGATGATAATACCATGTAAGAAGAAATACAAGTTAAAGTTTACTACTAGTAATAATAATAATAATAATCATCATCATACTAATCCTACAAGTACTACATTTACAACATACATTCTTACACGATCGGGACACACAATGTTACACTTTACATAACATTTTGGTCCACATCACTGGTTGACCGTCGATGACACGAGACACATCTATTGTATGATTATATACATATATAAATAATATATACACTCCTGATAGCAAAATGTCCCTGTTAACCTGGTTTTGCTCAGGCTCAAGTTTTGGCCTGGGAATAAGGTTTGCCCCTGCTAGCTGCCTCGTTAGTGCCACAACAAATGGCAAATGATGAATGCAAAAAGGCTTGTTTTTCTCTTGCAGTAGCGAAAATCAGCGACCATAATCTGGGACGTTGAGTGAAAGAAAGACACCTAGTGGGGCGAAGTAGGAGACAAACATGAATAATTTACGAGGGATTGTAAACAGTTTATCTCTGTATGTAAACAGACAAGCACATTTTCATATACAAAATCAAGCAGCAAGATACTGTGGCTAGTACAGCTAACAGTTAAGCTTAGTTCTACTAGAGTAAAAATAACGACTGCTGCTACCATGAAACGTTGGTACGTTTTACGTTACGTACGGTTTACATTACAGCATCACAAATCATAACATAGCAATGGCAGTTTCGGCTCACTTTTCAGTATCCTATCACGAAGTACGTACAAAAAACATTACTGATACTGAAAAAAAAGTTAAGAACCCCGTGCAATAGAACTCAGGTTGGGTTGCGTCTAGAACATTACGGTACCGAGATGGTGCATACCGATATCGGCAATTACTACATCCCCCGGGTATGTATCAATATTAATTAATGTTTGCATTTCGAGCGTTACTATTGCCACATTATAGTGGTTGGTTACAGGGACATGATTAGCATTATTAATAATAATCATAGTACAATGATAACTGTTGCACGGTGAACAGTTCTTTTCATTAATCGATTGGTCGAATCACGCCCGACACTCAACTGAACGCTGAAATAAAATAATTATACAAAAGTAGCAATAATCGTCGTGCCCTTGATCTCTCAGGAAACCAGATCACATGTACACACATATATGGAAAACAAATATTTATACCAAACAAGCGAGCGAAGTCTTTTCGACAAAACCATTTAATAATAATGATGATAATGATAGCGATGATCTGCGCAGAACCCACTTCCTATAAAGTAATCTAAAACCACGTTCACAGTGAATTCTCAAAACGAGTTGTAGTGGAACTTCGGAAAAATTTAGCACAATTAACATGACATCACGTAGGACTAAAACACACCATTACGAGGGCGACGACGACGACGACGACGAGCAAGACGAAGACAACAGCGAAATAATGACGATGAAGCGACAACAAAGACGGCAAAATGGAAAAACCAAATAACGACAAAAGCAGCAGTCAACATTTAAACAAAAGTGACCTTTTCTTCTGTAGTTGCTGCTAAGATTTGTCCATTCGTTGAGTAGGCGTTTTCGTTGGAGTTTTTGTGCTGAGTGTAGATGTTTGCGTGGAAATGTACGCACAAGGTGCTACACTCAATTCAATGCTAGCAGTAACTATGTCTACAGCAACGATGAAGATACGAGCAGTAACAACAAACGCAACATTATTGATAGTGTCCATTACTCACCATCAAATTATTATAATATGAACAACAATAGCAAGAAGCATTAGAAATAGTAATACGGCGTCAACGATGACGAGGACAAAAACCATAACAACAATAACAATCAATGAAAACCACAGCACCCACCCACCTACCACAAAAACAACCACCACAATCGCCACCATGCCAAAAGTGGTTCTGTGATATTTAGATAAATGATAACAAGAATTACTACCTCTGTCATAATTATTATTATTATTAATATTATTATTATTATTATTATAATCGTGAATTTCGTGGCTCGAGCAACAACAGAGTTGACAGAGTAGTAACGAGAAGGACAGAGGTCGAGATGGCACTTATTATTATTAATAATTTTTTGTGAAGTGATATAGATGACCTTTATAATGATAATTTTTGCACGACTTCTACCATTATTAATACGAAGTACATGGAGGCCTGTACTCTTGCTCTATCCATTCGTCTATATATCTATTTATGAGAGCAATTTTCGCTTATATGGAGAATAGCTAAAGTCATTCAGTCGGTCTGTTGCGCAGTGAGGAAAATAATCGTGGTAATCGCATGGAATAACAAAGCAGATATTCTGCTTACTTACTGTTGTTTTTGAATACTTTCATTGCTACATCATCTCGCGAACAGAAATATAAAATAAATCATATCGAACTGTTGGGCCTGACGGGGGAAAAGGAGGGAGAGACCTATCCGAAACTTTATAATGAATAGGAAATAAACGGGCACACAATCAAAGCCGTGACCAGTGATCTCACGTGGACCCGAGGTATGTTAGATTTTTTTTGATGGTAGGATCTCTACAGCATCGCGGAACAAAATTGCCAGCCGCGACATCCTGCAGATATTTAATATCCTGCAGATATTTTGATGAGAGCGTAGAGGTATTATGCCGTACAGGTGGCAAAATCATCTCAGTGACATGTCCAATATTACGCTGACCGTCAAACCTATTCGTTTGGACGATGTGCGCAAGGCTTGAGGATACAACCATTACGGGAATGATATTGCTTGGTCTCTGCATACTTTGGTGTCCCAGTCCCACAATTTGTTAGCTTAGTGGGATTAGTAGCGTGTATATTGACTCTCCCTCCTTTAAAGTCGTAGGACTAGATAGGTTATATTTAAACCAAGATCTACGTCCGTACAACAACTGCGATTAGTGGACGAAATGATGGGGGGGAATAGAATTTTTTGTCTTGATTGCTACTTTGACCTTTGTATTAGTATTGGCGAAAGTATGCCTTTTGCGCAGTGTGAGAATGATTTAGTCTGTCAACAATGACAACATAATTGTTACGAAGTTATTGTTGACTTATCAATGGGGTAGAAAGGGTTTTAGGTTTATGACGGTAGTGTTATAATGGGAAAATCGATAGTAAAATGGAAGCCATAGTTAGGCTAGGCAATTAGATGTAAATGTGTGGATAAATATTTAGAATTGGCTATATATGAAATAGTACGACGACTTGTATTAAGGGGGCACCGCTTATACTTATTTGAGGCTGCTTAAATTTGCTCCATTCCGGACCATCCAAAAAAGTTATTAACGAAAGAAAAAAGTTATTAAAAAAAAAGAGAAATTATTATTAAAGCAAACATAATGTTTGCTAAAAGTTATGTAATTCATCAATTGGTTTAAGCAGATATCGACAGGTCCTATTTAAATGAAAGGTAAAGACTACTTCATAAATGATTGTTCAGTTTTATTAATAGCTCGCTTAAGTCAGGTCAAGTTTTGAGGAATAGGGTAGAGTTACGATGTGATGTAGATATATTATAGATATGTGTATTTAGGATCAAAGAGTATGTTAATTCAAGGAAGAGATTGAAGCTGTTAATAATCAAGAGCCCGGCATGGTAAAACAGACAGACATCGAAAAAAAAATGCTACACAACAGGAACAGTCACAACAACTGTTCATATACGAGTTAACGGCGGTAACAACAACAACAGCAGCAGCAGCAGCAGCAGCAGCAGCAACATCCATAAAAATAACAATAATATATACAACGTTACTCTAAACAACCATAATAACGCCAACTACAGTGATAACGATATCAATGGAAATAACCATGTACGCCTTATTTATACAATCAACATCCTCCAAAGAAGGGTCACCAGACATTATACAGGTTTAATAGTATGAAGCGGTTGAGCTCCGAGAGAACTAGCCATTTAAACAAACTAATAGATTTTGACGGTGCGATCGAAATAAGCAGTTCAACATCCTGAATAACCATGTCTGGCGTTCGTGCGCTACAACAACAATCTAGAAACAGTAATATAATGCTTAATCGAGTAAGTAATAATATATAAAACGCGTCATAAAGTACGCCACTCCTCGACGATAACAGTAGGAAAAATTGCAAAAATATGAAACTGACCACCAACGCATGCCATACAGAACAGGTATAGTACATCAGGTCAAACAAACAACAATAGCAGCGGCTTACGACAGCATCAACAAGCGACAGCAATAACAAAACCTTTGATACGGATACCAGTGGCAGTATACAATACAGCAAGTAACCAACAACAACAAACGTTCGTAAAAATCAAACAAAATGGTTTCACAAGGATAACACTGACGTTAATGACAGCAACTGTGACAAACATTATAACAAGGACAAAGAACAATAGCGACAAGGACAACAACAATGGTAACATTAAAGCAAAGACGTGTTACAACCCGAAGCTAACACAAAATCAAGTAGTCACTCAGCCAATAAAAAGAATGAAACCCTATGACACATCCAATGAAACAGGCAACAAAAACGATAGAACTAATAGTCACAGACACTCGTATTACATTTTCACCCACAAAAGAGAAAACGGAAGCAGCCACGGAAGCATGTTTACTAAATAGAGAAAAAATAAAGTTTCGAGGCATCGATTACCAGCAAAAACAGTGATGACGCAGACGAAACGATGGTTAAAACAGCTACAAGAGTGGCAACTATAGAGTAAAACATGGATAGAAATAACGAGAGGACACCAATAGGGGGGAGGAGGTGAAAATATAAAATTGAGACGGAGGCAGCATTAGACACTTGTCGATACTTTCCGACGAATGCACTGACGTAGAATTTGATCATGAAAATAAGAAACGTGGACAACGGGAGTAGTATAAGCTAAATAAGTTAAAACTGAGTGGATTAACATGAGCAACATATATATGAAGATTGTCTTGACAATAGACACCGTCGATGACGATAATGATGATTTTTGCTAAGGCGAAACTGCAATGAGATAGTGGTATAGTTTTCAGAATATCAAAGCAAGCATCTATCCCATAACTTCTGAGAGATATGGAAGAAAATAAAAAAAAAACAAATATAGTTGCAAAAAACGATTTTTAACGATTATCCTCTAGTTACGCTGTACGCAGAAAGCTAAGCGATAACATAAGCTATGATGACACCAGCGGCGGCGGACCATTACCAGAAATATGGCTGAATTCACCGACATGAAAAAATTCGTCTTTCCGGATTTGCTCGGATGGGTTTCGAACCATAAAAACAAAAAACTGACGTTTGGATTTATCCGAAAGCCGATTGGGCTTGTGTACTTCCTTTGATTGATATGGTGTTGGAAATTTGCGAAAATAAAGGATTAGATACTGGATATAAGACATACTTGTTTTTTTCGCTTACAAACAGAATGATCAATAAGATTATTAAAATGAAAATTGGTTTTTTAGCGCTACACACAGTTTGTTTTCTTCGATTTCGTTCTCGGTTTTTGCACAAAATAGTATGAAAACACTTTTTGAATATATAGCGTTTTATAAAACGAGTCTTAGAAAGCTAAGTTCTGTGGAATCTTTGCCGGATGGCTTATATTTTAACGGCTATTTTGAAGGGAAAACCCTTACTGCACCTAACTTCAAGCGGCAGGGATCTTAGCGGACTTCACAAGGTATTGTGAAATCACTAACACGGTAACTGATTTCAAAAAAATTGATTTCTGATGGCACAATTATTGATTTTATTCAACGTAAAGCCGTTTAAGCCATCGTGATGTACACATTGATTCACTGGTTTCAAGTTTTTTTCACTGGTTTTTTTAACACAAGTTAGACTCTATTTCCACAAAATGACCGTTTGTCAACAATTAACTCATTGACTTCTCAAGCCAAAGCAATTGGAATGGTACTTACTAAAAAAAAAAACACTCGAAATTAATTTCAGTGAACAGCCGGCGTGCAGTTGTAAAGGTATCCTATTGTGTTGGCTGCCATTCTTAAAACTTAAATGGAATCTCTGAAAACACAAAGATGTATGCGAAGATCGTTCGTTGCTCAGGGTAATTTTGTTCTTATAAGGACAATATGTATTGTCCCTGTAAGAACAAAATTTACGTTGTTATATTCACAGGTTTATATAATCTATTATTCGACACTGTTTTCCTCGATTCAGGTTATGAGTGAAGTGTGCGTATAAGATCGTGCGTTGCCGTCTAGTAGCCACACCTTCTACTGTAGACTGCCGTATCACACATTCACGAGCCCCTCCAAAAATTCGAAGTGTCTGGCAGTACTGATTCTTTTATTTCGGAAACATCTTATAATTTTTGTTACAAGGGTCTGATGTCTGAGGTCTCTGATGATGTCTGAGAGTCGGCTTATGCTTAAACCTATTCAACACTGGCACCAGAGATGCTTTTTCTTTTGTTAAACACTATTCTTTCGCTTTTCTAGGGCTCCGATGTTCCCCATGCGGATTTTTTACTGGTAATGACTGCGCGAAATACCTTTAGTTGTACATCACACAACTTTCGACTTATTCTGGACGTAGTTCGTGTAAACTTCTTCTAGTGTTTTCGTTATAATTCCGTAGAACATGCTTCGATAAATTTCATATGGGGTCGAAAAGGTTACTGTAGGGGTAGCTCCTTTATGTTTCGAGCTTTGTCCTGTGTCGCGATTAGATATTCCATCAGGTGTCTGGCTCCCATCACGAGAGGAAGTGTGCCTATTCCAGGTTCAAGCCTAGATCACAAATTGTCCCTAGTATTAGTAGGTAAATACACCACCTACGAAACTATCATAGAAACGAGGGGAGATTAGATTCTATGTGACCTTAACCTTTCGATTTAAAATGATTACACTAACAACAAACTATTATTTCGCCAAAGACATATATATCCAACATTGTTATCAATCCTCAATGTATTCCACTGAAACTCTGCTTTCCAGAAGTAGAAATTCACTTTTTAGCACCAAATTATTATTCTTTGACCCTCAATCAATAAGCAAATATTTCATATATAATGTTTACCAAACCCCATCTGCTAAGGATGCTTACGTAGTTATTAAAAAGTTTCAACTAGTTAAATAGGTCTGAAAGAATCTTTGAGATTGTTTCATACGGCTGATCGTCCCTTTGAGTACGTAACAACGTGGTCTTCGCCTGACCTTCAACATAAACCACCTCACGTGTTTTAAGTTTTATAAACAACACTTCATTAATATTTTATCACGCAGGTAAACATGTGTTTGTTATCCTTTTTCTTACGTTTTACGTTCAACACTGGAACCGGCTGGCTCTCAGCACCAAACGAAGGGTGTCTATGCCTGGATTTGAACCTAGACCATCGCGTGCGCTAAAATTTTGCATATAAACACGTTACCCACAACGCGAACGTGTTAGCACGTTAAAACTACTGAACTACGTCATAGACAAGCAAATGTTTAGAAGGAACAGGAACGTTTCGCTACATCAAAATCATCCATATTACGGAATAAACCAATTTAGCTTGAATCTTCTATTAGAAAAGGCAGCAGAAAGATTTTTCAATGAGCAAGTACCTGGTCCGAAATTGGAATCGTTACAATTCTGCAAAAGTGTGTGTTTCAAGCTCAAACAAGGAAGATTCAAGGATTAAAAATGTACCAGTGAATATGCTTTAGCTCGAAAATAAAGACTTGTAAAAATGTGGTGTGTGGAGTAGAAATTCTTTAATAACCCTTATACACATAGATGTCCTCAAGGTGCCTCCAGAATCAGTTGTCAGATAATCCTGAAATTACACGCATAATTCTGGTAAACAAGTCTAAAGGATTGTTTACTATAAATTAAAAAATGTCAAATATCTCTGAGATCCGATATCTTGTTACATCATATTTTGCCTCAACAGCAGCGAACAGAGCAGATACTTGCTTGCACATATCAAAGCACGTTACATTCTTTTCTCTGCACATTAGCCCTTAATCTGTAGACCTAAGGCTTCTGCATCGTTAGATTTTGATTTGTACGCTTTTTCGAGAACATTCAAAACCATTTCGCCCTGCCAGAAAAGAATACCTAGGTGCATTTTTTGAACGAGTCTGCCTTATTCCTTGCAAGCCTTGTATCCCCCGTCAATATCGCAGATTGCTGACGCATGACCTTTGCACACGGCATGGCCACGGCATTTTTTTTGTCTCTTTATTGTACGCGATGCAAAGGTAGTAGTAAAGACTTAATAACCTTCTAATTCCTGCATATATATATATATGGTAAAACGGAAAAAAGAGTTAAATTATGTAACATCTAATCTTTGTCGTATTTTTTTATTAACAGCTTTTTTATGCGAGGCACAAGGTTCTCCTATTAACACACACCGTGCTTGCGCAGAAATATTTCACTGTATTTTACTATCACCATAAAGAAATATGCTTTTTGCCTGACTCTAATAAAGATCTCTAACAAGCATGAGAAACCAAGATAAAAATACGTTTTCTTCTTTTCACTGCCTATTTCCTTATTCTTTTGTTTCTCGCAGACGATGTCGTCTCAATAAAGACTAAAATTATAGGCATTGTAGCAGGTCAACGTTTGGCGATGCAGCAGCAAATGCGCCTGTCGTTAATTTGACGAAGTGAGTACAACTACGAACATAAACAATTGCTTTTCATTACAATTGGTGTCCATTCCTATTTTCTATTGAGTGTTTTAGGAACTGCCACCTCCATCCTTTGCCTTTTCTATTTTTGTATCCTTTTTAATTTCGTTATGCCAGTCAAGGTTAATTTTATGGAGGCTTACACCCTCAGAATGCTGCTTTTTCCCGATCCAAACTGCACCTATAGCACCTAAGAAAGTAGCTATACACATGTAAATGTTGATCCTAATACGGGCCATATCTCGCACTTTTTCCATTTGGTGTTGTCTGAAAATTCACACGAAATAAAGCACAAGACAGCAGCTAATGTTATGTTAATTCACGCTTGACGTGTTTATGTCAAATCGGACACATCTGAACAACATTTTAATACAAACGGAATCGCATAAAGACAACACTCACTGTTTAGCAAGTATTTTATTCTTAAACCTAAACCATTGACGATACAAATGACTTAATATATTTACGATAGCTGCACTTTCTCTAATTTGAATCCGAGGAAGTTTTATGGAGGACGGACTATGTCCATCGTCTAAGTCGTGTTGCCACTCCATGCTTGCAACGATAAAACATGTTTTTCAAGTTACAAATTTTTAGCAAGAAATGAAGATGTGTTAACATACATTAAGGAAGATAACTACATATATTTAAAGTTTGTCAACTATCATAATATATGGTCTCTAACAAGTAAGATAGTACCAGTCAAGTCAAATACATGACAAGGACGATATAACAGACTTCGTAAATTGTATAAATTGCTTTTCATTATCTAAATAGCATAGTATAAATTGTTTCAATAGATATAACAAGATCTCTGTTGCAAATGTTTAGTTTAACAGTCTTCTTGCTTTTGACTTATAATTCTTCAAGCTACTTTCATTACCAACGAATCGACAGGCAGAGAACCTAACACTACGACATGAATCCATGCATAAAAATGGAACATGCGAATAGCATAACTTACGGAACCAAGTCGGGCACTTGTCCCAGAGGGTATTTTTTAAAATACACCAAGAGGAACTTCTCAAATTTATTAGCCTTGTGTCTCGTTAGACCTTAAATAAACACATTCGGAATACCAAAAATTCATCAGACTTACTGAGCTTCATGCTGTAACCATTCATACAGGGGCAGAATCTGTTCACTAAGGCTGAATCAGCCTTTCTGCAGAACTAGACAGAGTCAACTGTGCATATTACAACACAACTTATAGAATGTCTGCGTTCATGGAAATGGCCCGATGACTAGAATTACCTGCCAATAGCATTTCAATACGATTTAATATTACATGAGATATCGAAACAAACGAGATGAAGCTACTAAAGAGAAATATTAAGTGATTATTTCTGGCACAATGATTCGTCAATTAAAAATCCCACGAAGAACCTGTAACTCACCGTTCATTTCTGTACCTTGCAACCGTACCTGGGCTAGAATAGAACAAAAACTCATTTTAGCTTCGTCTCATAAAAGGCTGGACTGGTTTACCGTGTGCGGTTAGCTGCATCATAAGTTATCTGCATAGATATAGAGTTTTTTTGACATATACTTGAGTGTCCTAGTTTGATCACGAAAATCGTACCGAGACTTAGAGGTCTGACGACTGAGCTCATTCTCGATAAGAGCATTTCGTTCCTTCTGAAAAGCATAAAACAAAATAAACTGACTCTGCTGTACTCAGCGAAATGACAAATATGGAAGCCGTACTAAATTGCTATATTGAACGAACAGATAAAGCATTACAAGTGTTTATAAGAAAATTGAACGCATAAACTACAGTAATAATAAAAAAAGGAAGGAATACAGGTCGTAAGAAATGTTAGAATGGCAATGGCGTAAAAGCCCATGTAACCTTGGTAAATGTATCTTTAACTTTGCGAATTTTCTACGAATAGAGTACGCGCAGTTCGCTCAGTTCGCAGCTGCATGAACGTTTGCTAGCAATACGAACATAGTAATCATATTTTCACAATGGACACCAGGTTTGCTCCGTATCTGGCAGTTGCACCCTAGAAATCGATTGTACTCTGTAAAAACAGCCATGTAGCTACAGGCATTATCGACCGCACTCATTTGCTGTAATAAACAACACTTAAGTTCTAAAATAAGCGCTTTGTTAAACTACATTTATCAATTTATTATGAGTAAAGTCAATTTATGTCTATCACTCTAACTACTTCTAATTTTGGTTGTCCAAAAATGTTTGCATCGATTTATTTTTCTCAACAGCGTTTAACACCTTCGAAAAGCAACATCCTACGGTTCAAATAATATATTCAACTCGTAATATAAGTAATATATTCAATTCATAGTCCAAGGTAATAAGCGATCATAATTTTTGTTTCAATAAATCGATATCGTGAAGCGCAAACAAAGACCTCTAGATGAGTTTACCCTATGGCTAATGGCCCAGTAAATGAACGCTTCAGTAAAGAGATAAACTTATCTCTAAAGATTCTGGGTTTATACTCATTATCTATCACTTCTAAGCATATAACAGAACGTGGCGGTTTATTACTGTAGAGCAAAAGCTTATAGGCTTATTCCGTCAGGAATACGTAGACTACCACTTCTGATAATCTTTCGAAAGGTACCGAGAAATATTGTCAATTAAATAAAATAATCAGTCTCGTATAGGTGGTGATTTTATGATACTTAGAACACATATATATGCATCACATTAGCTTCACGATAGATGTTTTTGTCTTACTACACTGCATTTATGAAGAACAAGCTTGTTTTAATTCAGATACGGCTTGATTGACCGTACTTCATAGATGTACACTTTTTACAGATAAAGCACATATTCTGACTATTTGTGATGATGCATTCAGCGAAATTGTCCTATACTATATATCGAAGTTGTAAGAACGATTTTTTATATTGCACTGCTCCAGGATTAGTCAAATGTTTTGAGGGCATTTGGTCGTACACATATGTTGCTGTTCAATCTTATATATATTTATACACCTTCTATTATTGTTAATTATAATTGTGTTAATGCAATGAAATGTCCGAAACAAGTTACCTCTACGAGCTGACCGAGTTATTCTTGGAAGGAGAAATTTTTGTTTATTGACAGTTTGCTCGCCAGCCGTCTGCTCGCGAGTTATTGTTTTTACTTAAACGAGTCCACCGTTTGATCTGAAAAAAAATCAGGTTGCTTGCTAATATAACTCAATTGGAGCTCTTGTAAGCTTGTCGCGGATGCCAACATTGTGCCAAAATTAGGTGCAGTTCGAGCTGGTCCTATGTAGGATTCTGTTTTAGAGCTCCCCAACAATTTCGAAAACATGTCCGCAAAACTGCCAGCTTACTCGTACCGAGCCACTCGGATGCAGTTGAATCTGTCAATGAAAAACCTATCTGCTGTCCATAACTCTAGCCGTAGCTACTAAGTCTATACGGAGTTCTTTGACTCGTACGAGCGTTCGAAAACCTCGAGCTGAGTGTTGTCACCGACGTTCGACTCTCTCAAACTCGGGCGCTTCTTATCCTTCTCCGATTTCCCTCCACCCTTGAAACGACTCCTTCAGCCTGTCTTCCCCACTTCTCGCCGTCGTTGTCGATTGTTGGCGGACGCAGTGCGGTGCTCCGACAGCAGACGATTTCGGTGCACCGCTTCGGCCGGAGCAGCGGTGTCGGCGCGCGCGCCCCGCAGGAAGTCGTCCCTGCAGGAGGGGGCGCTGGCGTCGCTGTCGACGACGATAGCAGAGCTCTTCCATCTTGATAGTGAGCGGGCCGACCGAAGCTCATAGGGCCACAGCACACAACAGCGAGCAGCAACGACGAGTTGGATGTGTGTAGTTTAGACAGTTGATTGGGCCTCTGTGCTGCTGAGTGGTGGTGGGCCAGCCAGAGTGGAGCAGATCGCTTCAGCGGTGTGTCTGTCTGTCTGCCCAGTGAACAACAGCAGCAGCAGCAGCAGCAGCGGCGGGTCGTCGTTCGTCGCTGGCCGAAGTGACGTGCACACGCAGCGGAGTACACCGCCGCCGTTCGTGCTGATTGTACTTGTAGCACCGCCACCGTCGCCGCCAGCCGTGGACTGCATCGGACAACGAACATGTCGAGTGAGTGATCTCAACTGTTCCTGTTACATACACGCCACTAGTAGAATACGATTACATTGTTATTATGTTCAGGAGAGGTTCCGTTTGCCGTTTTTGGCAAAGCTCGAGCTCGAAACATTAGCTAATCGGCATATAGATACATAGGCAGGGACAACCCAGCAGAGTAAAATAGAATACACACATTCATTCATACATATGGCTAGAATCATATCTACACCCGCCAGTAGATACGCTATCGTGCTATACCGTTGTGAGTGTCCTTCTGTCACCGCACAGACTCGCCTAGTTACACGTCTATCGATGAGGTACTACAACAACTGCTAGTAAATTAATGGCCAACGCTGCCTGTTAACGAAACAGCTACCACTGCCAGTAGCCTGGCTAGCTCGTATCCCTATGCATAGTCGTGAACCTGAAGCTCAGATAAGCTTGTCTTTCAGCCGTTCGTACGAATAGTTTGGTAATCGAGAATGGTTCATCGTCGAAGATGTCTACTGTGTAGTATACGGTCAAAGATATAGAGTGAAACGATCGCTGACTGGGGACCTACTCGCAACTCGGAATAAAACGACACCAGTTTTAGTCGTTGTGTTAACGGCATTCGCTTGTGACGGTTGTGCAAAATGTGTTGGGGAATCAGTGAATAGTTTCGAGTGGACTTCAACGGAGTGTGTTGCTGTGTTCAGTGAGTTCGAATAGTTGAGGGTTATCTGGGGGACGGTGGTAGTTGATAGGCAAAGGTGGTCGCTGATGATACATATCGGCTTGTGCCTCTGATATTTATTGAGTGATGATGAATAGATGTGAGAGCGTGCGATCATTAATGATGATGTTATTGATACCAGTCCGGTGAAGGCGGTGCTGCTTCTGCCAATAGTGGTGTTTTTGTTGTTGTTGTCGTTATTGTTGTTGATGTTCGTTGCCCGCCGGCAGCGTGAACACTTTTAAATCGTTGTGTCGTTGGGTAGGAGAGTGAGTAAATAGGAGTGAGAAAGAGAGCCGCTACCGCTTCTACAACAACTACTATTATTATTATTATTGCTACTATCACAAGTACTACGAGTTCCGTGGCCGTACTGCTTGCCTGCTGCTCCTGTGCTCGTTGTCTGTCCTAGCCGTTCGCTGGTTATGGCAGCTCAGCCGTGCGTTGTGCTGTGCTGCTGTTTTGGGTGTGAGGGTCATGGGTAAGGGAGGGGCACCACGGTCCTCTAGACTCTCACCGAACTGCACCAAGCGGCCGAGCAACTATCGCCCGCCTGAGAGGTTACTTCTGTATACGGCCTTCGAGGGAGGCTTTCACTAGGCCATGTCGCTCAGGAGAGTCGAGGCCGTCAGCCCCGATTCGGAAGCCGGCCTCTGGCCGGTGTAACTACAAGGAAAGAGGATACGGTCGCCGCGATGTTGATGCTCATCCACATCCCATTGCCATCAATGGAGTGGGTGATACCCCACCGGTTTACCCGAGGACCTATTCTACCTCTCCTATTGCATTTCTCCTCTCCCCCTTGCCGATCGTCGCTGTTACCTGTTTAGACTGATTTACTTGCGTCTCGGCCCTTCAAAGGGATAGCCCTGTTGGCTACAGTCTCTGAAAGACGAGCTGGAAGGTTACTCATCCTGTAAGGCCTAACGCGCTGGCTGGTTAGGCTAAATAGCAGCCACTCCATATGTTACGACCGACTGAACGAGGCATAGTATACCAGCGGCACGTAGACGCCACTGCAGTTGAATAGGGAAGTAGTTACCAATTATGGCAGAACAGTCGTTGCGTCAGAATTGATGATGGCGGTTTCAACGTCGAAATCAAGATTATTATTACACTATCATTATTATTCATACTGCTACCATGGCAACAGACACATAATGTGTCACTCTGACAATTATACTTGCTTAACCTAGGAAAAAGACGCTGGGGTTCTTCGTTTATTCAAGACGGAATAGGAATTGATGTAATTAGGAAATTTTATGGAAGAGAAGATGATGATAAGCAATTCATTTTATTTTCTCAATAACGAGGAAACATAGAGCCTTTTTCTAGTATTCTGTTTAGCTGGAATATTGGCAACCATGTTCGAAGTCTTCTTGAGCTGCAGTTCATCAAAGCAAGCAGTACGGCTTTCAGAAGAACGGAGCCTCAGTAATGCAAATATAATTTGCATTATAACCTTTTGCATTTTTTTCACTAAACCATTCCTCTCAAGTACGACCACTGTATATATGTATACATATACCTTTTCTACAACAGCTCCCTCTGCTTACACTGCTCAATTCTAAATATCGAATCATCGTTGTTTTTAGTCCAGTTTCTTACACAACTTCCTTTTCCACTGAAGTTATTTACATATATTTTGGTTCATCCACAGCTATTATTGCTTCTTCCTTCATAAGCTGGAATTGAGAACGCTTGACTTGATCTGCATGCATTGCAAATTTCATTGCAGGTAGGGTAAAACTGTGGCCACTTTAATCATTTCGTAATATTGATTAAAGTGGCCACAGTCAGGTTGGCCCATGGCCCCTTTGATTATGGAGAGATATGCCGGAAGGACGGCTGTGTGGAATTCTCATTGAGATTGTAGGACTTCGATATTAGGGAAGCCATATTCCTTTGTTATATCAGCCGTTGCAGGCAGCTGGAGCACATCTATTCAGATCGGCTTCAGTTGATGTTTCTTGTAGCACATAGCATATACATATGTATGTATATGTGCTTTTGTAGGAGCATTATTGTTTATGATACTTTTAGTGCCATTATTGATATTTATGCGTATATATGAATTAATATTGCTCAATATATATATATATATATATATACATTAAAAGAAAGTAGTGTATCTCTTGTCGTTATTCGGTTTGTCAGCTGTCCGCTATTGAAAGCTGGCGGCTGTCAGATGAAGTCGGAAGGGGGACTCATCCGCTTGCCCTCGCTGGAAAGAAGTCCACGGCCGGCCGATGTGATGATGGCGATGGTCATCGTCATTGTGGAAGAGTGCGGAACCAAAACAAGAGAGAGCGGCTCAGCTTGCTCCCTAAACAACAGCGGCAGCTTCCTCCCATGAAGCCGCAGCTGCTGCTCAAGTGAAGAGGATGACATGACGGAAAGAAAGCAGATCAGCGAACTGGCCTCCTTTCGACGGCACACTCACACACGCAGCGCAGCGTAGCGCGATTCAAGTGACGACGACGACTCGACGGCGCTGGCCAGTGCTTGCTCGCGGCTAGATCCCTGAAGACCGACGTCGAAAGCCGTCCGCTTTTATGTAGTAGAAGTGGCACTTGTCAGCGTTACATGAACATGAGCAGAAACGATTCGGATAGCGCTGTCTTAACCCGGCATTTGTTCCGCTGCCGTTGTTGTTGAGCGACAGCCTGTAGCAACAACTGGCAGCCACCCCAGCAACCCCGCTATCGACATGGCTGCTGTTACTTCTTCGACTCCAGTCGGTGCTTTTTTCGGCCGTGAAGCCGCTACAAGGCAACTTCGCCGTTCTTGCATGGCAGCGGCGTCGGCAGCGGGCTGTGCCCTGCGAACCACGGGCCGGTTCCTTCTTGAACAGCCCCTTTCTACTCCTTCAAACAGCAGCGGCGACGATAGCAGTGGTTGTAGCCATGACGGCGCGACAGCGGAATCATGTTGTTGCTGCTGCTGATGATGTTTATGATAATAGTGGTCCTCCGTAGTACTTACGGCACTAGGAATACGGGCCGCAATGATGGTAGCATCTTGCGTCTTCGCTGACGTCAATTGATGTAGCAATCGTAACAGTAATCCTTGTCGAAGTTGTTTTTCTCCTTCTGATCCGGTTCGGGGTCCTAGCTCCAAGTCAGTGTCTAGTGATAATAGAACGCTGTAGCAACGGGAGCCAGGAGGGACGATCTAGCGTCAAGTAAGCGAGCAGCCGAACAAAGCTCGAACCACGTAAGTGAGCAAGCAGTCGGTTGTTAGTTGTTGGCTGGTCGGTCGACCGACCGACCGGCCGGCCCAGTGGCCGTCTGCTGACGCTAGCTTGCAGCGGCTGTGGCGGCGGCGGCAGCAAGAACGTCCATTCGAGCCGCTCTGCTACCGCTGCTGCAGTCAAAGTTTGACTGACAGAGCCCGATCAACGGATGGATGAACAGACGAACGCACTGACTGACAGTTGTTGATCCGGGCATTCTCGATGTCGGCAGTGGAACGGGGTCCTAACCAAGCCAGGATTAGACCTAGCAGGCAAGTTTATTGTTAGCGCGGGGACCATTCAGTAATAATGACACTATAACGAACAGTCTTGCTATTATACTACATTCCGTCGATGTTATCCGCGGTTTTAGAGGCAAATGTTTACTGCAGCTATGGCCGCAGTGAAGCTCTATCTTCGTATTGTGGTTCAATGGACGTACGATTGCTTCATAGGCACTATAGTGTTCAGGTCGAATGAAGGATGGGTTCGTGTTTGAAAGTACTGTTTTTAATGCTCCCCACAAATGGTGGTTATATAGAGCATTGCTATAGTCTATTTCTTTTTCGCACGTTTAGCATAAATCAGAAGGAGAAACAGGCATGACTGTAATGGTTAATGTGATCCACGTTTTCGATATAGATTCCTATTGTCTCGTGACTAATCAACGATTCCGTTTATTAGATACCTGATGTTTCTACAACAGTACAAAGCGTATTATTGGCGTTGCATTACATGGATATATAACGTGTTATAGTACCGATGGATATGTAGGCTGTGGGAAATCGAACGTGTCCATAGACAGCTACAACGAGAGAAAATTTACGTTTCTCTGAATTTAAAACATGCCCGCCGATACTACTTATGCCGCCGTTCGATTCGAACGTTCTGCCTGCTGCTCGACGCCGAATGGATTTTCAAAGGATCATGTGTTTGTTTCAAGTTGTCAGTAGCAGCCTCAGTTGGCGGTATTCATGCTTCTGTTTGAAATTACTCTATTTTCGACTCGTACATCATGTGCAAGCTGACCTCAACGAATTCCTTTTTTTATTATAGAGGAGA